TACTGTCACAGCCTGGGCCAGTCTCTTACCCTCTTGGGGCCTCCGTTTCATCATCTATAAAATAAGGGATTGGACACAATTTATCCTAAGGTCACAGCTGTAATTATAACATGCCAGGCCTGGCCTAGGGTGGCGGCAATGGACCTGGGGAGGAGACACATAGGAGTCCTGAGAAATGACAATTAGTGGCTGACTGGATATGGGAGAAGAAGAGGGGATGGCTTATTAGAGGATCATAGAGCCAGAGCTAGAAGAGACCTTAAAGATCATTTAATCGAGTGACTTCATTTGACAGATGGGGAAATTGAGGCCCAGGAGAGGTGAAATGATTTGCCCAGCATCACTCTGCTAGGATGTGTGATAACCAGGAGAATGGTGGCACCATTAACAAAGGCTGGGAAGTTGAAGAGGCTTAGGCTGGCAGGGGGATTGTTTGCCTCGGGGTCTGTTGTGTCCGAGATAATGGTAGAATATTCATAAATGTCCAGCAGGACATTCAGGAGTAATCTGAACCCATCCTTCATCCTAGCTTTCTGTCCATCCGCACCGTCCTTGTACTATACACTCCAGCCAAACTAGATTCTTTCTTAGATTCACTCCCCCCTGCCCTCCCCAACACACACACAGATACACAGACACACACACATACACACAGACACACACACCCAACAGGTGGCATTCTGACTCATTGTTTCTACTCTTCCTAGGTCTGGAATGTCCTCTTGCGCCCACTTTCTTCCTCTCCTTTTAATTCCTGCCCACCTTTGAAGCCCAATCCAAAGTGGCCTGTCACCCTCCCACTCCAGGAAGCCTGTGCTGACCCTGAGGCAATAATGACCTTCCCCCCCACTTCCCGGACCTCACCTGGGGCTCTGCTTTTTTGTACCAGAAACTCCATTATTTTCTACTGGGGCTGTTGTGTTTGTTCGAGTCCTGTTCCCCAAATGGAAGGACCATAAGCTCGATGGAGGCCGGGATAGTCCCAGCATGACAGGACCAGAGACTGAGAGCTGGAGGCACCTCAGAGTCCACCAGGTCTAACTCCTTTGCTTTGTAGATGAGGAAACTGAGGCTCAGAGAGGCACAGTGATTTTTCCCAGGGTTACCGAGCCTGGGTGTTTCAAATGCAGGACTAGAACCCAGATCTTCCTGACTCCAAGTCCAGAGCTCTTATCCACTATACCATGTGGCCTCCTCTATGCTTTGTGTCTTTCCTCTCTTGCCTCCCAAGGTGACCCACATACATTCTGCGCTTCATAAAAGTTAACTAGTTGTCCCCGTGGATAATGTTTTCTCGGCATACATACCGGAGTGGTTTGCCATTCCTTCTCCAGCTCATTTTACAGATGAGGAAACTGAGGCAAACAGAGTTAATTGCCTGGGCCAGGGTCACACAGCTAGCAAGTGTCTGAGGCCAGATTTGAACTCAGGTCTGCCTGACTCTAGCTCCAGTGGTCTATCCGCTACACCATCTAGCTGTCTGGAGTCAGGAAGATGTGAGTTCAAATTCCATCTTAGACACTAGGTATGTGAACCTGGGCAAGTCAATTCTCCTGTGTCTGCCTCAGTTTCCTCATCTGTAAAATCTGGATAATAATAATAATACCTCCCTCCCATAGTTGTTGTGAGGATAAGGATGATATATTTGTAAAATGCTTTGAAAAACCTGAAGATTTTATTTAAATATGAAGTTATGTTTATTTTTCCAGACCTCTGATTTCATAGGATCATTAATTTATAGATGGCAGAGGCCTGCAAGGCGGTTTATTCCAATGTCTTTGTTTTCATTTTTGTTTCATTTTGTTTTTAAAGACAGGATCGCCCCATCTCACCCAGGCTGGAATGAAGGCAGGGGCTTCTAAGGGCCTGATGCCATATGGGTCAGCTTGAGACCTTTGAGGGCAGCTAGGTGGCGCAGTGGATAGAGTACCGGCCCTGGAGTCAGGAGGACCTGAGTTCAAATGCGGCCTCAGACACTTGACACTTACTAGCTGTGTGACCCTGGGCAAGTCACTTAACCCCATTGCCAAGAAAGAGAGAAAGAAAGAAAGAAAGAAAGAAAGAAAGAAAGAAAGAAAGAAAGAAAGAAAGAAAGAAAGAAAGAAAGAAAGAAAGAACGAACTTTGACTGTTCTCTTTCTGACCTGGGCTCAATCCTTGGTCCTCCACCTCCCACACCTTCCTGAGGGCACACTGTATTTGTACGTGTGTGTGCAGACATGTGATTGGCTTAGCCCACTGCAGCCCAGAACCCCTGAAGCCAAGCAGCCCACCAGCCTCGACCTCCCAAAGCAACAGAGATGGCAGGTGTATACCACCAAACCTGTCCAGCCCCTTCATTGAAAAGCTGAAGCAATGAAGACCAGGGCCTGCTTCGGGTCACATGGGTTGCAAATGGGAGGGGCAGGATGTGATCAGTTTAGGGAATGAACTCCCATCAATGCAGAACAATGCCTTCTCTGCACTTTTGGTCTGGATGAGTTTTCTAGGACGGACTCACGTGGCCCGGATATGTCAGGGGTAGGATTTGAACCTAGGTCTCCCTGCCTCTGAGATGGCCTCTCTTTCTAGCCCACCACCTGCCTCTCAAGCTATGCATTATCATCGTTATGATTACTTTTGTATTTTCATTAGCAAAATGGTCGTGTCAACAAGGACCTACTAGGCTCTAGGTACTGAAGGTATGAAGAAAATCCAAAAGCCAGTCACTGTGCACACTTTAATATGGGATACAACGTGAAAATGATGCACAGACAAGCTATAGACAGGATAAATCGAGATAATCAACAGAGAGAAGGCATTAAGGGGGATCAGGAAAAGCTTTATTTTTTAAAGAAGATAATGCAAATGGATGAGATATCAGAGGGATAGAAGATAAAGAATTAAGGATTCAGGAATTATGGATTAATTAAAGATTGGGGATGTGCCCAGCTAAGGGTTTGGTGGAAAAAGAGGATAAGGAAAGAATGAAGGAAAAAAAAAACATTATTTAGGGGTAGCTAGGTGGCACAGTGGATAGAGTACTAGCCCTGGAGTCGGGACGACCTGAGTTCAAATCTAGCCTCAGACACTTGACACTTACTAGCTGTGTGACCCTGGGCAAATCAGTTAACCCCAATGCCTAGCAAAAATTAAAAAAAAACCCTGTTGTTTAGGGTTTACTATATGCCAAGAAGCTAGTTGGCTTAGTGGATAGGAGGCTGGGCCTAGAGTCAGGAAGACCTGAGTTCAAATTCAGCCTCAGACACATACTAGCCATGTGATCCTGGAAAAGTCACTTAACCTCTGTTTCCTTTAATCTGCTGGAGAAGGAAATGGCAGACCTCTCCAGGATCTTTGCAAGAAAACCCCGTGGACAGAATTGGCCTGCTATGGTGCGCAAGGTCACAAAGAATTGGACGTGACTGAACAACAGTGTATGTCAAGCATTGCACTGGGTTCTGGGGATGCACATAGGAAAAGCCAGTCAGTCCCTGATCTCAAGATACTGCTTCTGTAAATGGAGAGACAACATAGAAAAGTGTAGCTTAGAGAGGATGGAAAAGCCTGGAAGTCCCACTAGTATACTGGCAGGTCAAATAATGGTGCCAGGGATCTGGAGGGCATATCGTCAGGGCGGAGAGTGAGGCCTGGGGGTCGTCAGGATGCTGTAAGGCCTGCTGGTCTTCCGTCTTACCAGAAGGCTTGTAACTGGTGACTTCCCAGCTCGTCCAAGCCCCATGAGCAGCCATGTCGCTCTGCCCACTGGGCAGTTGGGGGAAGGAAAAGGAGGAAGAATAAATGTTCCTTTTGTTAAGGCAAGTCGGGCTGAAAGCTGTGATTGTGAATAATAGAGAAGTCCCCATTTCCTGAAAGACAAGACCACAGGTCCTGAAAAGCCACATGTGGCCCCAGAAAGGCCACTGTCCGTTTTCAGTGGTATACCTATCTGTTTGTGCCTGCTTCCCCCCTCGTGTACGTGTCACACAAGGCCCAGAGATCTCACTTTCTATGGCTGGTTTTACTTCTTGTTTTTGTTTTCTGTCTTTTAATTTCCATTTTTAAAAAATGATCTGTTTTATGTGGTCAAAGACCTGTGATTTCATTGGTGTGGTACTCAGAATTGTCTGATTTAGAATTGGAAGGGATCTGGGGCCATATAGTACAGCCCATACGTGAAGAGAATCCCCATTCCAACGACCTAGACAAGGGGGTAGCCAGCCTCCTGTTGGAAACCTCTACTGAGGCCTGGCGCGGTGTCTGACCCATAGTAGGCCCTAAATAAATGCTTATTGGATTGTCCATGAACATAATGGAATATGAGTTCACTGAGAAACACTGATGTTTAAGGCATATGATATAATAGACAGGGAGCCAGTCCCCACATCAAGAAATCCTGGGTCCAAGTCCTGTCTCTGCAGCATATTAATTGTGTGACCTTGAGTGAGTCCCTTACCCTCTCAATGACCTAGGCAACTCTCTGCAAGTATAAGTGGCAGAGCAGGTGGTAATCTGCATTGGTAGGTGGAGTTTCCTTACTAGGAGTCCCCTATACCAGTGAAATCATAGGTCTGGCATGAAAAAAAAGAAAAGAAATGATTAATGTGAAGAATTCAGAGAAACATAGCAAGATTTACACGAACTGATACAAAATGAAGGAAAGGAAACAAGGAATACCAAATATGCAATGACTATGTGAATGGAAAGAACAAAATAAACACAACTGAACACACTGTTCAATTGTGACCAAGATTGTCCCTGAAGAAGAGATGAGAAAATGTACCTCCCTTCATTAGAGAAGTGGGGGACTACATGTATGGAATATTGCATACACTGTCAGACCCAGTTGATGTGTTAGTTTGCTGAACTGCTTTTGGTTTTGTTTTGTTTTGTTACGAGGAATGACTTGTTGGGTAGAAGAAGGGGATGAGATTCAGAACAATAAATATCAATAGCAATTTTTAAAAATTCTTGTTGAATTGGTATAGATCATGATTTGTTGTCTTACTAGATGGTCTTCAAGATTTGCTGTCTCCCAGATCCCAACTGTGCGCCCTCCGCCATGGCTAACCTGGTGATGAACTTCTTCCGGTTTACCTTAACTGGTCCTTCGGTCCATGGCCATGCAGTACCCTGAACCTTTCTGGCTTTGCAAGACTTGTCAAATGTTTCCCACCCGATGGCAATGTCCCTGTGAAGCAGCTTGGTATGATCAGTCAGTCAAGAAACATTTAGTGGAATTTAGAGTCCAGGGATTTGTGTTCGAATCCTTGGATCTGCTGTTTACTATGTATGGGACAAGTTGCTGGACTTGTGCAACCTCTTCAGCTTCCTCTTCTCTAAAATGAGGGATTGACCGTGTGATCTTGAAATTCCCTTCTACCTCCAACATTTACACAGACCTTAGGAACCCAGAGTTATCAGAAAGATAGTGGAGCATCAGAATATTAGACCACATTGGGAATGCTACATAGGGTCAGATAATAGCTGACTTTTATACAAGATTTTCTAGTTTACCCACCCCAACAACAACCTTTTGAGGCAGGTAATGAATAAAGTGAATGCATTCATAAATGATAAAGCATTTATTAAACACTTTTTAATCTCTCTTGACAGAGAGAGAAGTCCCAGCTATGTATCTTACAAAGGTACTGATTCTTAGAGTCCAGCAGACCCCTAAAGGATTCTACAAAGAGAGAAAAAGACTTCTAGAAACTGGGAGCTATAAGATACCCAGAGCTAATGGTGCCACACATGTTTTGTGCCCATGTTCCTCATTATAATTTTACTGTAAGCTTGAGCACTGTTCCCAGGAACCTTTTGTGTGCAAGGGGAGAGTGTGTTATAGTTAGAAGGGAATGTTTTTGTAACTGCTGTTCTTACTGTATCTTTTCTAAAGACTTATTGAAGTCACTGGCTGATAATGGGAAGCACACCAGTGGGGGCTCATGAGTAGCAGTACTGGAAAGCCATAATCTCTCACAATTGTCCCTAGACCCCCTAAGGGGAAAGTAGTCTTCCATCCTCTGGGGACCCCAACCTGCTACCATGGCCCCAGAGGGAATGCTACAAACAAAATGAAAAATAGTCCCTACCCTCTTCCCCTCTTGGAACTTACATTTTACGCTGGGGCACAGGATAGGGAGTAGAGAAAAGGGAATGTAACATTTACATAGATAAGAAAGAGTAATATAATTTGAGGAGGGAAAAGAGGACAGGAATATTAAAAAAGAAACTCAGAGGAGTAGGAATGTCTTCCTAAGGCGACTCTTGAATTAACTTAAGGATTCTAAGAGGCAGGTGTGAGGACAAAAATACATTTCCACACTTACCATTGAGTCTTTTCTTTTGCCCCTGATAGCGACTTGGGAGTGATGAACCTCCCCCACTGAAACAAGAAGATGGAACGTTATTGGTCAGCTTCTCTCAATTTCACCAAGCCATAATTAGAATGGCCATGTCTTTATGGCTGATGAGGATAAAGCCCAAAGAGGAAAGGTAATGTGCCCAAAGTCACAAGCTAGTAAAGAAGCCTTAAATAGACCTTGCTTATAAATTGTCTAGGGAGATTTTGGCCATTTTCACAGAATCACAGAATTTTAGAGTTGGAAAGGACCTCAGACGCCATCTGATCTAACCCATCCTTGAAAAGAGTCCCCACTATAACTTACTAACAAATGGTTGTCTGGCCACCACCTGCAGACCCAGTCAGCATAGTCCATTTTATTTTTGGATAGCTCCTGTCATTGGGAAGTCTTTCCTGAAATAGAGCTTACCTTTGTCACTTTAAATTTCTACTCATCACTTCTGGTTCTGCCCCATGGGGCCAAACACAACAAGGCTCTTTCTTCCCCCATGACCTAGTACAAGGCAGATTAACCCAGTCTCCTAGCTAGCTCTTCCAATTCCTTTTCATTCCATTCCATTAAAAAAAAAAATCATCTATGAAATGCCTACTATGTGCCAGGTGTTCTGCTAGATTCTAGACAAAAGCAGACAAAAATAAAGCAGGCTCTACCTTCAAAGAGCTTACATTCTATGGTAATTGGAAGGATACAGTGTAGAAACACGTAAATATAATGCTGTTGCAAAAGTTATCCCGCTTTAAGCCTAAGGGTAATATAATGGCCCCTAAACTCCATGTTTTTATTGTTGTTTGGTTGTTTTCAGCTGTGTCTGCTTCTTCATGACTGTAATTGGGGTTTTCTTGGCAAAGATATTGGATTGATTTGCCATTTCCTTCTCCAGCACATTTTACAGGAAACTGAGGCAAACAGAGTGAAGTAACTTGCCTAGGGACACACAGCTAGTAAGTATCTGAGGCTGGATTTGAACTTGGGTATTCCTGCCTCCAGGCTTGGCATTCTATCCACTGCACCACCTAGCTTTCCCAAACTCCAGATGGTTCCCTCCTTTTTGGCTTTACTGCGTTTATTTTAGATAAAAAGTTATAAGTTCAAACACAATCACTCCAAGCCCCCTCTCAGGGAAAATTCCTAATGTTTAGGCACAGTTTAGGCTCTTTGCCTAACCTTATATTTATGTCTCTAGTTAACCCCCTGGCCACTTGTTGGTTGAGACAAAATTTATTTTACTAGAAACATTTGGGTAATGAAACATCAGATTATATTATAGTGTCTGTGGATAGACAAGCTGTGGGAGGGGAAATTGGAAGAAAGGCAGACTTCTTATGAGCTTCCTCAGCCCAGGTCCTCTGCTCTGAGTTGCCTGTAGTTGCCAGCCTCCCTGATATCTTTTTAGCCACAGCTCAGTCCTATTTTTACTCCTCAAGGGTATACTGAACACTTACTGTCACTCTGTGATTCCAAAAACCCAAAGCTTTTACACAGGACTCGGAGGGAGCAATGAAATCTCTCAGCCATTTGAAACAGATGTCCTACCTAGCATAATTTCATTTCATCAAACGGCTTTGAAAGACTCTCCACACTTGGTCTAAGGAGTATGAGTGAGATCAGTGGACTGGGCCTCTTGTCACTTACATGAAGTGGGGTGGGGGAGACCAAATTACACAAGCTACCTGCAATATATTGTCCTTGACTCTCTGTCCTTGGTTGTGAACTTGACAATTGTTCAGGAAATAGGTTTGTAGGGTCTAGGCAGTGAAATGCCACCAAGTAGAGAATCAAAAATACATTTAATAATAAGAATGAATAAGATCATAGATTTAAAGACCTTAGATGTTGATGTGTCCAATCCTCTTGTTTTACAGATGAGGAAACTGAGGCCCAGAAAGGTTAAGTGAATTGCCTAGGGGCATACAGAGGCTGAGATGAAAGCTGAACATAGGTCTTCCTGACTTCAGAGCCAGTGCTCTATCCACTACACCACACTGCTTCTCAAGAGAATGGTCTTGGAAAGGGAAGGTACCTTTGAAATTATTTCATAGCAGGGAAGAATAATATAAGATTTAAAGCTGGAAAGGACGTCAAAGATTTTCAAATCCAACCCCTTCATTGTACAGATAAAGATTCTGAGGCCCAGAGAGGCAGTGGCTTGCCCATGATTATACAAGTTATGTTAGAGCTAGGGCTCTTGCTCAAGGCCTCTGAGTCCAAATGCAGGTTTCTCTCCTCTGCGCCCCATGGAAGGTCATGCTGATCACAAGCAGTGGAGCAGGAATGTGCATACCTGGTCACCAGACTGATCACCCCAGAGGAATTCCCTCAAATGACGGTGTGTCTGGATCCCAAGAGCACCATGTGCCCTGAGGAGCTATTTTTTCAAGGGTATGGATGGGCCATTTGGGGGTCTCTGCATTTTCTCATTCAACTCCCTTGGCCACCAAAGAGGAGAGTCATGATGACGGGGCAGTGTCTGTAACCAGGAACAAGAACCGGTGTTTCAATGGAAAGAGGGCAGGATCTAGAGGCAGAAGGCCCAAATTCAGCTGTTGATTTTGCTATTTAAGTGGGCAGGCTTCTTCAACTCTAGATCTCAGTTTCCTCATCTATAAAATGAGGGATTTGGACTAGATCATTTTTGAGGTTCCTTCAAGTTTTAAATCCTACAAACCAGAGCGAGCTCACTATTCCAATCCTCTGACTTGGGTCTCCTTAGACACCTTGTTATAATCAAATGAGCCATCTGGACCGGGTGGGGAGATGAAAGATTCTGTAACTCTACAGACACTTAGTAAGCGCCTGCTGTGTGCCAACTACTGGGGATACAATAGCAAAAGGAAAAATCCCTGCCCTAGGGAGTAACCATTGCGGATACACTTTCCTGAACCCCTAGCTTTCCAGCTCCCCTTAATGTGTTATCTTCCCAAGTAGACAATAAGTTCCTTGATAGTAGAGAGAGTCTTGTTTTCTTCTACTTACACCCCCAGTACTCAGCCTAGCATCTGGCACAGAGTCAGCATTTACTGCATCCTCTAACTATCCATCTACGTAGTCATCCAACTACCTGTCTGTTTCTCTATCTCTATTTCTACCAACTATCTATCTACCTATTTGCCCATCTACTTATCTTTCTCTCTTTCTAGCAAGTATCCATCTACCTATCTATTGGTCTATCTATCCAACTGCCTATACCCATCTATCTGTCCACCTATCTGCCTATCTATCTATCTATCTATCCATCTATCTACCTATCTATCCGTTCATCCAACTATTTACCTACTTACCCACCTACTATCTATCTGTCTGTCTGTCTATCTATCTCTATTTCTATCAACTATCCACCTACCTATTTGCCTACCTATTTATCTATGTATCCATCCATCCATCCATCTACTTATCTAGTGACTCTCTCTTGCTCTCCTTTTCTCTCTCTCACTAGATCACATGATCCTGTGTGAATGTGATAGAGTTGTAGGCGTAAGAAGAGGTAGGAAAGAGAACTGAGTCTAGTGAAACACTTTAATTTAATTTTCTCTTCCAAAAGATTAGTGTTAGCATGGTTTAGTTGAGAGTGTGCTAGACTTGGAATCAGGAAGACATGAGTTCAAATGTGGCCTCTGATACTGACTAGTTAACTATGTGACCCTTGAAAATTCAACTAACCTCTCTTTGACACAGGCATCTCCCTTGGACTTACCTATCAATTAGTCAATCACAAGTACTTATTAAATGTTTAGTATGTTCCAGGCACTGGGCTGAGTGCTGGGGCTACAAGAAATGATGATGATGATGATGATTCTGATGATGATGATAACTGTCATTTATCTAGTGCTTTAGGGATAGGTAGGTGTTGCAGTGGATAGAGCCCCAGTCCTGGAGTCAGGAAAGCTTGAGTTCAAATACAACCTCAAGCACTTACTAGCTGTGTGACCCCGGGCAAATCACTTAACACTGTTTGCCTCAGTTTTCTCATCTGTAAAATAAGCTGGAGAAAGAAACGGCAAACAACTCCAGTATCTTCGCCAAGAAAACCCCAAATGGGGTCATGAAGAATTGGACACAACTAAAAATAACTAAACAACTATAGTGCTTTAAGATTTGAAAAGTGGTTTCCCTTCCCCCCCTCTGGGGGGGCAGCTAGGTGGCACAGCGGATAGAGTACCGCCCTGAAGTCGGGAGGACCTGAGTTCAAATCCGGCCTCAGACACATAATACTTACTAGCTATGTGACCCTGGGTAAGTCACTTAACCCCATTGCCTAGCCAAAAAAAAAAAGTGCTATACAAATATTATCTTACCATCACAGCAACCCTGGGAGGTAAGTGCTATTATTATCCCTGTTTTACAGATGGGGAAACTGAGACAGACAGTGGTTAAGTGATTTGCCCAGGTTGCAGAGCTAGTAAGCGTCTGAAGCTGGATTTGAACTCCAGTCTTCCTGACTTCAGGTCCACTGCACCCACCTGCACTCCCTACATGAAATGAGCTTACTTTATAATGGGAGAGATGCAACTAGTACATTTCTAATAAGTCATAGAGAGGTTGTAGTTCTGCTTCAGTGGTGAAAGTTCCCAAAGCTGATGTGAAATGGGAAAAAGATGAATTTTTCTTGAAGGGTCAACTAATTTAGGTTTTATTAGACTTTTTGGAATACATAAATGCCCAAGGTGAAGATCGATATCCTTCCTTTTCTATCCTTCAGGATTCATGGTCACACCTTAACATTTCCCAGCCACAAATGTTCTTAGACACAGGTGGTTTCTCTGAAGGTTTCTTGGAGTATGATTATTTCCCAGGAGTTCAAAACACTTTTAAAAAAGTACTGTTTAATCTCCATAGATTGCCTATGCCCTGGGAGATATGTGGGGGCTAGGTAGAAATTCTGTCACCTCAGGCAAAAACAGTTCATAGCATCATAAGTGTAGGGCTGAAAAGTACTTCAGAAGGTATCTAGTTCAACCCCCTCATTTCTATAGGCACTGGGGATCTTAAGAGTTCAGTGGATCCTAGTTGGTTCCTAATATTACTGGTTTCACCTGGTTGAGTCCCAGGCATACATATAGATTTCCCTTCAGAGAGTGTTGTATTTGGACTCAGAGGCCTCAAATCCCAGTTCTTGGACTTGCTACCTATGTAACTTAACCTCTCTGGGCCTCAGTTTCCTAGACTATAAAATGAAGGGGTTGGACTTGACTGTCCTTAAGATCCCTTCTGTCTCTGAAACTATGAAACCTGTGAAAAAGGTTAATGCCGAAGTCCAAGCAATAGGCTGACTTGTCCAGGTGTGTAACTCTGTAGGAATGAGTGAGCTAGTGCTCAGGGTGTTGGCTTTATCCTAACAGCTTCTGGCATTCTAAAGATATCAGCTAGGTGGTACTATGCATAGAGTGCTGGGCCTGGAGTCAGAAAGACCTGAGTTCAAATCCAACCTCAGACCCTTGTTAGCTGTATGATGTCACCAGGTCAAGTCACTTAACCTCTGTTTGCCTCAGTTTGCTCAACTGTAAAGTGGGGATAATCATAGAGTTACTTTCCAGGGTTGTTGTAAGGTTCAAATAAGATAATACTTATAAAGCACTTAGCATAGTGCCTTGCACAAAGCAGGCATTATATAAATGTTTATTGCTCTTCTCCCCTTGACTTACTTTGGGGTTAAAATAAGAGATGTGCTTGGGAATTCATGACACGTCTGGTGCTTGTGCTCTGAAAGGTTAATTTGTCTTGGAAACACTCTGACAGGTTCTGGAATGTGATTAAGTCTGAAAATAACCTCTGCTCTTGCCACTTCTCCCTGTTGGCTAATCCCAACGTTGCTCTACTGTTTATTTAGCAGCTAAGCAACAGATGGATGAAACTGTTCACATTAATTTTACAAGTCGTGAGAAGGACTCAGCTCACACTTCCATAGGGTTTCCAGTTTTCAGAGCCCTTTCTTCCCAATCAGGGAGATCAGGGGTGGGAGGCTTATGACCTCTATTTTGCAGATGGAAAGACTGAGGCTGAGTGACTGGCCCATAGTCACATAGCTAGTAAATGTCAGGGGTGAGATTCTAACTGAGGGCCCTTGATTCCAGATCTGGAACACCTTCTACTACCCTATGCTGCTGCTCAAGTTACTATGTCTTTAGTATTTCAGTGGACATCTTATGATGCTTCATTAGGGCATGGAGATGTCTTGGGGTCAGGCTTCATTTGATTTGTTGTTTATTCAGTTTGGGTTTTTTTCGGTCACGTCCAACTCTTTGTGATCCATTTGGGATTTTCTTGGCAAAGATACTAGAGTGATTTGCCATTTCCTTCTCCAGTTCTTTTTACAGATGAGGAAACTGAGGCAAACAGGGTGAAGTGACTTGCCCAGGGTCACCCAGCTAGGAAGTGTCTGAGGGCAGATTTGAACTCAGGAAGATGAGCCTGACTCCAGCACTGGCCCTGTATGCACTATGGCGCCCCGTAGCGGCCCCTCAATTGAGTAACAAGCTTAAAAAACGACTCTAGTGAAAAAAGCTCTCGGGGTTCCTCCTGAGCTCTGCTCAGCTGTCATCTAAGGACCATTTTAGCTAGGCCTGGAGACGGTTAGCCACCAGGTGATGAGATTCATGGGCCACAGAACCTCACCGGATCCCATCTTATGAAGGTGGAGAGGGTTGGTCGTCTGTTCCTCTATCTATGTCAGGGGAGAGAATATCTCCACTGATGGACAGAGTTAGCAGATAGAGTGATGGGCCTGGAGTCAGGAAGGCTTGAGTTTAAATTCAGCCTCAGACATGTATTAGCTGTGTGACCCTGGACAAGTCACTTACCCTCTGAAGGTCTTAGCCTTGTCACCTGTATAATGGGAAATAATAATAGTCTGTAGCTCACAGGGCTGTTGTGAGAATCAAAGGAGACACTATTTGCCTGGCACACAGAAGGCACTTAATAAATGCTTGTTCCTTTCTTACCCCACTGGGTAGTTGTGAGGATAAAACGAGGTAACATACATAAAGTGTTCTGTAAGCCTCAAATGAGTGGATCATTGTTAGCTGCTTTTTCCCAAAGAACTCAAAGTACTTTTGTGATGCTGTTTAATCCTAGTAACTTTTCTCATCCACTAATACCTTTCCTCCCCTAAGACATATATGCGGGAAAGTTATTCTTAGCATAATATGAATATTACAAATAGGAGGCAGCTTGTACCAGGGAAGGGAAGAGGAAGTAAGCATTTATATAGTCTCTACTATGTGCCAGGCACTGTGCTAAGCACTTTTACAAATATGATTTGATCCCCCAAACCACCCTGGAATGTAGATGCTATTACTGTCCAGTTTTTTTACAGTTGGGGAAACTGAGGCAGACAGCAGTTAAGTGACTTGCCTAGGGTCACGTAGCTTACTTAGTAAGTGTCTGAGTGTAATTTGAACCCAGACGCCAGGTCCAACGCTCTGTGCACTGGAGCGCCACCTAGTGGCCAGACAAGTCAAATCGCCACTCCCACCTCGAGCACCACTTCTTTGGGACCTGGTCGAAGAAAGAACAGGATGCTGTACTCAAGACAGCAGTACTCACCTCTAGACCACCGGTTCCGCTTTAGCCTAGCCCCCAGAATCATGAGTCGGGGGAAGCAACGTCTGTGGAGAAGGGACCAGCCATCCCCATCAACTGCCAACCAACCACCCCCAAAATGGCAGGCAAGCCAGCCTCGATGAAGCAACAGGTCGCTCGGAGGGAGAGACAGGGGACAGCATGGGTCAGGGTCACCACCTCCCTTCAGACCCTGATGAGATGAGCTCAGGCCTGTGAAGCCAGGAGTCTTTGGAGCAGCAGTGCCCTCCAGCCTAGCCCCTGCAGCTGTCATTGCAAGGGGAAATCACGGTGGAGAAGGAGAAATCACTCCTGTATCACCACCAACACTGACTGCTGACCATTTGGCACCAATGGGCAAATAAGCCCAAGAACCCTAAGGGTGGCAGCATCCCGTAGTATCAACCTCCAATAGAAACTGAGGCTGCTAAACTCTACCTGGGGATCCATATTGACTTAGAAAACCACCTGTTAGCATCATCTTTGTTGTATTGCATTCTTATGCATTTTGTTGAATATTTCGAAATACATTTGAATCTGGTGGTAGGTTTTGTTTCCAAACCAGTTCACACGCCCATTAACCTTTAAAACGGAGTGATCACTGTCATCTGCTCTCTCTTCTTTCCACCCGCAGATCATGTCAAGACTCTTCAAGTCTACTCCTGAAGGTGTGAGGGTAAGAGAACTAGTGCCTCCCCCCCCCCCCGGAGAAATTCTGTTGAATCACGAGTGCATGGTAATAAAGCTCAGCTGGGTGAGTTAGGGCCCCTCCCTGCCTTTCCCCCTGTTTTCCTTCTCTGAATATAGAAGATTGAACCACAAACCTAAAATGGCCTCAAATGTCAGCTCCATTACTGTGTGACTTTGGCCTGGTCTCTTCACCTTTCTGGACTTCAGTTTCCTTCGCTGTAAAATTCGGGTGTTGGATTAGAACGAACAGTCTTCAAGCTGCCTTCCTGCCCTGCATCTATTGATTCCACAAACCTAGGCCAGGACAGCACAATCTATGGGAGGCCCTGCCAACCTGGAAGGGCAGCCATGGGCCTGCCAATGGACTGACTATGTGTCACCTGGGTCCCAACCTGGCTAAGTTCCTTGAGGCTCATTGCTATATTTGGCCCTTAGGAGATGATTTTTTTTTAATCTTTGCCACAGAAAACTCATCAAAATGATCCGACTAAGGTCCAGAGGAGTTTCCTAGGAGCCTAGATTTGGAGCTAGAAGAGGACCTCAGTGATCATTGAGTCTACAGATGAGGAAACCGAGGCCCAGAGGTCAAGGACTTGCGCAGGGACACACAGCTGGTCTGTGGTGGGATTTGAATTTAGGGCTTCCTGACTCCAAACAAGCCTTGTAGCCACATTGCCTCTCAGTTTTGATTTTCATGGGCGGATGGGTCCTTGCCCTGACAGAATCATGGGTCACTGAGTAGTGAAAATATTTTAGTTTTAGGGTTTTGTTTTGGTTTTTTTGGCTAGGCAATGGGGTTAAGTGACTTGCCCTGAGTCACACAGCTAGTATTAAGTGTCTGAGGCTGGATTTGAACTCAGGTCGCCCTGACTCCAAGGCCAGAGCTCTATTCACTGCACTGCCTAGCTGCCCCTAGTATTGAAAATGTTGGTGGGGATTGCTGTGTTCCATCAGTGTGTTCTATTTGTAAAGGCATATAGCACAGTGCCTGGCATGTTGGTTCAGTTGGTGTTCAGTTGTGTCCGACTCTTCATGACCCCATTTTGGGTTTTCTTGGCAAAGATACTGGAGTGGTTTGCCATTTCCTTTTCCAGCCCATTTTCCAGATGAGGTACATAGTAGGCGATCTGTAAATGCTTATTCCCTTCTCTTCCCCCCTCTCCTGTGTGTATGCTCAGTTACCCACACAACATTAGGCCAACGTCCCCAATAGCACACTCAGTTCTGGAACGCATCCAGTCCCCCACCATTGCAGCTAGCTGCTGTCTAACCAGTACAACTACATTTGCCAAATGTTATAGATAAAAAGCAGAATTTGAATCTAGTTCCTTCATAATCCTAATCCAATACTCTCTCCCCTATGCTATACTTCGAAAAGTAGCCACAGTCACATTTTTTCAGTGTAAATATGTATAGTAGAGAAATAGTGCTAGGTTTGGAATCTGAGGTCCTGGGTTTGAGTACCCACTTTACCTTTCCTTGTCATTCTTAATTTTCAGGGTTTCCCTCTGAGCGTGTCCAGTTTTTCCCGTCTCCATGTTGTTTGTACATAGGTGTTTGCAGGTTGTCTCTCCTCTCCCATTTCAGGACCCTTTGAGACCAGGGACTGTTTTTTGCCTTTCGTTGTATACCCAGCACTTAGTAGGTGCTTAATAAATGCTTATTGACTTGACCCGACTCACGTTATTTAAACCATTCTGGTCCTGAGTTTCTCATCTAGAAAATAAAGTGGTTGGATGAGGTGGTGTGGAAGGTTCCTTCCAGCTCCAGAGCCTCAGGTTGGGTGATCTGCACAGTTTATATAAGCTCCAGCAGCAATGTTTCCCACAATGGAGATGGTTCAACCGGTCTATGATACCTACTATGTGTCAAGTGCCTTGCTATGCAATGAAGATGCAAAGAAAGGCAAAAAAAGCCAAAAACTATCCCTGCCCTCAGTGAGGTTACATCCTAACAAGGGAAGACAACACTGAAGAGGGTCAGGGTCAGGGAGGAGTGTTGGGGACAGGGAGATCACAGGAACGGTGATGGGAGCCAGAGAACAAGTGTTTGACAGGTCCTTTCCAAGAATGACTGCAATGTTATTTCTGCTTTCAGACCTGGAGTGGAAGGGGTGTGAAGGAAGGAGTTAAGCGGGCATGGGTGCAGCTGCTGAGGATAAAGAGGGCAGGGAAGGAACATGGCAGGTCTGGGTCTGGGCAGGATAACCTTGAGGGTAGGAAGTGTGTTTTTGCAGAGTGAGAGAGACACAGAAAGACAGAGGCAAAGAGACAGAGAGACAGAGACAAAAAGATAGATACAGACACACACACACACACACAAAGAGAAAGAGAGAGAGATTTGATGAGAGTATTTACAAAGGGTCTGGTACTGCACTCAGCCCTTGGGATACAAGTAGAAGCACGTTAGATAATTACTGCCCTCAGGGGGATTTCATTCTAATGGGGAAGAGGACTCACAGCGGAGCTGGAGGGGATGAGAGGAAGGATTATACTTTCATTGATCTGGCTGGAGCTGTCCAGGAAACGCTATGGAGGTCTAGAATTAAGCAGGATAAGATGGAAGTAGCTCTAGCGAAGGAACGATTTTCTGGTGGGGAGTGATAGGTGAGGGACTAAGTGGAAATCTCCAGTACCCTGCACGGTGCCTGCTACAAAGTAAGTATTTAATAAATGCATGTTGACTAGCTGACGGACCCTTTTCCCACCTCTCTAACGAGAGGAGGGAAGTATGTTTTCTCATATTTCTGGGGCCAAGCTTATTATAAGGGAAGACTCTCTGGAAAGGATTCATGTGTTGGTTGGTTTTTCCAACATGTTTTCTTCTGTCTTATATGTCTTTGTTACAAGAGAAGGTTCACAGAGTAGGGAAGGCTAGGAGAAGCATGTTAGGAAATTAATATGACATAGGCTGGCTACGTGGTGATTTTTTTGGCCGTGGCACCCTTCCCCAATAAAAATGGCTCTCAGCCTTCTGCAGCCCCCTCCCACTTCTGTAGGGATGGTGGAAGAATGGTGGGAAAGGTCAGAGGGTCCTAAGAATTACACAGATCATCAATAAACTTTAATCTGACCATTGGTATTCAAAATGTAAAGTCCTTGTCCAATGACCAATGATTAGATGTATCGTTGGAGCAGCTAGTCATGTCAATCTTTAAATTCTTTCAGTAAGTTAAACCAGAAGAAGAAAAGAAGGTGCCGCTAAATGGCTCCTTAGAAAGGTTAAAAAAAAGAAGTTGGCAGAATCTTATCATATGCCCAGAAGCAACCAGAAGCATCATTTTGTGGTATATTTGATCATCATGTATTGCAGCATTAAAGATAAGTTTTTCCAAAAAGACTACAGGAAAATAATTGTAGCTTCTATGCCAGTTCCAGTTGCTGAGGATGGAAGTGGCAGGGAAATTCTACCAAATGCCTTGATAATATCGTCTATATTGAATTAGCAGACAATCTGATACCCGAATGACTTCAAAGTCAAAGTGGGGGATAGTGAGAAATATATGGGAATATATGGGAAAGCATGATTCAGGAGGAAGGAAGGCCTAAGACTGGTAGATTACACATAAGTCTTATGCCACTATATCATGAATGCTTTCTTTAAAAAATGATTTGCTAAACAAGGTGAGCACCAGGTAATGCTTTAAAGGATGAAACAAATTACATTTTAATAATCAGGAAAAGACGTGTTATTCCTGAGTCATCTTTCTGTGCATAATCACCATTTACTCATAAGAAATAAGATTAGAATTAATGAAGAAAGAGGAGGAGAAAGAGAAGGAGAAGGAGAAGAATAAAGAAGGAGAAAGAGGAGAAGGAGAAAAAGAAGACAGAGGAGGAAAGAAAGAATGATAACGAGGAAAAATATAGCATACAATTCCAACAACTTAATTCTGAACTATTTAAACAAGTAATTGAAGATAAAACATAGGAAGTAGACAATAGAAATGACATTAACAGCAACTAAAATAATTTCATTCCTAAGTTCAACTATCAATTAACTGAATGCCACAAGGAGACCAAAAAAAGATTGAAAGCCAAACAGAGAGAAATGGCTGCCAAAGGTGTTAAAATATAAAGTCCCTTGTAAACTGTTATAGAGAAGGATGACGGACAGTTATGAACAATATTGTCTCATAAAGTAAAGAGAACTGGAGGCTAAAACAGATTTAAACACAGCATGGCAAGAAATCCAACTAAACAAAGTTATTCCAAGGGCATTCAGGGATGAAAATGTAAAGAGGATTACAAACAGAAAAAAATGGAAAAGATTTGCCAAAAACCCCATTCTTATCAAATTGTTTTTTCTGTCAAGAGCAATGGAATCATCACACGTGGACCTTAACATCACAGTCTTCAATGTGCATATAGTTAGAAATGGGACTAAGGAGGGAAAAAATGGAGAAACCAGCCAGATTGGACCAAATAAACATAGAGATCCTTGCTGGAGATGATACAAATGTGAGGGTTTTGAAAGACCAACATGCAGGAGGGAATGATACCAAAAGCACAGAAAAAAATCTTGGACTTTACTACTGTCCCTCAAAAGAGACTAAGAAAACATTAAACTACCCACCTACCTGCCTACAAAATCTTTTTTTTTAATTTTAATTTTTAAATTTTATTAATTTATTTTGATTTATCAACAATCACTTCCATATGCTTTTGAGTTGAAAATTTTTCTCCCCCTTCCTCCCTACCACCCTCCCCAAGACAACGCACAATCTGATATAGGCTTTACATTTACATACCCATTAAACATATTTTCACATTAGTGAAGTTGTAAGTAAAAATTAAAACCAATAGGAGGAACCATCAGAAAGATGAAACAAAACTCAACTTAAGGTCAAAATAAGTGAGAGCGATTCGACTTCCATAGTTCTTTCTTTGGATGTGGACAGCATTTTCCATCCCGAGGCCTCTGGAGATGTCTTAGATGCTGGTAATGCTGAGAAGGGTTCAGTTTAACAATCTTAGTCATCGCACAACGTGGCTGTTATTGTGTACAAAGTCCTCTTGGTTCTGCTCACTTCACTCAGCATCAGACCATACAAGTCTTTCCAGGTTTTTCTGAAGTCAGCCTGCTCATCATTTCTTACAGCACAATAGTATACCATTACATTCATACACCACAACTTGCTCAGGCATTCCCCAATGGATGGGCATCCTCTCAGTGTCCAATTCTTTGCCTCCACAAAAAGAGCTGCTATGAATATTTTTGTACATGTGGGTCCTTTTCCCATTTGTTTGATCTCTTTGGGATATAGCCCTAGAAGTGCTATTGCTGGATCAAAGGGTATGTACATTTTTGTCGCCCTTTGGGCATAGTTCCAAATTGTTCTCCAAAATGGTTGGATCATTTCACAACTCCACCAACAATGTATTAGTGTTCCAATTTTCCCGCATCTTCTCCAACATTTATCATTTTCCTATTTTGTCATGTTGGCCAATCTGATAGGTGTGATGTGGTACCTCAGAGTTCTGCCTACAAAATCTTTACAACCATCATCTATATACAAATCAAAGACATCCTCAATGAGCTGTTAATGGGGAACAAACCAACTTTCACATGTGATAATCAACAATGCACCACATTTTTACCGATACATACATCAGAATCATTCAAGATATTCCTCATAAAGTATAACAACAGAAATATACTTCTCAAACAATCATCAGCATGGTATAATACAGAGAAGTGCAATAGTCACCAAAGGGGTACTGGTCCAACTTGCTCTTCCATTCTTGGGTTGAATTCTCAAAGGGTGGCTGCTACCTCAGATTCTAGGGTGCCCTGTAGGTAGTTCCTCCTGCTACTGTGTTGCATGAGCCCCCACCGATATGCTTCCCATTAACAATCAGCCAGCAGACACAATTAACTCAGCAAAGGCTTTTACTATGATGGCATAGTAAAAAGAGTAGCTACAAAACATTCCCTTCATAAACATATTATGAATACACATAACATTCAATGAAAGAGTGGCAACAAGAGTATGATGGTAGTGAGGCATGCATGTAGGGAACACGTGTGGCCAAAGCACTCTTAACTCTGGAACTGCAGGGCTTCAGCATCCTTTCTCTCCTGGCAATAATAATAATAATAATAATGATAATAGCTAACATTTATATAGGGCCTACTATGTGCCAGGCACTGTGCTTTGCAATTATTACCTCACTCGATCCTCACAACAGCCCTGGGAAGGAGGTGCTATTATTATCTCTGTTTTACTGATGAGCAAATTGAGGAAAACTGAAGGTTAAGTGACTTTCCCAGGGTCCTACAGTTAGTGTCTGAGGCAGGATTTGAATTCAGGTCTTCCTGAGTCCAGGCCCAGCACTCTAATCCATTGTGCCACCTAGCTGCCTCATGTAGTGGTGGAGTCCTCATGACCTTCTCCCCTCACTGCAGTGTCTCTGCCAGGTGGGTTGGGCAGCTGGGCTCCCAGGGTCTGCTCCTCTCCTCAGCTGGACTGTTGGCTGCTCGTATTAATTCTCTCATGAGTCCAGAGCTGGCATTTTTCTCTGTCACAATGGGTCATGCTCCCTGAAGCTGCTTCCTCCCTAGAGTGACTGTCTCTGTGTATCTATGTTTGTCTGCAGTGTTCCTCCTTACTGATGGATGCATTATCTCTTGCACTGTCTCTGAGCACTTCTTCAAAGACGAGCAGAACGGATCACAGAATCTCAGACTCTCCCTGGATATGGCACATACTTGTAACCCCTGCTACCAGGGAGGCTGAATCTAATGGATCACATAAGTTCTGAGCTGCAGTGGGCTAAGCTTATGAGGTGTCTATGCTAAGTGTGGCACCAGTATGGCGAGCCCCTGGGAGCAGGGTCCACTGGGCTTCCTAAGGAGGGGAAAATCTGGCCAGGATCAGAAGTAGAGGAGGTCAGAGCTCCTGTACCAATCAGTAATGGGTTCAGGCCCATGAGTGGCCACTGCTCTTCTAGCCTGGGTGAAATAGGGACACCCAGTTTCCAAAACCAAAACCTTTCCTTTGACTTGTACCATTCCCTGGACGGTTGTTTTTCCTTTTGCCAAACTCCTGGAAAAATCTGCTTACGCTTACTGTGTCGACATTTTTACCTTGAACTCACTTCTCAGTTCCTTGCCAACTGGACTCTGAGGGCACCGCATGACTGAAATCCCTCTCTCCAAGGTTACTAATGATCTCCTAACTGGTAAATCCAGTGGCTTTTTCCGGGCCCTTTGACCTCCCAGCAGCCTTTTATACTGTTGACCAAGCTTTCCTGCCAGACACTCTCTCCTCCCTTTTTGTGATTCTTCTCTCTCCTCTTCCCACCTTGTCTAAGTTGTCTTCTATTAGAGTGTGAGCTTTTCAAGTTTGTGGACTTTTTTTTTTGCCTTTCCTCATACTCCCAACGTTTAGCAGTGTCTGGTGCATAGTAGGTGCTTAATAAATGTTCCCCCCCCCGTCTTTCCAGTCTTCTTATACCTTACTCCCCTTCACCTGCTCTGTGATCTAGTGACACTGGCCGCCTGGCTGTTCTTTGCACAACACTCCAGAACATAACACCTGCTTCTGTGTGTTTTAACTGGCCTTTTACCAGGCCTAGAATGCTCTTTTCTCCTCACCTCTGCCTCCAGGCTGCTCTGACTCCCTTTAAGTCTCCCATAAAATCCTACCTTCTACAAGAGCTCCTTGAGAACAAGGACCTTTAATTTTGGCCTTTCTCTGTAGCACAGTGCCTGGCACATAGTAGGTCCTTCATAAACGTTTGCTGACTTGACCTGACCTGACCAAAGGGTAAATTCATTTATCATTAAGCTGCCAGGGAGAGCTGGAAACACTTCACGGGATGATCCCAGGTCTTGTCTCTGCAGGCTCCAGTGCAGCCCAGTACAGTGCTCCCATCTTCTGCCTGCACACCTTTGCTCACGGATCATTGTGGTGCCTGGAATACGCTCTCAGCTCCCCCTCCTAGAACCCTCAACTTCCTCCAAAGCACAGCTCAGATGCCACCTCCTAAGGAAGCCTTTGCTGACGGCCCCTTATCATTTCTCTCACCAACACTGCTTGAAGTTACTTTGTATCTGGTCTGTATTGTTCAGGTTGCCTCTAGGGGTACTTGCTACGCTCCTGCAGAGCAGGGACAGTTTCCTATCTTTTCTTGGTATATATACTCGGCATCTGATACTGAGCCTGGCACACAGAAGGTGCTTAATAAATGCATTTGAGTTGTATTGCTCGCCCTCTCCAGACTCAGAACATGTCATGTATCCATTGCCTTCCCTCAGAATAGCAGACGTGGAAAATGACACTCAGGTTGATTGACTTGTATGAAGTCACTAAGCTGGCAAGTGTTGAGAACAAGGAAGCAGGTGTTTCGAATGTTGTTACCCCCATTTTACAGATGAGGAAACTGGCTCAGAGAGGTTAAGGGACTTGCTTGGGGTGACCCAGGTAGCAAGTGTCGGAGGGGACATCGGCACCGAGGTCACTGTCTCTCGATCCTTTAGGGTAAGGGCCGGGCAGGACCTCCTGGTCCCAATAAGTAGAGGAGGAGCGTGGAGCCCGCTCACTTAGACCCCACCGTCCCGCGCGCGCGCGCTCCAGGAACCACACACGAGCTTCCACGAAGCCCGAAGAACGCGTTTTGTCCCCTCGGCGCCGCCGTCCGCGGCGCGGGGAGGGCGGGGCTCGCTGGCCCTCGGCGGCCACCGTGCGGCCGTTACGTGGCAGTGGCGCCGGCCCGCCAATCGGCGTCTCCCGCATCAGTGCCCCACTCCCGCCCAGGGCGGCAGCAACCGGAAGAGGCGGAGGCTGAGGAGGAGGCGGCGGCGACGGCGGCTGAGGAGGCCGCAGTCCCGGCCCTAGTCTCCGTCCCCCGCCAGGCCCCGTGCCCGCTCGCACGCCATGGTGACGCTCCCGGAGGTGCTGACGCTGCTGGCCGCTCTTCTGGCCACAGCCTCGGGTTACTTCGTTAGCATCGACGCGCACGCGGAGGAGTGCTTCTTCGAGCGGGTCACCTCGGGCACCAAGATGGGCCTCATCTTCGAGGTGGCCGAGGGCGGCTTCCTGGACATCGACGTGGAGGTGCGCGCGCGCGGGGCGGGGCGGGGGAGGCGCAGCGGCGGGGCGCGCGCCCGAGGGCGGGAGCGCGCGCCGAGGAGGGGGCTCGGGGCATGGGGGGGCGCGCCCCGGCCTGGGGCTGAGTGGCCCCTCCCCCGCAAGTCCCCTCTCGGAGCCCCGGTTCCCCCACCTGTCAGTTAGGGGTAACGTGCCAGTAGGCCCGAGCTCGCCGGAGCGTGGGGCGGGTCAGGCCCCAGCTCGGGCGGCCAGGGGATGCCAGGTGTAGCCGGTGGTGTTCGCCCTTTCCCGGCACTTTCCTTCTGCTCTTTCTCCATTCCTTTCTTCTTTTCCTTCTCTCCCTTCCCTGTTCTCTTTCTCTCCGTTTCCTTCCTCAAGTTTTTCTTTTTTTCTCCCTCTGTTCCCCCCTTTTTCTCCCCCCTTCCCCGTCTTCTCCACTTTTCATCTCACCCCATTCACACTCCTTTCAAGGGTGAGGTCCTGTCCAGGTCCGGTTTAAAGTGTGTGTGTGGGGGGGGTCACAGCTGGTGTGGCAGAGGCTCGTCCCCCACTTCCCGTCCCCAGGCCGGATCGTTTCCTTCCCTGGGGTCCTTTGCAGACCGAGGCCAGGATTCTTTGGAAGGTCGCCCACAGACCCGATCATCTTTGTGACCTTGTGGAAGTCACTGCATTTTTTTCAGCCTCAGTTTCCTTCTCTGTATAATCAAGGCGTTGGCCTAGATCCCCCGGGCGCTGCCAGCTGTGATTCTGTGAGGGACCCTGCTTAGTGACCCTGGACACTGTAACCTGATGCTGAGCTTTACGCAAAAGCCATGTGGAGCAGCCCCCGTGCCAGAGAGCCGTCCTGGGGCCAGGCTGGGTATATGGCCGGAGGACAGCTGCTTGTGAGCCCCTGGGCTTTGTGTGAGGTTAGCGGGCCAGGCGGAGGCTGCTGGCCTCCATCACCTCCTAGTGACCTGATGTTGTCTAGTCTGGGGGTTCTGGCGGGTGCTTGAGAGCTTTCACAGTTGGAGGCCCTGTTCCGGTAGCAGACCAGCCACAGCTACCTCAAGAGTGTTATAGGGAAGCTACTGAAGGAGCAAAGAAAAGGTTTCTAAAACACTTGCGCTTTTAAAATAAAAGGATTAATTTCTCTCCTTAAAAAATGTGTTTAGGAGTTCTAATTTAACACTGAAGGGTCATAAATGATCGTAAATAATGAGAATTAAAGGTCATTCCCTCTGTTGTCTCCAGAACAGGAACATGAAACAGTGAGACTAAACCCACAAAAAAATTCACAAATCCATAAAAATCTAGAAATTGTGTCTGCTTGAGGCAGTTTAAACTATCTTCAAATTGGATTTACTTAACTCTTTGGCGTTGGTGATAGTGACTGCTGTGTTAAGAAAGCTGGCAGCTAACTGGCTATAATCTGCCTTTCTCTTGTTGGTCAGAAAGTTTCCTTGAGCTTTATTATTGCTATCAGCAGTAGATGTTAAGTGCTTGTTGTGCATGTTAGGCACCATGCGTGTGTCCCCTTTTCTCCAGACACACCACTGCTGTCCTCGTGCAGGCCCTCTTCGCTTCTTGCCTTGCTTCCAGGTCTCTCCTCTTGCCTGTCTGTTTTAATAATAACAGCAGCAAGCATTTCTATAGCACCTACTATGTGCCAGGCTCTGTGCTGAGTGCTTTACAGATATTATCCCATTTGATCCTTGAAACAAGCCTGGGAGGTAGGTGCTATTATTATCCCCATTAGATGAGGAAACTGAGGCAAGCAGAAGTGAAGTGACTCCCCCAGGGTCATGAAGCCTGGCAGTATCTGAGGCTAGATTTGAACTCAGGTCTTTCTGACTCCTGGCCCAGCTCTCTGTGCGCTGTGTCACCTAGCTCCCTTTACTTCTCCATGCTGCTAAAATTATCTTCCTAAAAGTCAGGTTTGACCGCATTACTCCTGCTCAAGAATCTTTCATGGCTCCCTTTTGCCTCAAGGAGAAAACGCAAACTCCTCCCAGTCTCACGGTCTGGCTTCACTGTTGCCTTTTCAGGCTTCGTTTTCATTTCTACCCTTTTGTCCGTGTCCCAGCCAAACTGGCCTTCCCTGATCCGTTTTATCTCCCACCTCAGAACGTTTGTACGGGGTGTTGCCCATACCACTTCTGATGCTTAGGATCCTTACCTTCAAGTTGCTGCATTCTGTGGAAATCTTTTCTTGATTTCCTAGACATTAGTTTTTGCTCCCTCCTCGTATTGTCTTGTATTACTTGTCTGCTGTGCGCTTTATCTCCCCAGTAGAATGTCAGCTTCTTGAGAACCTTGAATCTTTTCTGTTTTGTTTTTCTATCCAGTGCCCCTTTCATCCATAATAAATGCATGTTGAAGTGAATTGGTGATGCAAGAAGGTATGAGAACTGGGTCTCAGTTGGGTAGGCAATCTAATTGGAGCAACAGTCGTGAAATCCTAGATTTAGAGGTGGAAGGGACCTTAGAATTTATTTATGTATTTAATTGCATATTTATTTACAGATGTTTCATTTTGCAGGTAATGAATCTGCATCCCAGAGAGGAGGAAGTCATTTAGGCTCCAGGGCATGATCTTGTTAGCTTATGGTAGAGTGTGGTAGAGGAGAAGGAATATTGGATTCAGGAGTCAGGAAACCTTAGGTCACATTCTGCTCACTCTGTAAAATTAGGGGGTTGGATTATGAATTTGATACTTGTTTCAGGGCATATTACTTTTTTTCTTTCCCACTCCAGATTACAGGACCTGATAATAAAGGAATCTATAAAGGAGACAGAGAGTCCAGCGGGAAATATACTTTTGCAGCTCACATGGATGGAATTTACAAGTTTTGTTTTAGCAACAGAATGTCCACCATGACTCCCAAGATAGTGATGTTCACTATTGATATTGGAGAAGCTCCAAAGGGCCAAGACATGGAAACAGAAGGTGCGGAGAACCTTTGACAGACAATGTTGACATGATGCTCCTTTGTTTCGGGGAGAGTTGGCCTTGCTTAGCACACCTTTTTGCCCATCTGGATAGAACTCTTGGTTAAGTCCTCTTTGACATTCTTTTCAACACCCCTAATTGGAATGAGTATTTTGTCAAGTAGCAGAAATGATATTAATCACTTAGTTATTAAATTTTATTCCCTCCCTCAGCAGAGAATTTGCTTTTTGAAAGCCAGTATTTTTTTCTGGTCAGTTCCATGTAATCAGTTTTTGTTGTTATCACCATGTAGGATACTTTTTGGATTATTTGTTCTTCCATTACTGTGCTAATATTGGTCTGACCTTTTTGTTTGCCATTGTATAAATGCCTAGTTTATCTGCACCTTTTTTTTGGGCGCCTGTGTTTATCTCTTCCGCTTTTCTTTAGGTGGAGGAGATACCTGGGATGGTATGTGGATTGCTTTTTGACAGCTCATTAGCCTCCTGTCTTTTGCATACATTCATTGACTAATGTCTAATTTGTGCTTCTCTTTTTTCTAACCTCAGTTTGTTGGCATGAGAATGTTTTTCCCTCTTTTTTTTCTTTAAATTAAAAAAAACCCTATACATGATTAGATCTAAGTATGATTTGTAGGGAGATTTTTTTTTGTTAGCAGACATGGTCATGCATCTTTGAATTTGTTTTAAATTATGTTATTTGGAACATAAATCATTTATTAGTGTTTTATTTTGTTTCTTTAAGATTAACAAGGGAGGTATAAGTAAATATAAACAAGTTAGTTTACAACCTGATTGAAATTTGACTTGCTGTTTTAATGATGATGTGTGTGAAGTTTTGTGGGCTTGCTCTAACATGATTAAAATTTATCCCCTCCCCCCTTAACTTCGAGGCTTGGGTGGATAAGAAATATAAACGCAGGTGTTTGAAATGTCCTTATACATCATATAGAGCCCCTTCCACGGCCGTGTTTTGGTGCAGTGGTGAAAATTTATTGTAACTACTGTCATCAGTTATCACTGATGAGGTGCCCATTGGTGAGACTCAGAGAGGTCCTGGTGCCATTAGATGGGAGGCAGAAACCAGTCTGCTGGCAACTAAGGTTCCTATTCTGATGGAAAAGTTCTGTGCATGTGTATAAAATCTTAGGCATAAGCTGCTGTTTTTTCAGCATGTCTCAAAATATTAGCATGGTAGCCTTTGCTCTGTTAATGGAGCAGTCAGTAGGAGCAGCAAGAGATCATGACACGGGTGAAATGTCTCCTTTGGGTCTCTTGAAGGTCATTTTGGTCGAGTGATTGTATTTGACAGACAGGAGCAGACTGTCTGTGATTTGTACGTTCGCTCTTCAGAAGCTTATTTTCATGGTGCAGGACTGTCTGATTTCCGGTGAGAGGTATGGGTTTGAAAGTCTTTGTTTTTCCTCTCCATCTTGCTGGAAGATGGCCCTGTGTGAGTACTTTGGATATGTTGGCTGATGAATGTGAACAGTGAATTGTTCTGCAATAATCCTTTAACATAAGAGCTAAAACCCTTGCTTTTGCTTGTTAATGGCAATGAATGGCAGCTGCCAAATCAGGCCTTCCCCTTAAAGGTTCCATGTAGTGCACTGGACTCTTTGAGCAAAGCCTTTTGAGGAGGCTCTGATTTATAGGCCAGCTCCACCATAATTATGTGGCTGGCATCTGCCCCTCTAACAACACGTTTATTATCTATTGTCTTTCCTGTCCTGTTAGGGTGATTGGGCATCCAAGCTCTGTCCTGTTGGATCTTACATTTCTCTGCAGAGATTCCCCCAAAATGCTCATTTTTTAAAGTAGTGTTTTTTACTTTACTGGTTATCATATAATCGCACTACCTGGAAGCGAGTCATTTTTTCCTTTCAGAACTGATGTTAATACATATACCCTGTGTTCATTCTTAATCAAAGGTGTACCTAGCTGAAAATCTTTATACCCCTGAGAACCTGTCTCTGTATTTAAGTATTGGTTATTATCCACTGTATTAAAATTGCTCCTTTGAATATTATGAAGGAGTATAAGGGGCATCTTTAGTGTTCCCTAGATAGTCCATAGTTTTTAAATCTGATTAGGGATACCTCTTGACTTTAAATGTTCTGTTTATGTTGCTTACAAGTTGATACTGAAAGTTTTAAGGTGAGAAGAGCACTTAACTTAAATATTGTGAAAACATACTGATAGTATATTCTAGGATCTTATGGGGGTTTTTTTTGGACTTTCGTGTAAAGGAATTGCCAAAAAAATTAAGATTTACTTGGATTCTGTAATATTAGGATTGTTACCCTCCCCATTGAGTCCTTTTCCTTTTCTTTGCCTTCTTTTGTTGGCCCTCTAACATCCACTTGAAAACAAATCCACAAAATCAAAGGAGGAAATCAGTTATGAAAACCTTCTGTTGGTAAGCATTTTATAATATGATTCCCTCTTTACTGGTTCAAAGAGATTTCTATCGTCTGAATGTCTGCTTTAGGACATACTGTGAAGATTAAGTCATTCTCAGGAAAGTTTAGCCCTTTTCCATGATGAGATGTAGAATGGTTCAACGTGTCACTGAAGTTGTGTGGCTCTCCTGGCCTTTTCAGGAGAAGTATTTTCTAATTGTGCAAGCCCCCATTCTGTCATGCTGTCAGAAAGAAGTCTGTCCTTACTGTTCTTTCCACCCTTCTCCCAACAGCTCATCAGAACAAGCTGGAAGAGATGATTAATGAGCTCGCCGTGGCGATGACGGCCGTAAAGCATGAACAGGAATATATGGAAGTCCGGGAGAGAATACACAGAGCAAGTAAGTGGAAGCAGTCACTCTGGCAAGCCTCCCCTCATTTGTGGGGGGCAGAGCAGGGGACTGAGGGTTTCGGCAGCTTGAACATCTTTTCACTTGGGTCATCTTTGCCTCCCATGAAAAGTTATGCTCCTCCGGGTAATACTTTTGTGTCTGTGGCTAGAGAGCACTGGCCTAGCCACGCGGTTACTGAGGAGTTCTTGTTCACCCAAGAAGGCCATAAATCCAGGTGAGTCACTCAACTAGAATAGTCTGAAGAACCCCCCAAAGTGCACAGTTTGCTGAGTGGTAAGCATATTTCCTATCTTTTATTGATTAATTTTTGTTTTGTTTTGCTAGGCATTGGGGTTAAGTGACTTGCCCAGGGTCACACAGTTAGTGTTATGTGTGTGGGGCCGGATTTGAACTCAGGTCCTCATGACTCCAGGGCTGGTGCTCTATCCAGTGTGCCACCTAGCTGCTTGTCCTATCTCCTTTTAAATGACATAATGTGTGTGCTGGATATGGCAAATGTCAGCTGTTATTAACCAGGAAAAGGCAGTCAGTTTCTGACAGCACTGATAAAGAGACTTTAAGGAGGGAGCCCGAGTTGCTTTTAAAACACATAATATGTTGAATAACTTTATATGTTGAAAACAAAACACCAAAAAAGAAAAAAACTGTGCTTAAGAAGGAAAAGCCAAGTACAGGTGTTCCTCAACTTAAAAGTGGGGGGGGGTCTTCATTGTCATCTTTTTGTCTGTACTAGAGAGATCTCTCAGGGAGGAAACTCTCCTAGTGCAGGTTGGCACCTTCTCTTTTCTGTGGGAAAATTTATTGCAGCAATCAACTTACAAAAGAATTTTTAGGATACCACCTGCTTTTGAAATTCAGTGTGGCAAGAGGATCAAGGACCAGCCGGACTTGGCTGGTGACCTCGAGGAGAGTGATGGGGCCAATGGGAGGTAAAGGGTTTCCCTGGAGTCAAACTTGAATACATTTTCCCATAGAAAAGATCCTCCTAGCACAGGCTGGGCAGAGGTACCTCTTTCCCCTCTAGAGTTCTCCCTGTTCTCCCATAGACCTGAGACTGGAGTTGGCAGAACCTGGTGAGAACTGTCACCCCTATTTTGGTCTCCAGCCAAGCGTCTTCTAAGAAATGAGATGGATGAGAATGCAACTGATCTGAGAAAAAAAAAACATGATCTAGCTGTCTTACAGATTTATTGGGAGGGTCATTTGCAGTGGTTTTTGTAACCTGCTTCGTCACTTACTGGAGGCTGCTCTCCAGGGATCTAGGAAGTCTGATGATTAATCCTTACTCTCGAGTGCAGCACACATGTGGGCACATCTGCCTGTCTCTGCCTCCAGCATCTCTTTGGCTCTCAAGGTTCTTGGCTTTAGAGTCAGGCTTTTTCTTGCCTCATCATCTCCCTCTGACTCTCAATTTCCTTTTCTGTAAAATTAACATGATCCCTCTTAACAGTGTAAGGACCCATCAGATCAAGTTTGTTGAAGTGGCTGGAAGGAAAACACAAAAGCCCATGTTTTTCGAGGTCCTTTTCTAGTATATTGATTGGTAGCTATAAAAATCGGGACTGTTGATGATGCCTCTTTTACAAAATTCAATGATTCTTGCTCTCTTTTGCTCCCAAACAGTTAATGACAACACAAACAGCAGAGTGGTCCTCTGGTCCTTCTTTGAAGCTCTCGTATTAGTTGCCATGACATTGGGACAGATCTACTACCTGAAGAGATTTTTTGAAGTTCGGAGGGTTGTCTGAGAAGGCTTTTCCTGATGGTCCCAAACTCCCAGTTCACTGTTTACCAAACATCTTCGTCACAACGATGTCACATAGTTTCTAAGCTTTTGTTTTCTGAACTATACACTCATTGCTTCTCTTTCTTCCTCACAACTAGGTTTTGAAAACACACCTTCTTAGCAAGGCTGTCCTGACAACTTTGACACTTAATTGGCATAACTTCTCATTTGGAATCTGCCTCCAACCCACAGGGCATTCCAGAGCTCCAGCACCATAAATGACGTGTGTTTTAGTCACGTTTGTTTGTCCTGTTTTCCTTTGGTTTTCATGATGAAATACAGTTTGTTCATAACACAGCACTAAGGCAAATAGTCTTTTACTAAAAGTGATTGTACATGTCTTTGGAACTGTGAACCTGCAGCAAAAAAAAAAAATCAGTTCTCTGAAGTTCTAAGGATCGACAGTTTAAATCATTCAAAACTGTCCTGCTAGGAACGGATAGAACCCTTGACCACCTTGGGGCACTTGGATTCATTTAGGGTAGTCTTGATTGGACAAGCCCACAAACTATGTTCTGTCCTAGAGAAGATGGGAACGTTCTTGAAGCTGGTCCCCAGGACTCAGCTATCTGTATTAAGTAGAGAACAAGTGGCTAACCCTCACACTTGGGCTGTGTCAGAGGAAGGCTGGAGGCTATCTTCAGCAGGTGGTAGTTAGTCTTTCTTAGCTGGCACGTCCAGCCCTCCCTCAGCCTTGTGTTGGCACTTAAGATGTGTGTTAATCTAAGCTGGGAAAATCTGGATTCCTGATGCCAAAGGGTTAAAGTTGGCTCTTAGATGTCATTGCAATGTTACACAGCCACCATTTCTTGGAGCAGAGACAGTGGCATTTTGGGCCGCTGGCTAGCTGAGGAGGACTGAGCATAATTCTCAGTACTAGGGTTCTTTTTTTTTTTCCCCCCTCTCCTTGTCTTTCATTTTAGCACATGTGAATTTTGCTTTGTATGAAAAATTACTTTTTCTTGGTCTCTGATGGGTTGAAAATTGAAACATCTGTTTATGGTGTGGGGCTGATCAAGGATTATGTTGTGGCTAATGTATATTAGTTACTTGTACTTTTTTTGATCTTTGCAAGGGGGAAAACTACAAGTAACGAGTTTTGTACTATTAATTTAAAGTTTGTTACAGGTTTTATGTTCAGAGTAAAAAGTTTTTTGACTTTGGGCAAAATACTTGCAGCAGTTTATTAATAAGGTGAGAGTTTTTTCACCTTAGTGTAACTGTTGAATGCCAATTTTATTTCATGTAAAAACACTTCAAAATCAAATTGAACAATGTAAATTAAAAATTGGATGTGTATCTAATTTGACCCAGGTCCAGTAAATAAACAGTTCTTTAAAAAAAAAAAGACTCCTTAGGATCTGAGGTTCAGTTATTTATTGGTGCTGTCAGTCCCACTCACCTCTAGTCCCTTGGGGCAGTGGGTGGGGGTGGCCCTGGGTACTACAGTTCTGGCAGATCTGTCAAGCTGGAAAGACTTCAGGGTTGGGCCTAGGGGTAGGAAGTGTGCTCTCCAAGGAGCAGCCTCACTTCCGAGAGTGTCTCCGTCGTTAAGAGTGGCCACAGTTGCTCTTCCCGACAACTTCATGTTGTAGCAGCCCAGATCACCAATAGCCCAGGTGTTTACCCAGCTGATGGAGTTGGATCCCCAAAGGGCTGCAGTGCGTATTTATGAATGGTCAGCCGGACAAACGCCACAATTTGATCTTTACTGAACTTCAGGTTTGTAGTGGTCTGAGTACTGGCAGCTGCTGTCAAAGTTGGAATTTTTGCAGAAGCATTTCTAAGCTTCCCATGGTTTATTTGAAAAGTCATGCCTGTAACTTAATGGCTTGAGAATAGAGTTGTAGCCATTGCAGCTCCCAGGGCTGAGAAGTGCAGTACGTAGACCTGTGTTTCTCTTTGTTCATTCTTGCAGACAGTCTTCTTTCACTTTTTTGAAGCTTGCCTTTAGAACCTTGTCCTGAAAATTTTGGTTTAGAAAGCTGTTATGCAGAATAAACAGACCTATTTGGGACATTGATCTATAAGGGAGGGGATCATTGCATTTATTAAGCACCTACACTGTGTTGTATGCTTTACAAATATCTAATTTGATTTCACAGCAATCCTGGGAGGTAGCTGCTGTTATCTCCATTGTATGGTTAAGGGAGCTGAGGCACACAGGTGAAATGATTTGCCCAGGGTCACAGCTAGTGTCTGAGGCCAGATTTGAATTCAGGTCTTCTGACTGCAGGCCCTAATGCTGTAGCCACTGTGTCATCTAGATGTTAGGAACTACCAACATCAATATTGAGTGTGCAGGGAAATCTTGGATTGATTGTCCTGGGTGGAAATCATGGGATGATAAGCTTAGGACTGGAATAGATCTTGGAGGTCTGCTCCAACTCCTTCACTTTATACGTGAGGACAGACATTGAGACCTAGTGTGGATAATTTTAGCTTAAGGTCACATAATACACTGTTTTCTACATTATTTATCAGTCACTTTTTGGATCAAAGAATCACCAAAGAAGTGTAGGTTTTGAACTTGAAAGTTCCTCAGAACTTGTGTGGTCCAGCTCCATATTATAAATGAGAAAACAGCCCAGAGAGTTTAAATATACCCATGACAGTAAAAGATGAGGGGTTCAGACTTGAAGGTCTTGTCACTTTGTTCTTTGTATGGATGCCGCTTTGCTTTATGCTCTTACTGTCTGGGGGTTGTGTGGGTCACTGGGCAGACCTGGGGCCCAGGAAAGGACACTTCCTTGGCCAAGCAGCTGTGACCTCTGTGCTTTGCTCACTTGGGGCTGGTCTTGCCTGTTATCACATGTTCTTAGTGGTGGAAGAGGGCCTATGATGTCTTGTCACCTGTCTGCATGTGCCAGTGAGGCAGCTGCAGAAGCAGTGGGGAAAATGGATCCTAGGGTCCTAGACTGTAGAGCCTGAGGGATGCTGACTCCTCTGTCCCCTTGGACAGCTGACAAAGTACTTTCCTAGAGCAGCCCTCTCTGTGAGGTAGGCAGTGCCAGAGTTCTCTCTCCCATTTCATAGATGAGGAAGCAAGTTTTGACAGGGTGTCAGGCTCACCCACACCTGTTTTCAGAAGCAGGCAAGGTCATGTAGTCCACATCCTTTGTCGATGAGGGACACTGTCCCAGAGGGAGAAAAATCAAGTGGATTCCCAGCTCAGTCTGAACCACACGGATGGTGCAAGTTTGGGCTGGAGGGGATAGGGAGCTGCCAGGGTAGTTTGGGTGAGGTGTGGGGAGGGGGTGACGTGGTGGGAAAATCACTGACAGCTGAGTAGGATGGGTAGGTGGGGAGAGCCTGGAGGCAGGCAGATCCACCAGCAGCCAGTGCAGTGGTCCCCGCATGAGGAGATGAGGGTCTGCACAGAGGCCTAGAGGTAACGTAGGAGAGGTAAGGTTGTTTTTGAGAGATGTTACAAGGGCAAGATTGATTGGCCTCAGCAGCGGATTGGACACGGGGGTGAGAGTGAGGGGACAAGTATTACACCCAGGTTTTGATCCTGGGAGACTGGGGGGATGCCGGTGCCCTTGGCAATACTAGGGAAGCTTGGAAAGGGAGAGAGTTTGGGGGAAAGATGATAAATTCTGTTTTGGGACAGATTGAGTTTAAGATGTCTATGGATAAATAGTTGGAGATCATTGAATCATGGGAACTGAGATCGAGTGCCCAGTAGGACACCCGTGGTCAAGGGGCGTGGCCTGGATGAGTATCGGGGTGGAGTGGTCTGGTAGGTAGGAGGGCCAGGAGGGAGGGTTGTCTGTCACAAATACTCAGAAGAGGCTTATTGACAGAGGGCACGAAGCATGAGGATTGAGAAAACGTCTCCCTTTGGATTTGGCAACTAAGAGATCATTAGTAACTTTGGAGAGCAGTTTCAGGGGAATGATGAGGTCAGAAGCCAGACTGCCAGGAGTTAAGAAGAGTGAGAAGAGAAAGTGGAGACACCAACGGAAGACGTTTTCTCTACGGAATTCAGCTACAAAGGGCAGCAGAGACAGAGGACGATAGCGGGGAGAGATGGTTCAGGTGAGGGTTTTTTGATGATAGGGGAGATGTGGGCACATTTGTTGGCAGCAGGGAGGCAGACAATTGAAGGATTGAGGCTCATCGAAAAGTCCGTGGTGAGTGTGAGCAGGCTGCAACCCCTGAAAAACCAGGAGTAATACGGGAATTGGAGTAGTCTAAGTCACCAAAGGATGTATGGAAGAAATGGATGGGCTGGTCTCACAGTAAAGAGAGGGTTGAATCCCGCGCCTGTGTTCCACTGGAAAGAACCCCAAAGGGCCCGGGGAGCTCCACCCCACCCCTTGCACCTGGGTGGATTTAGGGAAGAGGATGAGTAGAGTCGCCCAGGACCAGCCGGTGTGTAGACTGCGATCTGCATGGATGGTTGGAATTCCGACATTTACGAGATCACAGATACCATTGTGTTAGAGGGGAAATGGGCTGCTTGGGAGCCAGAAGGTTTTCCCCCACGGGAGGTCTTCAAGCCAAGTTCGGAGCAGGTTGGTCTGGCTGAGCCCGGATTCCTTGCAACGCGGAGAATCTGCAAAGCGCTTTCTTGTTGAAGGTCTCACAGCTGGAAGCAACAGAACTGAGCTTCGTGCAGACCCAGCTCCTCTGCCTCTTTCTCCTGCTCCCTCCCCTCCCCAAAACGTTTCCATTTTGTTTCCGCTTAATAAATGCTTGTGGACTTGAATTTTGGTCCCAATCTTTTAGTAGCAGAGAAAACGCTCTTCTGCTGATGAGCAGCTCAGTTTTGCACAATAAGCCTGGGCACGGAGAGGTTAGTAATAACTGCTGACTTGAATACAGCTCTTTAAGCGTCGCTAAGTGCTTTTCGTGTTAACTCATAGGATGCTCACGCGCCGGTGAGGCAGAGCTGCTACTTACCTCGTATTACCGGCGAGGAAGGTTAAATGAGGCTGAGGTTCAGAGACCTTCCAAAGCGTACACAGCAAATCTGTATCAAAAGCAGGACTTGAACTCGCCCTGAGCGCGGTTTTCCAACCTCTGCTGAATTCGGGGGACAGAATTAAGTCCCCTTGAAACTTCCCGATTACGTCCCTGAACTACGGGCACGTCTTTTTTTGGTTGGCTACTGCTAGAGCGCTAGCACTGGAGGCGCGGACCCGAGCTGCCGCTGGGGGCAGCCGAGGCCGGGGGCGGGGCATACCTCAGACCTCGTGCCTCCGCCCCAGCCAGCTTGCGAAGCCGGCCGCCGGCACTGAGCGGCTCTGCGCAGGCGCGTAACTTCAATCTGCATGCCCCACCCCCTTCTCGCCGCGGAACCTTCGGTCTCGGCGCGCCGCGCGCCGCGGGGCCGTTCGGAGGCGCACTCTCCGGAAGCGGATGCGAGCTGTGGCCGACTGAGGGGAAGAGTGGTCTCCTAATTCCGAGTTTTCCGGCGGGCTGCGGCGGGGCCGCGATGGAGCATGTAACGGAAGGTGCCTGGGAGACGCTGCCGGTGCCGCTGCACCCTCGGGTGCTGGCGGCTCTGCGCGAGCTCGGCTTCCCCCACATGACGCCGGTGCAGGTCGGTGGGGCCGGGGGAGAGAAGGGAAGGCCGTCCTGGGGAGGAGGGACCGGGAGCGATGGGGGAAGGGGAGGCCCGATCATGCTGCCCTCCCGCTCCGGTATGCCCCCTCCGCGGAGATCTCGGGCAACGCCGAGCAGAAGCGCCCTGGGAAGCGGACAGTTTGGAGGCCGCGGTGCCCCGGGCTCCCCTTTCCTCCCCCCCGTGTCTACGCGTCCGTCCCGGGTCCGGGCTGGGAAGCTCTTGGGGAGCCGGAGCCGGCGGGGTCATGTGCTGGGAAATCAGTGCCGGGGACGCTCAGCTAGCCGGGGCCCTTGGCCTCGTTCAGTGTCTCTGCCCCACGCCGTGGAGCCTTCGCACTTAAAGCACACGTGGTGTGGCTTCGTGGGGTTGCCGGAGGAGCCACGGGCGGGCGAGGTGGTAATCTGGCACAAGTCATTTACTCTGGGCCTCAGTTTCCTTATCTCTCTAATCCAGCATTCGGACTCCTTTAACGTGGCTTCTCAGTGGCATTGATAAAGTTATAGCGAACCCGAAGGTGGGAAGAGCTGGGTGGGGTCGCAGATGAAGCTCCAAGATCTGGATCATTGGAGGAGAATCTAGAGAGAACAGCGTCATAGAAACGTAGAGAGGAGAGTGTCAAGGAGGGGGTGATGGATTTGATGTAACCCGGCTGTTCCTTAAGGTTCCTTCAGCTCTGATGTTTTATGTCTCTACCCCGCCTCCTTTTACAGTAAGGAAACTGAGGTTCACAGAGGGGAGGTTACACGGGCTGGTTAATTGCTATGGTAGCTGAGGATTTTTGAGCTAGTAGAGTCCTTACAGATCATGTAATCCAGTCCCCTCACTTTACAGAGTTTACATTTTACAAACTGAGGTGCAGAAAATCGAAGTGACTTAGTGGCAGACTGACACCTGCCCTTCTTTGCCTGTCTAGTTAGTTAACCATCTGGAAGATGGCAAGGCAAGCGGTGGGAGCCTGAGTCAGCTCGCTCCATAGAGAAGATGGGCCAGTGGCCCATTCCCAGCTCCCTCATCACCAAGTTTTTTTGGGAGAAACAGTCCAGTGCCTGACCATAGTAATTGGTCCTTCCTCATTGACTGATGATGACTTTGGATTGGAAGTGAGGTGATGGGAGCACCCTCGCTTCTCTTTGACCTTGGTGGGGCACTTGTCAGCTCTCTCTGCCAACGTCATTTTCCTCATTTGTAAAATGGAGTATGGTGAGATGATCTCTAAATCTACATTTCCACCTCTAAGGTTGTAAGTGTTTAAATAGTTTTTTTTCCTCTTTTTCTCTAGTCTGCAACCATCCCTCTCTTTATGAAAAACAAAGATGTAGCTGCAGAAGCTGTGAGTATGCTCTGAAATCACTGTCTATCTTAGGTTTTTTACAAGAGGAAAAAGACCTTTGATTAAAGGAAGCCAAACCTCCGTGTTCTATATATAGGTCACAGGTAGCGGTAAAACACTGGCCTTTGTCATTCCTATCCTGCAAATTCTGCTGAGGAGGGATGAGAAGTTAAAAAAAATGCAGGTAAAATGATACTTGAATCATTGGTCACCATTGGTCCTTAGTGTAGATGTTGTCATTGCTGCCACAGGTGTATTGTGTCCTCATATAGCGCTCAGCTTTCTTTTGTGCTGTCCTGTGTGTGTGTGTGTGTGTGTGTGTGTGTGTGTGTGTGTCCTGGGTCCCTCTACTGGACTGTGAATTCCACATGTGCAGCCAGCATTGTGTTGTGTTCTACCCATTGAGGCTTAGTAAATAATATTAAATTAAATTGTATTGAATATAGGAAGCCTAAAAATAACAGTAAATGGAACAGTATGAGTCATAGCAGCCACTTGGAGCAGTGATACGTGTGGTCCTTGTGAGTTCTCCCATTACTGTGGTTTCCTTTAGCATGAGTTTTGACTGGTGTGTGAGAAGACTTGATTCTGAGAATTGGTAGTATAGTTGAGAGCAATATAGGAAAACCTTGCCTGGACTTTTGCTAACTCTGTGACCCTGGGTGAGTCACTTAACCTATAAAATGGGCATGATGCAGATTCTAGCCCTCACTTTATGGGGTTGTCACGAGGGTCAAATGGGGTAACATGCATTAAGTGCTTTACAACTTCAAAATGCCACAGACGTGTCAGTTATTATTAATTCCATATTGTCCAGTGTGTGAAGTCATCGAAGCTTTTCCTGCTGTGTAGGTCGGAGCCATCATCATCACACCCACGAGAGAGCTTTGCCATCCAGATCAATGAAGTGCTGCTACATTTTTCTAAGCACTTCCCACAATTTAGGTACATTACATTTACACTTTTAATTAAGCACACTTAAAATAATTAATTAATTATTTTGCCTGATTTGCCGAGAGTCTTGTCTCTTATTTTAGCCAGATTCTTTTAATTGGGGGTAGGAACCCAGGAGAAGACGTTGAGAGGTTCAAAGAACAAGGGTGAGTTAGCTTTATTTATCCTTTTCTTTCACTTCATAGCCCTGCACGTAGGAGGAGCTGCTGTCTCATTTGATGAAGGAGACCTAAGTGTTCCTTCTGCTGTGGCCCATCTTGCCTCTTCCTTAGTCTCTTTCCATCTCAGGGATTTTATCCCCAGACCAGTTTCCCCTTTGAGTTTTAATTTTGCCGTCTTTCTGTAAGGCTCTGAAGATGAGTCCCCTCTCAGGATTATGGAGGTGAAAAGGGAGGACTTTGATTCCTCTTCCCTTCTGTCCTCTTCCCACTTTCTCCCCCTTCACTGACTCTCTAGAGCCCACCACATTTGAGGTGCAGATTTACCCTTTTGGCATGCTTTGTTTGACAATGAATCTTAGATTGAGCGTTCTTTTTAACCGGGACTTAGATGCATATTTGGGCATTTGAAATTTTTGAGTCTTTGGTCATACTGATGAACGCTACGGAAGTCAAGAAAGGGCCCGGTTTCTTTTTCTTTCCAAAGTGGAAACATCATAGTTGCCACTCCAGGCCGCTTGGAGGACATGTTCAGGAGAAAGGCTGAAGGGTTGGATTTGGCGAATTGTGTGAAGTCCCTTGACATCCTGGTGTTGGATGAAGCAGACCGCCTTCTGGACATGGGCTTTGAAGCAAGGTACTTTGAGCAGAGCAACTCTGAATCAGCCTCCTTTTTTTCCTCTTGATTTCTGGCTGAGTTCTCTGGTCATTTTAAAACAACATCAGGACGATGGTTCTTGGGATTGTTGATGCGTTGTATGCTGCTGTGAAATTTTGGTCTTAACTCTTTGTCTGCTTGGATTGAATTTTTAAAAATCTTTCTTAAAGCATCTGCTGCTCTTTCAGAAGCATTACTGCTTCATTGTGTTGTTCTGGGTGCTTCCTTTTTTTGTCTCTATTACCAGTATAAATACCATTCTGGAATTTTTGCCAAAGCAGAGGAGAACAGGCCTCTTCTCCGCCACTCAGACTCAAGAGGTTGAGAACCTGGTGAGGGCAGGGCTTCGGAATCCCGTCCGCATTTCCGTGAAAGAGAAAGGGGTGGCAGCTTCGAGCACCCAGAAGACTCCCAGCCGCCTGCAGAACTACTACATGGTGAGGGGCCGGCTGCCAGGCTTTGTCCAGGGACCCCTTGGCTCTTCTTAGAAAGGTTCTAGGGACTCAGCAGTGCTGGGTGAGATCTGCAGCTTGGGCCCGGCAGCCGTTGTGTGGACTGTTTCCTAAGGACTCTGCAGTAGATGTTGTTTTCCTTATCGTGTGCCTACTGGGTACAAGGCAGTAATCGACCCTTGATGCCTGAGAGCTGTTTCTGAATGCAGTCTTTGCCCCGGCTTATTTAAGTGCTCACTTCAAGCAAGAGTAGAAGCCCACACACATTCTGGGGGGTGGGGGGGAAGGTCTGACTTCTCATCTGTAGTCTGGCAAGGAAACTTTGACTGACATTTCAAATGCTCTGCTTGGCAGGATAAATATTATTTTGAATATGGGTCTGGCCTCTGGGGATAGCTAGGATTTAATTTCCTTTCCCATAAGCTTTTGTTTCCTGGCTAGAAGGTGGAAAGTTTTTTGGGAAATTAGATCTCTAGGTCAGAAAGATGATATTCTTCCTGGCAAATGTTTATTTTAGATCCTGCAGCTCCCCCTGTTGGCCTTCCTTGGAGATGCTGCTGACAGCTCTGCTTTTCAATCCTCACTCATTCATTTATTCATTTTTTCACCACATATTTACCGGGTGTATATTTCCCTGCCCTGAAGGAGTTACCATTTTAGTGGAGATGGGGGGATATGTAGAATTTCAGATTCTTCTCCCATCCCCTCAACATCAAAGTGTTCCCCATTCCCATCTGTCTTCCAGTGTTTGAAGGCCTGTTATACAAAGGGGTAAACACTTGTTTTCTTTGACTGAAGGCTGAACGATGTTTTTATGAAGCAAATGGATGCTTGTTGTCAGGAGATGCTTTCTTTGAATATCACTATCTAAAAGGAGGATGGGCCACCTTCGAAGGGTGTGGGTGGATTTTGGTGAAGGTGATTCTTGGTCAGGAATGAGATAACCGATGTGGTTTCTGGGGTCCCTTCCTGTGCCGACCTCTTTTGATTCTATTATGTACCATGAACAGAAACTTCATACTTCTTTTTTTTGAGCACTTATTAAAAATTTGGAGGGGGCAGCGAGGTGGCACAGTGGATAGAGCACTGACTCTGAAGTCAAGAGGACCTGAGTTCAAATCCAGCCTCAGGCCAAACACTTGACACTTTTTAGCTTTGTGCCCTAGGCAAGTCACTTAACCCCAGGTGCTCCCCTCAAAAAATTGGGGGCAGTTATACCTGGTCCTGGAGGGTGGATTTGAAGTCCATGCTTCCCCTTTCCATGCTATAATCCTGCACTTTAATTTCACTTTGACTAACAGTGATCTCCTGGAATCTGCGCTACCAAAGAAATGTCTGATTATCATTCCAGCGAAAATATCCAGTGAATGGGTGAATTAATTCCCTTAAAATCTGTATGCTGGGACTGAGAAATTCAATGGAGAGAGAGTTGTAAAAATTAACTCACATTTTTATAGCCTCTCAAGGTTTACAAAGCCTTTTCCTCACAATAGTCCTGTGAGGTAGGTGGTACAGGGATTGTGATCCCCATTTTACAGATAAAGAAATTGAGGCTCAGAAATGAAAAAGGGCCCATATATTGTTGTCAGGTGATATTTGTCCTTTGATAACCTGACTCCACAGTTGAGAGTATTTTTACTGTACTATGTTCAAAGTTGTCTTTTTTTAAAAATTTTTCATTTCTTTTTTATACCTTTTAGTTTTCATTCCTTTGTTATTGTGCAGGTATGCAGAGCAGATGAGAAATTTAATCAACTTGTGCATTTTCTCCGAAATCATAAGCAGGAAAAACACCTGGTGTTCTTCAGGTATGGTTCTTGGGCTCCCTTGGGATTGGGGAAAGTACATACAGTGATCCAGCAAAGCATTGTTATTGGTACAGGATGCATGAATAAGTGTTACCAGGCCTCGAGTCTCTTTGGATTCTCTCCACAATAGTATTGGCCCTTGTTTCAAAATGGAAGCCAGGAACAACTTTGTACAAGTTTTGCCTTTATTCTGTTGGCTCAAACCCAGCTGTGGTTATGAAAGTGCGTTGTACGCACTTCTTTATCACTTGTCCTCCCGTCACCAAAGTGCATTGTTTTCTAGAAGTCAAGACCAGCAGCTGTTTGAGGAGAATCTCATAGGTAATTAATCTTCTATGAGTAGGGTAACAGCAGCTAGGTGGTATGGTGGATAGAATTCCGGGCCTGGAGTCAGGCCCTTCCTGAGTTCAAATCTGGCCTCAGACACTTACTAGATGTGTGACCCTGGGTGAGTCACTTAATCCTGTTTGCCTCAGTTGTCTCATCTGTAAAATGAGTTGAAGAAGGAAATGGCAAAGTCTAGTATCTCTGCCAAGAAAACCCCCCCAAACCCACGTGGGGTCACGAAGAATCAGGCATGACTGGAAATGACTAAACAACAACGAGAAGGAGTTGTTTAGGTAGAGGAGGTTAAAAAAAAAAAGCCAGACGTGAAAATCAGGCCTTATGATAGAGTGAGAAAGACAGCTGCTTGGGAGACCTTGATTTTAGTCCTTGGCTTTGCCAACAGATTGGCCACATGAGCTTAAAGCAGGGGAAACTGAGGCCACATGTGGCCTTGAGGCCAAAGGTTCCCCACTCTTGTCTTAAGGGAAGTGACTTAACATCTCTGGGCCTCAGTTTCCTCTTCAGTAAAATGAGAATGTTAATACTTGCTCTGTCTCTTAATGTTATTGAGAAAATCAGATGACAGAATGTGTGGGAAAGTACTTTAGAAACTAAAATGTGCATATAATTATGACGATAGTGAGTTAGCATTTTAGCTTAGGCAGCCTCCCATTTGGAGGTCAGGGCCTTTGGCTAGAACACATTACGATTCCCCTATCTACAATCTTGGCTGTGGAGACCACAACCTTAGTGTTTCAACTCATACAAAACACATCTGTCATCAAAGGACTTTAATCCCGTGACCCAAGAGGTCACGTTCTGCAGATTGGAATTGGGGACTGTGTTGTGTTTGCCAGGCTCTCATCATTAAGAAGAGTCTTTTAATACTTATGTTGTTCCTCTGATATTTATTTTGAAATTTTTAAGTTTGGAAAATGATAATTGGGAGTAGGTTTATCTCTTCGTATCTTCCTTCCCCTCATTTTATTTCAAAGACTTTGGGAGCACAAATTATGTTGAAATTTTAGGTGATTTGTTTTTGTTTTTGTTTTTTTTCGGTCCCCATAGTACTTGTGCCTGTGTGGAATATTATGGGAAGGCTTTGGAGGCCCTGGTTAAAAATGTAAAAATAATGTGCATTCATGGGAAGATGAAACATAGACGCAGTAAGATATTCATGGAGTTTCGCAAACTGCAAAGGTAGGTTTGCTTCCTGCAAGATTTCACTGGGTCCCAGGGGCAGAAAAGATACAGAACATTAAAGTCAGTTGTGGTGAAACAGGAACGTTGTGTTCCCTCCAGCCCAGCGTGCCCTCAAGTTGGCTGCCCACAGGGCAGGTCTACACATCAGCAGCTTGGATGTCGAAAAATAGTTGACGTTTTGGGCTTGATGGTACGGCCACATATTGAATGATCGCGCTTTTTAATTTGAGGAAGAAAAATGTCACTTCTTGTCTTTGAATAACTGTAAGCAGAGGCATCTATGTTTTTTCCACCTGCTGAGTTGTGTGGTCAGTAACCATGTGTCTGGACTCCATAGTGGTTTTTTCAAGTATTATTTAATTGAGGCTTGACACCTGGTTGTAGACAGTTACGTGCCAAGTTGTAGGTAAGCAGTTAGGCTCACTAATTAGACAAGAAAAGGTTTTGCTAAAAACCTTGTGTGTGCTGTATTTGGCCCTTCAGCATGCATGTTGTCCATCCACACTGTAGAGGAATGAATACTTTGTTGTTCCCGTTACTTGTTTTCATGTGGAAATTTTGCCCTTGATCCACATTTTCAGTGGGAGTTGGCAATTTTAATTAAATGTTGTGCTGCTGGAGTAATGAAATTTTGTCGGATCCTTGAGATTTTCAGAGGAAAAGCCCCCCCCCCCACCACCACCCTGGTGTAGAGCATTAAATGCACTGTGTGTGTGACAGGCTTTGAAGATACCATCTGTGCAGTCAGGCTTCTCTTCTTAGTAAGTACAGTCTTACTATTCAATTTGCTTTTGGTCCCATATTACACACAGTTAATTCTGACAGATGTTTCCATCACGACATGTTCTTAACACAGAGTTTCTTGGTAGAATGAATACTCACTAAGTACTGTTTGGTGATATTGAAGCTAGTTAACTTTTAATCATAATAAATGCTTTTGTTTTTCAATTTCACAGCGGTATTTTAGTGTGCACTGATGTGATGGCCCGGGGAATAGACATTCCTGAAGTAAATTGGGTTTTGCAGTATGACCCACCTAGCAATGCAAGGTACAACACGTTCTTTCTGATAATGGTTGTGAAAGCAGTTCGTAAGCATACTATTTGGTGATAATGTTGCTTTAAAAAAAAAATTGGTATTGATATCATGAGTGGTGCAGTGGGTGGAGGGCTGGCCTTGGACTTAGGAAGCCCTCAGTTCAGAGCCCGCCACTCTCACACGCTGGCCTTGCTTCTTGGGGGCCTTCAAGCAGTTCTTAGACTTGGAAGTGGCTGATAACCTGTGTGGGTCAAGGAAGTTCCTGTATTGGGGAGTGTTCACTTTATCACTCACTCCCGTCCCGCATATGTCGCAGGGCTCTGTGATAGTCCAGATAATTGTCACTGTCAGAATTCCCAGCCCTGATGCTGATTGCCACCCATCTCTAACTTAGAGAAGTGTTTTCAATGATTAAGTCAGCCCAGGGTCCCACACCTAGTAAGTGTCAGGTATTTGAATTCAGGTCCTCTGGCCTCCAGGGCCCTGCCTTTCTTCCCAGTGCTGAGAGTTAAATGTGGCCTGATCTGTGGAGCTTGCCTTTTGACTAATAGGAAAATGCCCTCTTACCAGTAACTTTCTTAGATTGGTGCACACAGAACAGAGCTCAGCATTGTTTTCATCTCCCTGTTGCGTGTCCTCATCCCCCAGCTTTGGCCTCCACTTTGCGGCCAGCCCACAGAAGGCATGTTACTGTGTGTGAGGAGCCCCATCTTCCCTTTTTCACCCATGTTATTTCTATTCTGTTACCCTCCCCCAGGAGCCTCCCTTTGTAACAAAGATTTAAAAAAGAGAAGACAGTTAAGCAGAACCCGTAGAGAGATGCAGCATGTTCCAGAGTGTGCAGTGGCACTGCCTCTCTCCTTCCCCCTGCGTTCCTCGGTCATGTCCTTGGGACCACGACTGGCCACCATGCTCAGATGGCTTTCCCTTCCATTGCCCTTGTTTTCTGGTTCTGCTCACTGCCTCTCCTCCCCATCTTTATTCGCAGCGCCTTCGTGCATCGCTGTGGGCGCACAGCACGGATCGGCCACGCTGGCAGCGCGCTCGTATTCTTGCTTCCCATGGAAGAGTCCTACGTCAACTTCCTCTCCATCAACCAAAAAGTAAGTTGGTTTTTCTTTTCCTCCAGCACTCGGTAACACGAGAGGTGAGAAGGAAAGAGTTCAGGATTGGGAGTGTGAGGGCCCTGCCCTGACTAGCTGGGGTGACTTTGGCCAAGTCCCTGTGTTAGCCTCTTGAGGACTTCAGTTCTGTGAAATAGGTGGGCTGGACTAAATATCTCCGAAGCTCCTTTCTGCCCTGACCTTATAATCTTGAGCAAATGCAACCTTCAAGTGCTTATTGAGACTTCAGGTTGTAGTCTCTTTCATGTCATTGAAATGTACAGCATACAGGAGCCAGTGCTGACCTTGGACTTAGAAGACCTGGGTTCAGATCCTGCCCTGACCCTTTCTAGCTGTGTGACCAGGGCAAGTTCCATCACCGCATGTGGCCTTAATTTCCCCATTTGTAAAGTGAGGGAGTTGGAGTTGAGGGACTCTGAGGTGCTTCCAGCTCTGTCTCTAGTCCTGTCATGCTGGGACTATCTTGGCCTCCACCGAGCATATGGTCCTTCCATTTGGGGAACAGGACACGTACAGAGATGACAGCCCCAGTAGTAAACAGTGGAGTTTCTGGTATGAAAAAGCAGAGCCCCCGGTGAGATCTGGGGCGTGGGGGAAGGTCATTACTGCCTCAGGGTCAGCACAGGCTTCCTGGAGTGGGAGGGTGACAGGCCACTTTGGATTGGGCTTCAGAGGGTGGACAGGAATTCAATAAGGGAGGAGGAGAAGTGGGTGCAAGGGGACATTCCAGATGTAGGAGGAGCTGAACAAAGAAAGGGAAGAGGGACGCTTCCAGATTGGTGTGGGAGCGGAGAGAACAGAGAATGTCCCCAGTGCGAGGAAAGTCATTGGAACATAGAACATAGACCTGAGGGACCATCACGTATGGAACACGAACACGAGTTGTGCTGGGGCAGGTCCCTTCTGCTCCTCATGTACGGTGAAGTCAGGGGGCACACAGCTTCCAACAGACAGAAAAGGAACCAGCTGCAGCATAAGGCACATTGACCAGCTGGGCATAACTCACGGAGGAATTTATTTTGCTTGATTATGCACATTTTACAGGCCTTTGGGTTTTTGGGTCTTTTTTTTTTTTTGAAGGGTAGTGGGAGGGAGAATGAAAAAAAATGCTTGCTAATTGAAAAAATTTTAATTTAAAAGGAATGGTTCTATGTATTTAAACAAATAAAGAAAATGAGGGGTTTGGACTAGACCTGTGTCCTTTTCAGCTCTAAAGTCTGTGATGGTGTGGTCTGGGTGTTTCCTCCAAGTTCACTGGTGACAGCTTGGAGGGGTATATTGGGGGCCTTAGGGACAGTTTATTGGATTCAGGCCCAGTATTGAAGGCTGTGATTTTGGTAGTGTCCCCTGCAGGAGATGAAGCCACAGAAAAACCCAGCTGACCTTCTCCCCCAGCTCAAATCAATGGCTCTGGCGGACCGAGCAATGTTTGAAAAGGGCATGAAAGCGTTTGTATCTTGTGTCCAGGCCTATGCAAAGCACGAATGCAATCTCATCTTCCGGTTAAAAGGTGAACTTTTGCCATTTGCTTATTTTTGCTCCCACTTCACACATCTGATGCTTTCCCAGATATTGCTGTTGTGTTAAGGTAGTACTCTTAATGTCGGTATTAGTAAGGAAACACATCCTTGGGTTTCAGGTTTAAACAGGCTGTAGCAATAACAGCAGCGGCAGCGTTTATTCAGCACTTACTGTGTTCCAGGCACTGGGCTTGGTGCTTTACAAATATTATCTCATCTGATCCTCCCAATAGTCCTCTCAGGTAACTGCTGTTATTATCCCATTTTACAGTTGAGGAAATTGAGGCAGAGGTCCAGTGACATGCCCGAGGTCACACAGCTAGTCAGTGTCTGAAGCTGGAGTTGAAATCAAGTTTTTCAGGCCTTTTGCACAAAACTCTAGCCACGGATACAGCAGCTTCCTCCTGAAATAGAGAAGTTACTGACCACTGAATTTCATTGACAAGCTGATACTCAGATTTTAGTGGTTTGTAAAAAAGCCTACTGTATTTTAATTTCTTCAGAAACGTTAAACTCTTTGGTTTTGTTAAGAAAAAAACCACATGCTGTCCAGGTGCAAGACAAATTTTTTTTTCTGATTGTGACTAATGCTGATTTTTAAATTATTTAGATCTTGATTTTGCTAGTCTTGCCCGAGGTTTTGCCCTCCTGCGGATGCCCAAGATGCCAGAGCTAAGGGGAAAACAGTTTCCGGATTTCATGCCTGTTACTATTGATACAGACACTATTGCATTTAAAGATAAAAACAGAGAGAAACAGAGACAAAAATTTCTAGAGCAACAGAGAGAAGAGAAAAAAGAGAATGAAGGGAAAAAGAAATTTATCAAGAACAAAGCCTGGTCAAAGCAGAAAGCCAAGAAGGAAAAGAAGAAAAAAATGATTGAAAAGAGGAAAAGAGAAGAGGTAGTGTATACAACCTTCTTTTGGCTAAGTCGCATGTAAATTCACCTTTGAATCTCTGAGCAAGTACAAAGTATGCTTGTGAGTGACCTTAAAAACAAGAGAAGTCATCTGGACAGATGTAGGCAAGGGCTTAAAATTTTACCACTTTTTTACATTTTGGTGACTGGTTTCCAGTAATTCTAATTTTTGTGGTGAGCAAATTAATTATAATTTGATTGAGCAAGTTATTCTAATTTGAGGGGCATGCATGTATAATTTTTAAAAATGAGTCATTGGGACCAATGTTAGTTTTAGAAGATGAGTGAAGAAACAGTTACTTCATCTCATTAGAGAACAGGGGGAATTCTGGGGTGGAACACTGTACCCACTTTGGTCTGTTTTTGTTAAAAGAAAGGTGTGGGGGGGTATGATGGGTAGTGGGATGGCATGGAAGATGGTCATGCCATGACAACAGGAGGCATTTACAAACCTTTAAAAAGTACATAAGCCATTTGCTTCTACCATGCATTTATGTTTCCAGGAATTTAATGAACAGTCACTGGTTTCTTCTGCTTCCAGGAGTTTGATATTGAAGATGAAGACATGCAAGAGCTGCTCAATGATACAAGACTCTTGAAAAAGTTAAAAAAGGGCAAAATGAGTGAAGAAGAGTTTGAGAAGAGGTTGTTGGCACGTGGCAAAGGCGAGGCCGAGCTGGCGGATTTGGGCTCCTCAGATCTAGATGGGGATGACAGCTGACTCCTGGTGGGCCATGTGGCAGCTGCAGCATCAGTGGAGGGCACCCTTTAATGAGTTCAGTGACCCGTACTGGGGGAGGGGGTGGTGGAAGGGAATGGGACCGACTGTTCTGTTCCTGCCTCAGGTGGAAATCTGGGCAGACATCCTTGCTCAGAAGCTGCGCTGTCTGCCTGGAAGCGGCTGGCTATGAATCACATCCCAGGGATCTCGTTTCTGCCTCCACCTTCTCAGCATGACTGAGGGACGCAAAAACATTTTTGCATATACATAAGTGTTGATATTTATTTTGAACCATTTTCCTACCGCTTTCTTGGAGCTAGTTTAAGAAATAAAGGTAATGAAACACTCGATTGTCAGCTTTTGAGTCATAGTTATTCTGTAACCTTTAACTAGGGATTTGGCTTCCTTTGTGGACATTGCTGCTGGGTTCGTGTGCTGTAGGTGGGGCCTATGGGGGGTAATGTTGTTCTGAAGGTGAATATTTGAAAAATCGAAAAGGGTGAACCATTTTTCCCAGGGGCAATTATTCTGGAGTACTTTCTTTTAGGGAAACCATTTACCTTGACCTGAATGGTTTCACGTGCTATTTCTTAATGTAGCAGGATTGTACATTAACAAAGTGAATATTGCAGTGGGCTTTATGGCTTCCTTTTGGAATTTATTTGCTTGTAACATATTAAAATTTTTCAGTGCTTTTTGGAAAGTTGCCAGTTTTACCCAAAATAATGTTCCTGAAAGTTTAGGGCTGTAAACTTTGCTTAGTACAGGGATTCTTAACCTGGCGTCTATTTCACTGATTGATTTCCTTTGAAATTTCATGTATTTTATTTATTTGAAAACATTCTGGAAGGGGGGTCCTGACACAATATAGCTTCAGGACCCTTGATTTAGAGGAAATTTATGTCTTCCCCAGCTACAGAACTCAAGTTTTTATTCCTGAAGGCCTCTTTATCCAGAGGTGAAAAATGAGGTTCAGTTAAAAATCAGTCCTTCATGGAGTTTCCAGCATTCGTGCCTGGGCTTTTTGTGCAGGGTCAGCAATGGCAGCCCAATGCTTTGTGTCTCAAGGGAAGAAAGTCCTGTCCGGTGAGATGGGTGTTCACCAGTCACGGGAACATGTATGGGGAGACTCAAGGTTACAGAGCCGGGTTGTCCTCTCAAGTTACACTTGAGTTTGGCTTGTATCTTGAGGAATCATTAAATATGGTAACAATAACACTGAAGTAGAGCTTTGAGGTTTGCAAAACACCCCTGGGAGGTGGGTATATGTTACATATCTCATATTTATTTATATCGTATTTAGGAAAACTGAGGTAGACAGGTTAAGTGACTTGCCAGGGGTCTACTAAAACTGTCTGAGGCTGGATTTGATCTCTGGTCTTCTGATTCTGCATCTTTCTACCCATTGTGCCCTCCAGTTTGAAAAAAATTGTGTTGGGACAGTCATGTCGGAAGGCATGAGGACATCTCCAAGCTAGAAAGTGGTTTCACTATAAATCAGCATTAAATTAAACTTTCTGGCAGAGTGGTACCTGATGGCAGAGTACAGTATTAGAATGAATCAGATGAGACTGAGACACATAAAAGCACTTTGTAAAACTTACAGCACCATATAAATATTAGCTGCTATTAATTCTTAAGGTGCAATTTGGTTTGAGTGAAGGGAAAGAACAGGTTTGATTTAGATAGGCATTGAATAAGCCAAAATAGGTACTTGAGGATTTGCCCATACATAGCTAAACTTTTATTAAAAACTGTATTTCCAGGGTATAGAGACAGTATAGATTCAGCCCTGAATTTCTTCATTTACATATTCCAAAGAGGACTGAAATTTATAATGGTCTTGGTTTAGACAAGACCATGTGCCTTCAGAATCATTATTAGAATACGCTATCCCTTGCCATACTGTGGGAGTTAGGGGTGTGGCACCCCAGCGAGCTGGAAAAGCCAAGTAAAATTTTTGGCTCTCCCTTCATACCAGAGAAGAAGTCTGAATGTTGTCTTTTTCTTTTTACAGTACCTTACTGTAAAATCTGTGTTGTCTGCTGGCCTCTTGAGTGTCGTCTGCAGCTTCCACAAAACTCCCCCCAAATTCCCATTTAATTTCTTAGGCCAATCTGCTATTGAAACCCTGATGGGCAAAGCTGCGATGTGGAAGGGACAACTGTACACTGTATGTCTGAAACAGAAAAGCACATAGTACACGTGCTGCTTGTGGGATTGAAACAGTCCATAAAGCTTGGAAGTTTTATTTCCTCCACTTTGTCTTGGGTCACCACCCTGTGCTTTTGGTAAACTTGATGGTCAAAGAGGACCGGGAGCTAGAGGTAGAGCTTGATGAGTTCATCACTGACTGCTGAGGGTGTCAACACCCCAAGGTCTGTGAACAGCAATGTGATTAAGGAAGGCGGGGTGTAGTCAATCCAGGGGTGTTCTTCTTTGAGATCTTGTCCGGCTCCAACAGACTTTAGTGTCGCCGCTTTGTACTGAGGAAGGAAAAATACGTTAATTGGGATGAAGGAAATGGAAACCAAGGTTCTGTCCACTGTGTGGCTACAAATTAACTCAGTGAATCTTCATTTAGCAAACATTAAGCCAAAAACTTAAGTGTTAGAAGAAATTAGCAGCAGGGATGGGTCGACTGATGACAGGATTCCTGCTGTGGGATCTATCATGAGGAGACTGTCTGTTACTCCCTTTAAATCTTATCAGCTGCATGAAGGATCTGACCACTTGGAGCCTTTCTCCATGACATCTCTCCCATTTGTCCTTCCTTAGCTCAGAATCTTACTGCCACTCAATGCATGTACGGCTTCATTTTCCTGCCTCTGGCCTCTCCTCTCCAACCTACCCATGCAGCCGCTGAATGGATACTCTTAAAAACGCTCAGAGAACGTTCCTCCTGCCTCTAGCACACAACACAAACTATTCAGCCTGGCATTTAAAGGCCTCCAGCCCACCTTTCCAGTTGTATTTCATGTTAGGCCCCTTCCCACAGTCTGTCAGTCCCCACGGCCCTCATCTTCTGGCACCACGCCTTTCTACAAGTGGCCCCCTATGTCTGGAGCTCTCCATCTCTTAACCTCCCCCTCCTCCCGTCACTGCATCCTGTCCCTCCACACACACACACACACACACACACACACACACACACACACACACACTCACTCTCTCTCTCTCTCTCTCTCTCTCTCTCTCACACGGTGCCGTATCCCCCAGGAGACAGGAGCTCCTTAGGAGAGGGGCCCTTCAGGTTTTTTGTTGTGCCTGCAAACCAAGGCTTCTTTCACAAGTGCTCCCTGAATGGAGTTGATGTGCTTGCTGGGGATTTAAAATAGCACACAGATGTAAAATTTTATGCTGATTTTCAGTAAAAAAAAGTGAAAAAACTTGACTATGTGTGGGGTTAAAGTTGGAGCATTGCAGACATGGCCTAGAATTTCTAACATGTAAATGAATCTCTTACCTTAAACTTATCTGGCACATCTTGCTGATTCAGAGGAAAGAGTCGGACAAACTTGAAACTTTCTGCCACTACATAGAAGGGCTTGTTCTGTGCCTTGGCACACACGGCTGCCTGGTTGGTGCCGATCTGTGGAAGAAGGAGAGGCCTTTTAACGTCAGACTAGGAGTTCCTGTATAACGTGGGTGCCGACAGAATACCAGGGCTGTACCAGAGGTCACTCACAAAGGGATTCTGTCCAACGACAAACTGTCTCCTTAAACCAGGAGTGGGGAACCTGTGGCCTCGAGGTGTGGCCCCCTAGGTCCTCAAGTACAGCCCTTTGACCGAATCCAAACTTCAGCCCCACCCCTGCTCCAAACCCTTCCCTCAGAGATCAAGTGATAGAAAAAAGAACCTGGAAGAACCTGCAAGAATGTTCTGTCTGTCCTCTACAAACAGATCAAAAAGGTCCAAGGAAGCAAGTCCAACATAACTCCATGTCACCTGCTTTTTATTTTAGTGGTACCACTGGGATTAACTGCTCCATAAATAAATACAAATTATGAATGCCTTAAATGAATTCAGGAATATTTCTGATACTAAATGAAACAATCATCTCGCCTCAACTTTGTCTTAGTTGTGTTGAGAACACATAGAAACTTGTTCTTTTGCCTAATCCATGAAGAATATTCCCAGAAACAAAAAGAAATCTGGACAAAATGAAGTTTCTCCAGGTTGTGTACTAATGGCTTGTGGAAAGAGATGCTAAGGTCCAGGACGGCATGACATCTGGGTGGAGTTATGGCTTCCTAACACTGAGTCAGGAAGGTCCCAAACAGGCACCTAGCAGCCCTGCACTGGAGACCTGTTCCTAAGCCTCCCATGGTCTGCTGCTTCCAGCACCAAAGAAGTACCCAAGCAAATCTAAAAGTTTGTTTTTGTTCAGTCATTTTCATTTGCGTCCCACTCTTCCCGATCCCATTTGGGGTTTTCTTGGCAAAGATACAGGAGTGCTTTGCCATTTCCTTCTCCAGCTCATTTTACAGATGAGAAAACTGAGGCAAATAGGGTTAAGTGACTTTCTCAAGGTCACACAGCTATTACGTGTCTGAGGCCAGATTTGAACCCAGGAAGCTGAGTCTTCCTGACTCCAAGCTCAGTGCAGGATGGCACCACCCAACTGCATGTAATCAACAAATACCTTGTTAATAATGCCGCCATTTTCAACAACTCCTTCTGCACCCACTATCACGAGATCCACTTTCTCCATGATGTAGCTAAGAGGAAAAGAAAGGTCCTCGTGACACGGTAACCAACAATCCCCCTACCCCACTTATGCAATTCCAACACAGGCCAATGGGAATTGTGTTTTTTTTGTGACAAGTAACCTTTCCCTTTTGCTGGACTTCGACTTCCTGGAGAATTCAGAGCAAGCAACAAGATTAATCCTTCAACCTGGGCTCTGATGTAGAGCTTCATAACTAGAACTGGGATTTCATTCATAGAGGGAGCTACCAGGTGAGGTTGGCATTCCTCTGCAACTTAGTGTTAAGAGAGTTGCCTACAGCCCTGAGAGGTCAAGTGACTTGCCTGGGGTCACTTAGCCAGAATGGTCAGAAGCAGAACTCCAACCCAGGTCTCCCTGGCTCCAAGGTCAGATATGTATCCACTATGCCATGCTGACATAACAACCTAATTTAAAAAACTTCTGATACGACAGCCTCATACTTTCTTTTTTTAAAAACATTCTTAAAAAAACATTTTTAACCCTAAATTCTCTCTTTCCTATCCCTTCCCCACCCTTTTAGAAGGCAAGCAATATTATATTAATTATACATGGAAAGTCATGCAAAACATATTTCCACTAATTTTTTTCAGGCTCATACTTTCTGTAATAAGTAACCTGTGCTCTTCACAATGGATGCTTCTAAAAATATTTCTAATTTCCTTACTCATCTGAAAATCTATCTTTCTGTCAGGAAATTAGCAACCATGCTTAGCATGGAATCTGCTGACAAGCCCAATGTTTGGTACCTGATTTAAAGGGAATAAACTACCCAACATGGTAGAAATGACAGACCTAGGTACCAGTGACCCGTGTTTTAGAATATGAGAGGCCACCAGTCACTGCTTAAATCTTAATCCTGAGGGTATTCTCCTCAAGCTCTCTCCCCTCCACCCCCATTTATGTATGTGACCTTTGTTTCTCGCCCTTAAAATACCTTAGCCCTTTAATGATCCTGTTAGCAAATGACTCCTGCTTCCCCCAGTATCCCCTAGTCCTAGACCGAGTAAATCACCAGGTCCAAGCTGACGCTAGGTGTGCTAATCTCACGTAGCTATTAGTCAAGAAATGGCAAACTACTTATTTGAAGTTTACAAGTTTTCCAAGCTTCCATTTACAACAGTGCTTCAGGCCAGCCTCCTAAAGGAGAACAAAAAGCATGGGTGTAACCCAGGAAATGAGACAACTCACCCAACAGCAGCATCTAAAATCACAGTGACTGGCACATTCAAACTGCTGAGAGCTTTTGCCATTTTCTTCCTGCAAATAAAATTCCAGGAGTGTTAGGAAATACCTTTGAAAAGTATTACATGTGATAAATTCAGATTTTAAATAACAATCAGCATCTTTAGCGTGGGACTTAGTTAACACTGATGTGTGGGTAAAGGTAGATCATTAGATTTTTGTCTTTAACAAAATGACATGTTTAAAATGTTAAAATGTCAGGGTATTATCAGATCACTCACAGGGTTTAAGATCAGCATATATAACCAACCCAGCAAAAATGAGCATGATCTTTCAGGGGACGAGATGGATATTCAACAAAATAGGGGACTTCCAAACCTTCCCGATAAAAAAGACCAGCGCTTAACAGAAAATCTGATCTTCAAATACAAAACTCAAGACACACACAAAAAGGTAACCAGGACAGAAAGAAACAACATGTTATTAATAAGGGCAAACTGTTTACATCCCTACCAGGGAAGATGACACTTGTAACCCTTGAGAACTATGTTATTACACCATGTTAAAAGGGTATACATAGAGGGGGGGTGGGTATAAGTTGACTTTGATGTAATGATTAAAAAAAATCTAATCAAGTGGGTTAAATGGATCCAAGTAAGTGGATTAATCTGATTTAAGAAAATGAACAGAGAGAAAAGGAAAGGAGGAGGCAGGCGTGGGTATATTACATTACAGGAAAAGGCACCAAAACCTATTACAGTAGAGGGAAAGAAGGGAGATGTGCATTGTTTGAACCTTACTCTCATCAGATTTGGCTCAAGGCAATAACAATCAGTTAGTTACTAATATGGATAGACTTAACCCTTCTCAGCAATACAAGGATCTAAGACATCTCCAAAGGCCTCATGATGGAAAATGCTATCCACATCCAAAGAAAGAACTATGGAGTTTGAATGCAGATTGAAGCATGCTATTTTTCTTCTTCTGTTGTGTTTGGTTTCCTCTTTCTGGTGGTTCCTCCTATTGGTTCTAATTCTTACTTACAACATCACTGATATGAAAATATGTTTAACAGGAATGTATATGTATAGCCTATATCAGATTGCACACTATCTTGGGGTGGGAGGGCGAGAAAAATTCAAAACTCAAAAGCTTATGGAAGTGACTTTTGATAAATGAAAAAAATTAATTAAAAAAAAAAGATCAGCAGGTATCAAACTAAATTTTCTGTTACCAGAATAGTTTACATCATTGTTCATGGTGAGTTTCAGTAAGAATAATTGCAACAGAACAAACTGCGGTATGTAACATGATTGACTATTACTGCCCTGTGAGGAGTGAGGACTGCAAATAATGCAGTGAAATATGAGGAGACTTGTAGGAACTGACGCACATTGAGAGAGCAGGCCCAAAGCAACAAGCTTCACACAATGGCTGCAACAATGTAAACAGAGACAGCGCCGAGGGGCAACAACACTCCAGTCAGACACAACCTAGAACGTCGCTTCCAATTCTTCCAGTTAAGATGGACGTGCTTTTTTGCTAACGACCAGTCAATCAAAAAAGTGACAGACGGTCACTTGCTACTATTCCATTAGGCGGCTGGCGCTGTCTCACCTTTTAATGCGAAAGGGGAGAGGCTGGAAGCGGATATTTGTCAGAAAGTGACGAATGAGTCAAAAGAAAATGTACTGATAAAAAATAAACAGCGACAAAAGATGGTTTCCACCTCAAAAACGAAGATGACTTTACTCTCTCTACCACAGCTGGAAAAGCCATGTCGGGTAATTCTTCAGGCCACACCCTGCTGCCCCAGCCCCCTGCTCCCAGGGCATCCTGGTTACTGAGGGGCCCCGGCGGCTAGTCACGACATGGATGACAATATGTGGTTCACACCAGAAAATGGTGGCTGTGAAGATGACAAGACTAGAAAGATACTTGCCCAGATAAGTCAGGCTGGGACTCGGTGACGTACACGCTGAAGCGCTTCTTGGCTGCGGCTGCTTTTTCCAGGACTCTGAGCACCACTCGTGAGTAGGCGTGAGTCAGTATCCTCTATCAAATGGAGAGATTTTTAACGCCTTGTGAGTTTTCATCTTTTAATTTAAAGAGTTAAATAAATCAAGCCATACAAAACTGGTTGTCTTATGATATTCTGATGTAATCTATATTCTATTTGCCATAATAGTACAGTAGGTCAGAATTCTGATACTTCCCAATAAATATTCCTTTTCCCAAATCAGCCTTGTGTGTAAAGCATGAAGGTGACAGCCCAGGCTTGGAGAAAAAAAAAAAAGGAAGGGGTTGGAAAAGATCCTACAATCCACAGAAATATTTTATGGGCCTCCTCCCTCCCTGTCCCACCCCTCTTCAGAAGGGGCCAGTAGGGACAGTGAAAAGAACAGTGCATTTGTAGTTCAAGTTCTGGTTTCAAAGCTCTGCCACCTGTGTGACCATGGGTAAGTCACTTGACTCAGTTTCCTCTGTAAAATGAAGGGGTTGAGCTAGATCACAGATGTCACTTGGAAGGAAACAGGTAAAACGTAATTGGGAAATATTTAACAAAACCTAGAATACAGCCTAACCTAGATAATGTTAATTTGTGGTTTTCTATGTCAATATGCGTTCTATTTGCCTTTGATATCACTGGCCCAGAGGACCACTGATGTCTTTTTGACTTTATACATGACTCTGTGGACCTCACTAGAGCCCACACTCTTGTCTAAACACGTATCTTTTAGATCTATGAGCCTAAAAAAGCTGGACCTGGAGTGGGCCTGGAAGTGAATCCCAGATCTGCATTTAACTCTATGTAACCTTGGGTAAGTTACTTTTCCTCTTTGCATCTCAGTTTCCTTATCTGTAAAATGTGGAGCTGGTCTAAATGACTAAGGTCCCTTCGAACTCTAACCTTGACCCAGCAACCCTAGCTGGAGCCGCCACTGTTCACTGACTCACTTGGATTGTGACCCGCTCTTTGAAAGGCTCCATTCGGTCCACCTCTGCTGGGTGTTGTTGGGCCTCTTAGAAAAATGAAGGATGAACACATGGTGTTCATGGTGTGTTGAGTTTTCACGTTTTAATTTAAGGAGTTAAATGAACAAGGCCACACAAAGCTGGCTAGGCCCACAGGGCCCCAGACCTTTGTACCCCTAGGATCTAATGCCGTGCTGTACACACAATACTAACTTATGATGGTTACTGAATTTAACAACCATTTATTAAGCACCAACTATGTGGAAAATACTGTGTCAGGAGCCAGGGATATAAGGACAAAAATGAAATGCTGCCTACGTTGGGGGAGGAAGGGATAGGAATTTCACTGGGGGGCATTATTAAAGTAGAGCATACCAGTATACAGACATATATGAACTATACTAAAACGAATGGTCTACATAATTTAACATGGCTGTGTTTGATGGAATAGATAGATGGTGAGGGAGTTAATGATCTCATTTCTGGTCAGGAATAAATGATGTACAAGTCGACCCATAGCCCTTAAATTGTTTCACTAATAACTAACGTACTTCAAAGGGGATAAACTTAGAGGGCAGTATTTAAGAGACAAAAGGAAATGAATAATCAGATGAATGGTTTGTGCACATATAATGACATGGATGTCCATTGGCTGAGAGAAGCACCATCAAAGTTTGATTCTCCTAGCAAGGGACCGGCTCAAATTGTTACTCATGAATCCCAGAGCCAGAAAGCCCTTCCTAACACCTCATTAAATGAATTGTTATGCCATTTTCTCCCATGTAGCACTGATGACTCATGATTCCACTTACAGCTCCATCTTTGATGAAAGTATGGCACAGGTCAGCAATTTTACTTCTGGAAAGTGAGATCCTCCTGAGAAAGAGCTCTCCTCGCTCAATCATGATCGTCTTACACTTTAAGTAATCCTAAAAAAATCGAAAGAGAACTCTAGTGTACATAGCCTCATGGAGAAGCACAAAAGCTTCTGGACAGGACACAAACTTACTGAGTACTCCAGGGAGGTAAGACTGATGAATCGAAGGAAGAGTTCTCCGCCTGAGGAGACGGCCACCGAAGAATCCACGCTGCACAGGATTTTAATGGCATTTTTGAGGTTTGCTCTCAAACCCTGAATTGTCTCCCCTGCAAAGTTCAGTAGAAGAATAAAACTTGGGCTTGGGCAACTGACCCATCCTCCTATCTAAAAGGACAATTACGTCTATTTTACAAACACAGTTCTCTGGAACGGAGAGGAATTTCTAATTCACAGCTTTCTCCATTCCCTAGGATTCAGGGTTGGGTGTGATCTTAGAAGGCGTCCGGTCTCTTATTATACAAAGGAGAAAGCTGGGAGCCAGAGAGGAAGCGACGCTCCCAACGTACTAAATCCCACTGAGTGTTCTTTCCATTATATCCTGCTGCTCTTACTTTGCACAAGTAAGCTGTGATTCTATGAAAGCATTCAAGCCTATGCTATTGGCACATCACAGAGAATTAAGTTGAAGGAGTTACTAAAAATGTGAACTCAGTTTATTTATCTGGGAACAAAAATCTGTTCTGTTAGCACAATGATTGGAACTAAATATATGTTTTGGAACAGGAAATGCTCAAATGAATTTAAATTATCTCTCCATTCTGCAAAGGCACTCTGAGCACTAGTCTGTGGGAAAGGTTACATATTTTATCTAAAAAAAGGAATACAAAGTCAAGTTCTCTTTTCAGCCTCATGTTTGGTGCGTAATAGGTGTTTAATCAATGAATGTTGGCTGATTCTAACCAGAAATTGGGTTAAAATTAAATTAAGAGCAGTCAGGAGTGAAGGGCCCTGTGGCTCTGCAGACACCCAGACCCAGAAGACTTTCCTAGCTTTTTTTCTGGAGGAAGCAGTTTGGGGGACTGCTGACTGAGATCTTACCTTTGTCTCTCTTTAAGAACTCAAGCAAGGTGCGGATGGCAGCTACGGCAGAAGCCACATCAGGATCTCCTTCCATCTGGGAGTTAAAGTACTTGATCAGATCTGGGAAGGAGAGGCACGGGGAGGAAATCTGTCAGGCTTCAGCAGGCAGGTTGTGTTATCTGCAGAATAACCTGGGGGAGTTGTGATAAGCCCCCAGGGTGAGTCACAGGGTTAGAGATGAGAAAATACAAACCCCTCATTTTATGGATGGAAGCCTAGAGGAAGAATAGTGTCAGAGCCAGGAGAAAATGTGAATTCAGATCCTCTCACTCCAAATCCAGTTCTCCTACTATACTACCAGGTGTTCCCTGAGCATCCGAAGTGGCCCAGGACTGGAGGGAAAGCAATCGCAGGATCATACATCTAGAGTTGTAATGTCCTCAGAGATTGTCTAGTTTTAACATGATAAAATTTTAACATAAATTCTTTTACATTACAGATAGGAAACTGAGACCCAGAGAAGTCAAGTACATGACCAGCAAAGTCATGAAGTCCAATCTGAACCTAGGTGCTTTGACTCCAAATCTAGCAGCCTTCCTCAGTCTCTCTGAATCTCACTAAACTTGCTGAACTACAAAGCCTTTCCTGCCTTGCTAATGCCTCCCTCCAAAATGACCTTCTGCCTATTCTGGATATGCCCATAAATGCCCGATTCTGAGTACAGGAGAGGTTTCACTTCTGCTCTATCTCCAGCACCCACGGCAGTGTTGGGCACAGAGCAGGTACTTCATAAATATGCGTGATTGATTCACATTGTAAGGCAGGCACTGGGCAAGGTGACAGGCATAAAAGACAAAAACTACACAGTCTCTGCCCTCAAGGAGCTTACACTCAGGGGAAAAACAATTTTTATACAATAGGACAAATATATAATGAACTATAGGTGCACATATTCTTTTTTTCCAGATAAGGAAATAGACTCAAAGAGGTTTATGGGGCCAGTGAGTCAGTCAGCAAGCATTTAAGCAAATGCCTACTGTGTGCCTGACACTATGCTAAACACTGAGGATACAGAGGAAGGCCAAAAAGAGTCTTTGCCTCTACGAGCCTCCCGGTCTAACGGGGAGACGGAATGCAAATAACCAAGGACAAGTCAAGAGATACTAATCAAGCGCCTACTGTGTGCCAGGAAGTGTGCTAAGCTGGGTTTGCAAAGGCGGCGAAAGGAAGTCCCCGTGCTCAAGGAGCTCACGGACCAACACGCAAGCAGTTGTATACAAACAAGACAGAGTCGCGATAAACTGGAGATAATCAACAGAGGGCACAGGGAGGCACAGGCATCAGGGGAACGGGAGAGGTTTCTTCTAGAAGGTGCAGATGGAAAAAACATACGTATTTTATATATATGTGTATGTATATATATAAAGAGTGTACGTGCATACACGCGCACACACGTATACACACAGGCATGTATACATATATACACACATGTACACGTACAGATACACACAGATGACAGATGGAAAGAATCTCATGGGAGCGTAGCTTTACAGCTGCAAGGGACCTCATGGGCCACCCAGTCCAACCCCTTCCTTTTACACGTGGGTAAACTGAGGCCTAGAGAGCCTGGGTTTGAGCCCAGGTCCTTGACTCCAAATCCAGCGTTTTCTCTTTTCCACGAGCTGATACAGGTCCGAGGCGGAGTTCGCACCCAGGTCCTCCCAACTCCAGGTCCAGCCGCCTGGACCTGGAACTCCAGCCCACCCTCCCTTGCTCTGGGGATCCCGGGTCCCGAGAGCCCGCCCCACATTACCATCGTCGTCCATGGTGCCGCGGCGACAGCAGGAAGCGCGACGCGGCCCGGGAGCCATCCGCGCCTCCACCAACCTCTCCCGTGGCGAGCGGCCGCCAACACTGACACGCCAGCCGGAGGCACGCGCGGCAGGCCCACTGCCGCGACCAATTTCCCAACAGCCCCGCGCGTACGGCGGCCGGCCCAGGCCAAACCTCCTCCGTCGGCTCGCGCCTGCGCAGAAGCGCCAGGCAGGTACGGTGGCCGCGGGGGTCCTGTAGCTCTCAGCTGAAGCGCCGGTGGTTCGCCATGATCTCCGAAGGTGAGCGCGCCCTGGAGCAAACAGGGCAGTCGATCTCCCGGGCGGGGAAGCCCCGGGCCGGGGGCGGACAGGGGGCTGCGGCGGGGCCCAGGCTTGGGCCCCGGGCGGCCGCGAGAGGCGCCTGGCGGGACTCAGAGCCGCGGAGGGGAAGGAGCGAGCGTCAGCCCGGGGTCGAGACCCGGGTGCAAATCCCGGCTCTTGATGCTTAGCTATCCAGGCAACCGTGGGCAAGGAAGGCCCTTCGCCTCCCTCCTGGGCCTCAGTCTCCTCCTCTGTAAGGTGAGGGAAGGAGCCCCGGCCTGGATTCAAACCCTCCATTGGACGCTTCCTAGACCCTTCCCTCTCGGAGCCTCAGTTTCTTCCTTTGTAAAAAGAGCTTGGTCAGCCGGGACCCCCTCTCAGAATCATGTTGTAAATGCATAAAATAAAAACCCAGGACAACGACTAAGGAATCTTAATCAAGCCATTTTAAAGGCGAGGTCAAGCACCTTTGACCCAGAGGCCCCCCGGACCAGGTGATCTCAGAGGTCCCTTCCAGCCCTTTGACCTCTCTGGGCGTCCTTATCTTCACTGAGGGGGCCGGGGCTTCCCACCCCATCCCCCATATCGCCTGTTCATGGGCTGTCTCTCCATTAGACTGGAAGGTCCTGGAGGGCAGGCACTGGTTTTTTGTTTTGCTCTTGTTTTGTGTCCTCAGTGCTTTGCACAGTGTGTGGCACATAGCAGTTTAATAAATGCTTATTGACTCTAAGAGTTGGAATAATGACTTCTAAGGTCCTTTCCAGCATAGGCTCTAGGATAATGAATGAATGAACGAATGAATGAACGAACGAAAAAAAACACATTTATCAGACATTTATTATGTGGCCAGGCATTGTACCAAGCACTAGGGTTAAAGGATAAGCAAAGAGGACAGTAGTGGCACGGTCAGTAGGGCTGGACCTGGAGTCATGAAGACCTGAGTTGCAATACCTTCTCACACACTTAGTAGCTGTGTGACCCTAGGCAGGTCACTTTACCTCTCAGCCTCATGTTCCTTATCTGTAAAATGAGGATAATAATAGCACTATTTCCTAGGGTTGTTCTGAGGAATTAAAAGAGATGATATTTAAAAAGCAAAATGGGGATAATAATAGTACGTAATGGTAGGCAGCTAGATGGCACAGTGGATAGAGCGCTGGACCTGGAGTCAGAAGAACCTGAATTCAAATCCAGCCTCAGACGTTTACTAGCTGTGTGACCCTTGCCTCAGTTCTGGAGTCACAGGACCTGGGTTCAGATCCTACCTCTGAAACTTAGTCTAACTAGGTGACCTTGGGCAAATCACTTCAAGTAGGCAGGCCCCACTCCCTGGGTCTGTTTCTTCGTCGATAAAATGAAGAGGAAGGAAATGGACCAGATAACCTCCAGGATCCCTTTCAGCTCCAGATCTTTTATGGGTGAGGGACAGTGGCGCTTGGCTAATCTTCAGCTCATCTGAGAAGGAGCTGAGGGTCTCAGCACGGTTGGTGCTCATTACTTTTGAAGGATCCAGGCAATTGTGCATTGAGTTGAGGTGACTGCTGGTGATATGTGGAGGCCAAGACAGCGTAGGGGCCCCTGGTGTTCAGGGCTGCCAGAGTGATGCTCTCAGGGGGCTCGGCTGGAGTCAGGCCACGTCTGGAGCACTGAGCACCCCAGTTTAGGAAGGACCTCGGAAGCTACAGGCGGCCCCTTGTACGAAATCGTTCAAGTGGCAGCTACCTTCAGACATGCAGAGCGCTTGATGTTAACTCCGGTGAAACTCAGAAGAGCCCTGGGAGGCAGCTTCTTTGGACATCATTCCCCCTGTTAAAGTGACTTGCCTGTGGTCATATAGGGAGTAAGTGCTAGAGGCAGGATTCAAACTCGGGCCTTCTTGGCTCCTAGCCCAGCACTCCCTGTTACACCACCTTGACCACTATGTGAAATGTACAGTGCTGGGTGCCGGCGATGCAAAGGTCGGCTGTCTCTCTGCACATGTATAACCCATATCAGATAGCTTGCCATATCAGACATCGGGGAGGGGAAGGAGGGAGGGAGAGAATTACAACTCAGAATTTTAAAAAAAGGATGTCAAAAATTGGAATTGGAAAAACATTTTTTTTAAATTAGAAAGATCAACAGTTCTTGCCCTCAAGAAATTTACATTCCGCGGTGAAGAATGTGACGTGCAATGTTTTGCATGACTTCACGTGTACAATGGGTGTTATGTTGCCTTCTCAGCAGGTGGGGGAAGGGCTAGAGGAGGGAGAATTCAGATCAAAATTTAAATTTGGATCAAAATGAAAAATGAATGTTAGAGAATGAGATAATATGGGTCATTTAGGGTGTTTGATGGCTAGTGAGTGTGTACAGAGCTGTAGGAATCATTGAGGATAGTGAGAATGCCCTTTTTTCTTCTTGTCCTTAGTGTCTCCCTCTGTAAAATGAAGTGCTTGGATCTGTAGGAGACCCTAGGGATCATTTAGTCCTGTCTGGCACTTAAAGCCCTTTATGATCCAGCTCCAATCTATCTTTTTTTTTTTTTAAACGAGGCAATTGGGGTTAAGTGACTTGCCCAGGGTCACTCAGCTACTTAAGGGTTGAGTGTCTGAGGCTGGATTTGAACTCAGGTCCTCCTGACTCCAGGCCCGGTGCTCTATCCACTGTGCCACCTAGCTGCCCCCAAATAGCAGTCCTCTTATCCATTTATCTTGTGTTACATTCTAGCACCAGGATAGGTTAGGGGCTCTGTAGTCTTTTTTTTTCTTCTTCCCCTAGGCAATGGAGTTTAAGTGACTTGCCCAGGGTCATACAGGTAGTGAGTATCATGTGTCTGAGGCCGAATTTGAACTCAGGTCTCCTGACTCCAGGACTGGTGCTCTATCCATTGTGCCACCTAGCTGCCCCTGCTCCAACCTCTCTTTACAAAGTCGAGGAATACTACTCCCTCTCAGACATTCTGCATTGTCACCAGCTGGATTCCTGGCTCGGTGCCTGTGCAATCACCTTCCACCTGCTGCCTCTGCAGGCTGCTGAATGCTTTTCCTCCTCATCTCTCCCTGGTAGAATCCCTACCTTCAAGGGCCAGCATGGACACCACCGTCACTCGGAGGGCTTTCCTGATCTCCCTACTTGTTAGTACTGTTGCCTCCTACCCTGACCAAAAAAAAGTTTACATTTCCTCCTTCTCTGTTTTGTACATCTGTGTGGCTTTCTCCTGGTAGATTGTAAGCAGCTTGAGAGTAGCTCTTATTTCCTTTTGTCCTCGTCTCCCCGGTGCCTTACACTGTCCCGGGCACACTGCTGGAGCCCACTGAATGCTTGTGGAATTTTGTACAACAGCTTTATTTTATGGAAGAGAAGTTTGAGACTTTGAGAGGTTAAACAGTAGGAGTCTTTCCGCTGCTACTAAGAGTCAGAGCCAGGACTCAGAAGCAGGTTTTCCTAGGGATTCCTGGTTCATCGCTCTATATGCTGGACAGTACTGCCTCAGATGGTCACCAAGCACTTTTCCAGTTCTGACAGTTTTTGATTCTGTGAGAAAACAAAACAAAACAAAAAACTGCTGGTGAAATTACCCGTTAGTATCCTTTATTTTGCATGATTAACCTAATCACTTTTTATAGTAGAATATTGGAATAAGTTTTGTCTCCTTTGATTTTTAATCCTGCATCCTTGGGTAAATTTGTATCCAGAATATAAAATAAATATAAAATCCTTCCACTGGGGCAAGTATGCTAACAACTGGGGGAGTCAGGAAAGGCCTTTCTGGAGGAGGTGCTTTGGAGGAAGTGAGGGGTTCTACAAGGTAGCACTGATAGCAGGATTTCCACTTTGAGTGATTTATTTTTGAGATGACCCAAAGCATTGGCCTCTCCAGTTATCCTCTTAAACTCTGAAGGTGGCTTGGGTGACCCAGTAAGTTGCTAACGCTTTAGGGCGAATGAGTTTTCCCAGCTTTTAACCTTCACAACAAAAGCAATTCCAGGAGTCAGTGCTTTGGATGGATGGGTGTACAAAGAGAAAAGAGACGTCGTTTTCTGTAGGCTGACCTCATCCTGGTCTGTGGAAGATCTTGGCCTCTCCTCTTTGTAGACCCTCTTAACTCTCATTTCTGTACCACAGTAGATATTTACAAGCAGTTTGGCTGTAATTGAGATATAGATTAAATTTCTGAAAGAGGAAATGTTAACTGTTTTTTGATTGAGGATGTTACTGACCTCTCTCATGTTTCTTGTGATTTCAGATGATGAATTAAACCTTCTAGTTATCATAGTTGATACGAACCCAATTTGGTGGGGAAAACAAGCTTTGAAAGAATCTCAGGTAAAATTTATCAGGTTGAGGATGCCTTTTTCAAATTTTAATACTAATTAAATATCTGATAAGATAGGGACTTTTGGCTCTTGAAGTGTCATTTAACTTAATATCAAGTGGATATTTATACTAGTTTGAATTTGCTTATGGGAAAGAGATACAGAATTCAAACTGTGAATGTTATAATTTATAATATTTAAAATCAGTTAATTAGCAAGCTTATAGTACACATATGCCAGTAACTTAAACCAGGAACACCCAAGATATATTGTATTTGTTTTCCAAATGTGGTGCTGTACGCTTTTTTGGAATCTCGTGTTTATTCAGTGTAATGGGTAGAAATAGTCATATACAACAGAAAGAAGAAAAATATAATTTTCAGAAATTTTCAAATATTTTTACTTGAGCACTCTTGTAAAAACTTATATACAAAAAGCCCTGTATGTACAAGTTGTAATACTAAATATGTTCCTCAATTATTTGATTATAGATTTGATTATATTTAATTATAGAGTTTAGATAGAATTTGTTTAAATTCCACTGTTAGAATTTGGAGCCGTCATCTTTACTAATTTCTTCCTTTTCAACAGTTCACATTATCAAAATGCCTAGATGCTGTCATGGTGATGGGAAATTCTCACTTATTTATGAATCGTTCCAACAAACTTGCTGTGATAGCAAGTCATATTCAAGAGAGGTATGATTATTATGATTAATACTTTAATGTTTCTGAACCTTTTTGAGGCTTGTGTGCTTTCTAAACAAATATTCTTTTGCTATTCTGTGGTGCCTAAAAAGGTGCCCTCCATCAATATTAATAGAAAAGAAAATATTTTATTTTTTATATCATGGTATAGTAAAATCTCATCAGGTGATATCAGCTAATTAAAATAGCACCCAAATAAAGCAAGTCTTATTTCTCAGCCTATTATTTGTTTTTCCCATTACATTTTATGGTCTGGCCATTGTAACTAAAATGCCTTGCAAACCCTCCAGGGCTAAAGAAATGACAGACATTGTCATTATCATCATCATCATCATCATCATCATCAAGAGCCCAGCTATGGCCCTTTGAAGTGGACCGGGGGCTAGGCTTTAACTGCCACTGGTATAAATCACATACCGCAGAGGAAAAGTCAGTTCTTGTGTGCTTTGCTGTAAGTTAAAGAATGAAGCCCTCTCTTTATAAGCTGAGAAAATGAAAAGAATGTGACTCATGAGGCGGTGTCAAGAGAGATCAGAGCTGTAGAGGTAGAGAGTTAGCCTTCAAGTTGCACTCCTGCCTTGCGACCCATCCTACCTGTGGGACACTGGACAAGTTGTTTACCAACTCAGTACCCCAGACCAGCCCTCTAAGGCCCTCAGGTGCAGAGTGATTGGTGATTGGAATTGGTAGAGGGAATGGCCTCACTGGGAGCCCCTAAGCTAATGGGATCACAGGTCAGAACCCCGCTTTCCACCAAGGTAGACACATGTACCACTGTGCTGTGCTTCAGAGAAAAAGACTGCCTATGCCCCAAATAACCTTCCTGTTTTTCTTCTAGAAGAATCCTATTTTCGAAGTTCTCTTCGTTTTCTTTAATGAAATGATATTTTATAATTTGAATTCTTTTTTATTCAAAATGTTGACTTTTACTGCAGAATTTAAAATGAAAAGCTTTATTTAATATGTTTAATTGTTTGTGTATTTGTTTTTCTTTTTTTTTTAAGTCGATTCTTGTATCCTGGAAAGAACTGGAAATTTGGAGACTTATTTGGTGATCCTGGCAACAGCTCTGCTGAGTATAATCCTTCAGGTAGTAAGGATGGAAAATATGAGTTATTAACTGCTGCAAATGAAGCGATTACCGAAGAGATTAAAGATCTCATGACCAAAAGTAAGTGGAGTTTAGGGGCTTTTTTGGGTTTTGTTTTGTTTGGAGAGGGGGAGAGTGTTATTTAAAGGAGTTCGATGTTAGAAACCTTGGGGGAATTAGTTACCTCTTGAATTTCTTAATACTTTTCAGTTTGGTAATCTTTTTAAAATTGCTGTTATTAAAAATTTTTATTAAGTGCCTTTGTGTTACTTGGTCCTTTGGGCTTTAAATTGATTAAGTAACTCAAAGAAAAGACAACATGTAATAAGACCTTGAAAAAGTAGAAGATGGCAGCGTCCTAGGGTTCACGCTTTAGTTTCTGCCTGATTCTTGTTGGGTTAAAGCTCTTTTCAAAGCCCTGTGTACTTTAATTTATCGACTCTAGTGAATGGCTCCTGGGTGCAAGCTTGTGGTCTGAGGACACAGCAAGGTGCTCCCCATCTTCCAGGAGCTCCCAGTCTAGTCACAAGGATGAGATGGAGACACAGGAAAGTGAAAAAGCCACCCACAGGAGTCCCCGCAGAATCATGAGCTGGCAGAAACCTCTGAGGCCATCTCGACCAAACTGAATCGATGCTAGGGATTCTTGAGCCTGGTATTGCCCAGGACCCTCAGATCTTTTGCACATGAACTGATACCTAGCCGTGCCTCCTCCAGTTTGGACGCGTGAAGTTGATTTGCTTCCAGCGTGTGTAAGATGTTTGTAGTTATCTCTCAGATTTCATCCTTTTAGATTCATCCCAAGGTTTTAGGCTGGCAAGAGCTTTTTGGATCCTGATTGTCTAATGTGTTGGTTATCCTCCAGGTTTGTGTTGTTTGCAAGTATGATAACAATAATAATAATAATCATGCCATTCAGACTCTGACCCGAGTCATAAAAGATGCCAAACACCACAGATTCCTTGAGCACTTCGTTGGAGGCCTTCCAAGTTGACATCAAATTACTAATGACACCTTTTGGGGTCCAGCCATTCTCGATTTCACGTCTCTACCTCTTTTCCACAAAAACAGTGATTTTTGTCACAAGTATTGGTAAAAAAGAGGTAAACTCTAGCTGCGGCCTTCCCTGATCTGCCAATATAGGAGCCCTGTCAAAAGGAAATGAGCTTAGTCTGTAATGCCTGATCTTGCAGAAGTCAGGCTGGCTTGTGGTGAGCACCACTACAGGAGATGTTTGCCAGCTCACTTCCTCTAATTCCTTACAGCGTTGTGCCAGTCTGTGATCAAGTAAATTAAAAAAAGCTGCAGCCGTAGTCAGTGCTGTGAGCTCCAGAGAAGAAATAGCCTTGTGTTTGATCAAGTGCCTTTGCCTTTCAAAATCTTTGATCCAAGGGCCAGCTCACTAGACTGAGGTGTAGGGTGCCAAAGAAGAGATCATGATGTAAAAACAGAAGGCACCAATTTAAAAAGAAACAGGAAACAGACTGAACATTTAAAAACATACCAATGAATGTCTTTGAGACCATCCAAAAGCTATTGGAAAATGGTCATTTGTAGCTAATTCCATCCTTTTTTGAGATTTTTCTGTTTCAGTTGGGAGGCAAGTCAACGGGCAATTTATTAAGCACCTACTATGTGTGAGACATTGTTGTGATAAGTGTTGGTAAAACCCATGCCTTCCTTAAAGGAACTCACACTCTCGTGGGGGACACAGTGTGCAAATGACTGTGAACAAGCAAGATATAGATGGAAGTGGTTCACGCAGAGGACCTTACAGGGATGTTCTGTTTCAGAGGGAACTAAATACATTGGGGTGGCAAAGAAATGGTTGTTTGTCCTATTGTTTTAAAAGAATATTTTTAAATTTAAGAACATTTTTATTTTCTCTTTCTACACAATTGTATTTTGTCTCTTAAAAAAAGACTCCAGTTTTAATTGTTGGATTTTGTCTATGGCAAGGATGCTTGTTTTCAAAATTAAGTGGGTAATATACATTACATATTTAAACTCAGGAAAGAATAGAAAAAATGGCTTTTTATAAAAATGTTTATTTGCAGGTGACATGGAAGGGCAGCGAACAGAAACACTGTTGGCAGGATCTCTCGCAAAAGCACTTTGTTGTATCCTTTATTATTAGAATTCTTGAATTTTTCCTGGATTAAAAGTATTTTAAATTGTAATTTTTAGAATACTCTTGGATATCCATAATAATAGTGGCATGATCCCTAAATGGTGGATAATTAAGACATTATTTCTTTGACTTTGGAATGTTTTTATGTTCATGTTTAAGTATATGTGCATGGGGTAGACTCAGAATTCTCAAAAATTCTAAGACAATAACAAAGAAAACTAAAGATTTGGGTTATGGAAAGTATGAAAGTTTCCATCTTACCAGTTTTCCATATTATTCAGAACTCATTCTTTTCAAAATTCTTCCTTGTTGAGGGGCAGCTAGGTGGTGCAGTGGATAGAGCACTGGCCCTGGATTCAGGAAGACTCGAATTCAAATTCGGCCTCAGACACATAACACTTACTAGCTGTGTGACTTTGGGCAAGTCACTTAACCTCATTGCCTAGCTGAAGGAAAAAAAAATTTTAAAAAATGTTCCTTGTTTCTTATTATGTTAGTTAAACTTGCTGTACTTCTAGGTCACAGCCTTCTTAGGTTCTGAATATGTTTTAATTTAAAAAGTTCTCTGTTGGGCTTCAGGAGAAATACGTAGGCACCTATTGAAAACTGCTCAATTTGATGCTTACTATGATGACCATGACTATGATGCTAAGGCTCTAAATGAGTCTCTTCTGAAGTTTTTCCTCTGAGGGTCCAGACTTCAGAAATTTAGAACCTTTTGGGATAATCAAAGTTCATTTGAAAAAGATTTCCCTTTTCAGGGAGGGAGAGACTGTTTAATAGTGTTACAAATCCTGGGTGATGACACAGAAGTTGTTACTTTGATTTTAGAGACTGCTGAGCTCTCAGGATTTTTCTGTGTTGAATAGAAAATTAAAGCATTTTAGCCAGGTGTTGTGTGGTGGGCTTGTTTAAATGGATTTTGGATGTTTCTGGAACTGTGTACTATGAATTACTATGGAATTAAATGGGCTTTTTTATTCCTTAATTCTAAAAAACTAAGATATTCACAGAATGAGCAAGGAAGTAAAAGGTACAAGCCTTTATTTTTCTACTAATGAATACTAATGTCATTTTTTTTACTGCCACTTTCACCTCATTTCCGTGGGGGGATGGGCTAATTAGAAATTTGTATGCCCTGAAAAATGGAAAATGAAAAATGAAAAAGGGTAGATTTGAACTCAGGTCCTCCTGACTCCAGGGCTGGTGCTCTATCCACTGCGCCACCTAGCTGCCCAAAAGGCAGTATTTTTATAAGACTGAACTAGTGTTCAGTTTGTTTTTGTTGCTTATCTTTTGTAGATAACCAAGAAATGAAGTCGAGAATATTGGTAAGAATTTCCATTGGTAATTGTGCTGATATGTGATTTTTAAGTATGTGAAATTGTAATATGCATTGACTCTTCATTTTTTAGGTCATTAAGGCTGCAGAAGACAGTGCATTGCAATATATGAACTTCATGAATGTCATCTTTGCAGCACAGAAACAGGTCTGTATTTTTCATTAGAGAGTGTCTAGTGTCGCAGTGAAAGAATGAGAAGATAACATAAACTTAGGAGTTTGAGAAGCTGCTGTTCTGGGTGTTTGTTAGGCAGGTCGCTTCATTTATCCCATTTTCTCCGGCTCTAGATTGGTGCTACTCATCATCTGCTGAGCTCTGTAGAGATCATTTGAAGACTAAGCTTTTTATTTTGACAATAGTTGTTACATTCCAATCGTGTATCTTAAAACATTGGGAGGAGTTTCACAGCTAGTCTGCCCGCCCACAAATTATTTGCACACATTTTTTGTTTTCTTTTCATTGTCTAAGACTGTATTTGCTTAGTTTGTATGAATTTCCTTTTTACTGCATATTTTTGCTTGTGATGGTATTGTAGATGCTTTGATAGTTTTTACTTGCAATCTTAGAGAATTTTAAAATTTTGGTTTCAGAATATTGTGATTGACGCTTGTGTCTTAGATACTGATTCAGGGCTCCTCCAACAGGTATGTTTTTTTTTAAATCATTGAATCTTTATCGAACGCATAATGTATGCAAAACACCTTGCAGATGGTGAGAGACAAAAATAAAACATACACACACACACATACACATATGGCATCTGCTCTCGAGGAATAGAGGAAACTTGTAAGCAAATAACTAATAGAAATTAGAAGATGATAAATGCATGAGTTACAGCATAAATTATGAAAATTTGGGAGAGGAAAGGATTACCAGAGGAGGTGGAATTGAAAATAGGTCCTTCCATCAGCAGATGGAGAGGAGTGGGATATGCCAGGGGATCATGTGATCACAGACTCAAAGGCTAGCGAATGTTGAATTTGTTTAGGAGACAGTGAGTAGTAATTCAGTTTGGGGAGGTTTAGGGCGAAGTCATATGAAATAAGGCCGAAATGTAGGTGGTTTGAACAGAGGCAGAGCAGTCACGAGGAAAGGAATGGTCTTGATCTCACTAACAATGTTAGCTTAATTTTAAAAAGCAGCCACAACTGAACACAGTAAGGTGGGTGGATAGGGTTGCAGTTGTGGGCTTCAGGTGAATAGAAAAGTTTTGGAAGCTATCTATTGGAGAAATTCAGTAAGAATGAAGGAAAAGATTGCTGGATGTCAGTGTGGGCCTAGAGGAGGTTAAGTAGCTAGAATTTGGTGGTTAGACCACAGCTCTAACGTTCAATATTTTACGTGGATTCTCGGGACGCCAGGCACAATTTTCGGGGATCTAAGACTTTCTGTAGAGGTTTTGTGATATACTGGAGACACAGGCAGTGTTGGAATGAGGAAGTGAGGGGTTCACATCTCACCTCTACGTTTCACCTGTGTGACCCTCTCGGTGCCCCAGGCAGGCCTCTGAGAAAGTTAAAGTGATGTCACGTCACAGTTTGTCCATTCGACCTTCCAGGCTGGATGTCTTGGAAGCATCTCATACTTGGCATGTCCAAAACAGACTTACCCCACTTCCAGATGTCCCTGTTTCTATTGAAGTTACCTTAATCCTTCCAAGTTGCTCAGGTCCCTAACCTTGGCTTTATCCTCCCTCACCCCACATAGCCAGCCAGTGGCCAGATCTTGCTGTTTTTCCACAGCCTCTCTCGCATGTGACTGTCTCTGTCCCTTCAGATCCCACCTTCGCGCCCTCATCACCTAGCCTTGATTATAACAACAGCCTCCTGTTTTTCTTTCTACTTTTCTTTTTCAATATATTTTTATTTATTTTCTTTTCCAAACCCTTCTTGATTAGGTGGCAATGCTCCAAATCAACACCTTTTTCTGAAAATCACAGAAAAAGGCTCTGATATGTTAATTCTTTGTTGTTGTTATTGTTCAGTCATTTCAGTCGCGTCCAACTCTTTGTGGTCCCATTTGGGGTTTTCTTGGCAAAGATATCGGAGCGGTTTGCCATTTCCTTCTCCAGCTCATTTTACAGATGAGGAAACTGAGGCAACCAGGCTGAAGTGACTTGCCCAGGGTCACACAGCTAGGAAGTATCTAGGGCCAGATTTGAACTCGGGTCTTCTTTAGTCCAGGCCCAGCGCTCTATCCGCTGAGCCATTTTGCTGCTGTTCTTTAGTTTGTACCAGAACATTCAGTTCTGGTCCTGGAAGTCTGAAGGCCCTTTTGTGTGAAGTCTACTTCAGCTGGTTTTCTAAATTGTTGGTTACCTCGTTTAGCAGCAGAGTTGGTGACTGAACGTGTCTGAGGCTCACTGGAATCAAAAACAATTCCCATTTCATTTGCAGACTCACACTCAGCCTCACATTCATTGTAGGTATTGCCATTCAAATTTGCGTCGTTGTGAAAGAGTCCAGTGATGATCAGTTGTGCCCACGGTGTGTATTTACTTACAGGCCTGTGACATCACAGGGGGCATATACTTGAAGGTGCCCCAGATGCCGTCTCTTCTTCAGTATTTATTGGTAAGAAAACACTTCTGTGGAATCTGTTAAATGAGCTGGGCACGTTCATACCCCTTTTAAAACGTTTTTCTGAGACCCTACAGACATTGTTGCAAACGCTCAGGAACTGAATATTGTATGAACACAATAAATTAACGAGACTATGATTGCTATACTGGAATGCCCCAAATATCTTCAGTATGTGAGACCTTTGGTTTTATTGATGTGGACCCTCCCTCCACGTCTCAGGTCGCGGCCTGTCCACACCTTAGCAGATGGTCTCTGTGACTGGTGGCCAGAAAATTTCATCTGCTCTTGGTCAGCCTTCTAGGGCAGAGCCTCTTCAGAGTTAGCTCAGCTTCTTGAATGAGAGTCCACATGTAGCCTTCCAGCCTGGTGTAGGACCTGGGGGACGTGACCTTCAAGAACCGGGTGTTAGCCCTGCACCAGAGCAGGGCGTCAGACCGGGACTTGAGTGAAGGAGTGGGACTTTCCTACTAGTAAACCATGCCATAAACACTGATCAGGTGTCCCTGTCAGTTTTCCTTTTCCCAAGCAAGCCACCAAAGAAGAAAAAGGTTTTGTACAGTTTATTACTAAATTAAATGCAAGGCCAAATTCATAACATAGTTATATCTCAAAGGAAACAAAGAATTGTGTCTTTAAGTAATTTATTTCTGTGGTGAGTGTTTGCTATTTATATTTCATCCCCTAGTAATTCCCCCTGCTGTTAATAAGAATTCTTTGACTTTTGTCAACAGTGGGTGTTTCTTCCGGATCAAGATCAAAGGTCTCAGTTAAACCTCCCACCTCCGGTTCACGTTGACTACAGAGCTGCCTGCTTCTGCCATAGAAATCTCATTGAAATTGGCTATGTCTGCTCTGTGTGTCTGTCAAGTACGTGTATATATGTATATATACGTTTGAATAAAATTTATATGATTTGTAAGAACAGTTTGGTGGGGGGAACATTTAGTTATCCTCATCTGAAATCCTCCTCTTCTTTTCATTTGCAGTATTCTGCAATTTCAGCCCTATTTGCACCACATGCGAGTAAGTATCTGTGACATGTGTGAGTGACACACATAATAGAAGTAGAAATTATTAAAAAATGCTTTTCTGATTGTGTCATTTCAGGACAGCTTTTAAGATTTCACTGCCTCCTGTTCTGAAAGCCAAGAAGAAGAAATTAAAAGCGTCTTCCTAGTGACCAAAACCCTCCCCCCCAACACTTAATCCTTGTTTCTCCAACCTTTCTCCTGCAGTAGAGATTTTAACTGAGAAATCTGTGCTGAAGATGTAGTTAAAAGAAATGAGAACTGTACACATATAGCTGTTATTTATGTGGCTAGTCCTTTAAGGGCATTTTTTCAAGAACAAATTTCTCTTGTGTCTCCAGAGGGGAGAGAGGGGCTTGGGGAGGTAGTGCTCCCGGGTCATATGACAGGGAAACAGCTCACCTCTGAGTTTTTAAAACACTGTTATTTTCAGTTGAGTTCAATAAGTATTAAGCTGTTTACAACATACGTGGGTGCTACATATTATCATTTCTAGGGTAATCATTTATTAAAGTAGCTGCTGCATTGATTACCCGATGTTAGCACATGAATGTCTTATCTCAGTCTGGTTCTCTTTTGTGAAATGCAGCATATGTGGAATTTTCACCTAATTATGACAACTTAAAACACATTTTTACTCCTCCCCTGGCTCTTGTGGCTTTCATCAAGAGAGAGCCTCTTCCTTATTAAGTAGCCAGCTATTAGCTTTTGCTGTAGAAATGTAAATAAAGTTCACGGTTCATTAATTTGCTACTCATTCTCCCTCTCTGACATTGGCAAGTGCTCTGTACTTAACCTTGGAAAAAGTCTTGACTAAGTATAGCTATTTTTACCCAAATAATACTCATCAAGTGATTACAGAGACTTTATTTTTTAATAAATTAGGAAAGTGAACATTGTGTGGCAGACGCACAAATGCTGTCTTTGTATACGGTTGCCCGAGAAGGGTGTTGTTGAAAGCTATCTGGGGGCATTAAAGGCAGTTTCCCGGCAAATGAGAAAGCTCTCCCAGGCCCCAGAGTTTTCCCCTCGATGTTACTCTTGTCATTTTAATCATTTACTAGAAAAATCTGTGAGAGTCTTCACCCTTCTATTGCAATCTTTCTTAAATTCAAAAGAAAACGATTTTTAAATTCTGTTTTAGAGAAATGACTTTTCCATAAATACCTGAAGTTATTGACAGTTCTGTTGTTAAATCTTGTGGGAAGAGGAGCTGAACAGGGCTCTGGTGCGATGGGGGGAAGAGTCTTAGAGCTGGAGTCAAAGGACCTGTGTTCAAATCCTGACTACCTGTGGACCTTGACTTCCCTTCTATAATAAGGGAGTTGGCTGTCACCTCCTAGATTCTTGCCAGCTCTAAATCTTTGATCCTGTAAATCGTGACCATGGATGAATCAGTTCATTTCCTCGAGCCTTAGTGCTCTCATCTGTAAAATGGGAATTACCGATCTGTCTACTTCACAGGGCCGTTGTGAGGACAGTGTTCTGTAGAAACTGTCAAGTGCTATGTAAATATGAGCTGCTGTTACTCTCGTGCTGCGCATTTGGGTGTAATGGGGGTCATTGTTTTAAGTCTAGCAAAGCAGTTGGTGCTGACAAGAGCTTCAGATGTTCAATGGATCAGAAAAATTTCAGAACACTTGAATCAAGATTTTCTTTTCTCTTGTCTCATTTAAAAACTTACTAATTTGTTCAGTTCAGTTACATTTTATTTTCATTGTATTTATAGTTAATTTTAATATGAAATTTTTCAATAAAATAATTAGTATTTTTTCAATACAAACTACTTCCTCTTATGTTTTCTTGTGTTAATTTCTACTTATTTCAGAAACTTAAAATCAAAACCATAAAAGTGTTAAATGTGATATGCTTCTGTACCATTAAAGATTTCGTTTGAAGAAATTCAATCTCAGAATGCAAAGATGGTATATAAAAATCCTCTCCTAAGTATTCTGAAATTACAGATCGGTTTTGAAACAAATCATTGTATAGGTAAGCATAATTTGAATGCAATCAAAACCTGTTTAAATACTATAAAAACACCGTATTGATAACAAGGCATGCTTGGTGATAGCTCAGTGGAATGTTGTATTTTTAAAATTTTGTTTCTGTTACTGCTTACTGTAAAAGAATTAACAATTACAATCAACAGTCTCGTTTAGATATATTGTTACAGTTCTTCACTCTGCATCACTTAATAATGTGTTTATTCTGTTTCTTTGATTCTTCATGTTTGTAATTTCTGATTGTATACAGCAACAACAGTCCGTCATATTCTCCTGCCACAGTTTGTTCGGCCATTCAGCAGTCTCCAGCACATGGATTTTTTTCCCCAGGTGTTTGCTATTACAGAATGACCTTGCTGTGACTATAGATCTTTCCTGTTAATACCGTTCTTATGGGGCAGCCTTAGTAGTTTTATTGCTTGTCTTGTGTGTTACCACGTTGCTTTCCAAGGAGATTGTGCCTGTTGACAGCTCCACCACTAGAGTGATGGTGTGCCTGTTTATCCACAGCCCTGCCAACATTCAGTTGTTTTTAAACCACATTTCCCAACTTAATAGGATGTTCTAAATTGAATTTTTCTTGTTATTAGAGAATCAGAACAAATTTCAGGTGGCCATCAATCGTTTGTGTTTTCTTCTGATGGTTGGTTGCCACCTACATCATTGTATTTTTAAAATGCATTCTTTTATTCTCATAATTGCTTACTAACTGTCATTTGCTAGACACACTAGTTCCTTAAACCTTTTGGTTAAATATTTTAACCCTTAAATGTACAGTAGTATAGAAAGAATCTAATTCAAACCATCCCCTTTTAAAATTCCCTCCATGAAGCCAGAGTCCTGTAATAGTTTGTGGATAGCCGATTGTAATCAAAGAGTTGGTGAGTCACTTGCACTTCTCATCAACAGTTTCTGGTTGTGCACACGTTTACACGTATGTCTTGGACCTGGAGTTCTTAAAGGTGATGGTGGTACCTATATTTAAAAAGGCTGTGTTGAGAATTTTCATCCCTTGAGTGTGTTTATCAGCTACTATCAATTGACTGTGTATTTAGACAAACTACAAAATGTTTATTGCTGTCACTTATAATTCAAATGTGTGTACCATCTATGCTCGTTCCTTTCTTTATCAACCTCGTCCCTCGCTATCTTTGCAGTTTTCTTAAACCTTGTTCTCCTCTACACATTCTCACGCTGTTCCTCCCACACAACACTCCATCCCCTAACGTGTTGCCTTAGTCCTGGCTGATTCCTATGTCCAGAATGCCGTCTCTCCTCACTTTTGCTTTCTACCTATGCTGGTTTGTTTCAAGATTCACTGCAAATTTCACCTTCCTCTGGGATTACCTTCCCTTTACACTGAACGTGGCTTATGAGGTGTTGTGTTCTATGAGCAAAGCAGAATTTCGCAGCAGCTCAGGATAGAGATGGGCGGATTTACCGAATCCACCCCAAACGTTCACGTGGACTATTTGTGCCTGACCTGTGGTGGAGCCTTCTGGGCTCCTATTGGTCTGATCAGCCACAGTCAGACATGTTGTAACTGGACATGATGTCGTTTTGGTCCTCTTTGAGAAGGAAGAACTCCAACCAGTCTTATATGCACGTGGTTATTTGTATGTTATCTCCTCCATTAGAGGAGGGCAGGGACCCTGTTTGAGCCCTTCTTTGTATTCACTGTGCTGAGCACAGTGCCTGGCATGTAGAATGACAGCTTGTTAACCAACTTCCTTTCACAGATATTTGTTGAACGCTTGCTTTGTCAAAAATGCTAGAGGACACACTGCCATCAAATTAAGCGTTTTAACTTACTTTCAAAATCTCAAGGGGGCAGCTAGTTGGCGCAGTAGATAGAACTCTGGCTTTGGAGATAGGAGGACCAGAATTCAAATCTGGCCTCAGACACTTGACACTTACTAGCTGTATGACCCTGAGCAAGTCACTTAACCCTGATTGCCTCCCAAAAAAAAGCAAAAAAAAAAATCTCAACAGATTTGATTCCCAGAGAATCTTTCACGCTTGATGGAATGCTAGTGATCACCTTCACGTCACAGCCCACATTTGAACTCTTTAGGCTGTTCTTTCCAGAAGTGAGAGTTCTAGTACTGGAGAAAGATTTCTGGTTTGTCTCAGCTCCAGGAAGACATGAACCCTAACTGGTGATTTGCAGAGCTAACTTTCTTTTTATTAGCAGAGCAAATTGCTTTTTCTCCTCATTCAATTGTTGTAGTCTAGTCAGTCTTTAGGGGCAGCTAGGCGGCGAAGTGGGTAGAGCACCACCCCTGAAGTCAGGAGGACCTGAGTTCAAATGTGGCCTCAGATGCTTGACACCTGCAGGGTGACCTTGGGCAAGTCACTTAACCCTGATTGCCTCACCAGAAAGCAAAAAAATAAAAGAATTATGCAAACAAAGTGACTAAAATGTCCATATTCTTTGACCCAGAGATTCCACTGCTAGTCACAGACCCAAGGAAGTCATTGATGAAAAGAAAGCGTCCATCACAGCAAAATATTTCTAGTATCCCTTTTTGTGTTAGCATAGACTGGAAATAAAATAGAACACCATTGGTGGGGGCCTGGCTAAACTACCTGGTACATGAATATAACATGGTAATTACTATGCTGGAAGAAATGACGAGAGGAATACAGAGAAGCGTAGATGTGATGAAATAAGCAACATGAAATGCTGTAAACAGAGCCAGAAAACTACATTGTAAATGGAAAGGATAATATCCAGAAAACAATTGAAACAATATTGCAAAATTATGAAGAATTTGGTAATTCTTAGCTCCAAAGAAGAGAGAAGAGATGATGATCTTTCCCTCCACCCCAGCAGAGGTGGGGGTCCATGGGTGTGGAATATTGCATATAATATCACTTTTTTTTTCCAATTTGTCAGTTTTGCTTATTTTTCTTTTCTTGTCTTAAAAATTCTCTAAGGAATGGCTCTTTGGGAATGACAAGGAGGAGGAATATAGTAGGATTCCTGGAAACGTGTATAAGCAAAAGACATTATTAAACACCTATTTTTTTTTTAAACTGCATTAGATTGCAAGTTTGAGGGCAAGGATTTTCTTTTGCCCCTTTGTATCCTCGGTGCTTAGCACAGTCCCTGGCATGTAGTAGGTGCTTCGTAGATGTTTATTGATTGAATGATTGCTAAAGGAGTTTTGAGGGCCAGCATGGAGATGGTAGAGAGAGTCAGCCTTGGAGGCAGAAAGACCTTACTGACTCTGACTCCTGGCAAGTCATTTCGGTGCCATAAGGCACTACTGTAGTCTGAGACGCATACAGGCTGTATGACCCTGGCTAAGTCATTTAACTTATCAGTATTCTAGGCAATTCTCCAAGACTATATGGGAGAGGGAATTTCCTACTGGGAGTTCCAAAATCAATGACATCACAGGTCCAGTCCTCTAAAAGAGTTTTTTAAGACTTTGCCTCCTCCTCTGGGGAATTTCCGAGACTTGCACCATAGACTATATTAGTCCTCATGGGTCATTCTGTCTCTTAATACCCAGTCTCTGTTATCAAGATACAACCAAGATTCCGATTTACCCAGAGAAGGTTTTCTGTTCCTTGAGAAAAGTGTTGGCTACTACCTTTAATGCTTCCATCAGATCAGAAAGACAAAGGAGAAAACGGATCATTTCTGTATAAAAAGAGGCAGGGATCCCTGGCTCGGCATCTATTGCTGGTTCTAGACTTGTTCCTAGGGTTTCACTTTTTCTACTTCACAAGGCACTTGCCCTGGGGTCAGGCTGTCACAGCCAGCTGAGCAAACCATGAGCATTCAGAGGGTACCAACCTCCTGCTTGGTTGACTCTGGTTGGAGAATGCTCCCCCTTGGAACTAAACGTTGCCTCAATCACAAAAGGCCGAGCCAGTCACTCATAATTCTAGAGCAGTCACAGGCCAAATTCCCCTTACCAACCAATGTGCTTAGAGGAAAAATCTGCTCTGGGAAGGTGTCACTGATGTGTGGGACTGGCTTCTTTTGTTAGGTTTTTCTTGTAACTAAGCTCTCTGGTTTTGGCCACGTCCAAGAATGAGGGGTTCTTTATATGAGAGAAAAGACAGTGGCGGGGATGGGTGGAGCCAAGTATGGCTGCCCACAGCTTGTCTTAAAGACTGTATCTCCTGATGCCTCCTCAAACTGGAGCAACTCTCCAGTTACCCACCTAAATGACAGCTGGGCAGGGAGGAGTTGCATTTTTGTTTTTTTGGGGAGGGGCACTTGGGGTTAAGTGACTTGCCCAGGGTCACACAGCTAGGAAGTGTCAAGTATCTGAATCCGAATTTGAACTCAGGTCCTCCTGACTCCAGGGCCAGCGCTCTATCCATTGAGCCATCTAGCTGCCCCAAGGAGTTGCATTCTAATGTGGTCACATCTTTGCCTAATATTGAAAGAGATGTTCAACTCCCAACCCAAGGCCTTGTAGAGTCACAATTCACAGCTCATAGGGGTTTGTTGATCATTTGTTACTATCTCAGACAAGAGCTTTTCCATTTTTTGTTTTTCTTTGTACCCGCAGCACTTAGCACAATTAAGCACATGGTAGGTACTTAACAAATGCATATTGACTTGCCTAAATCCAAGGCATTATTAGGCTCTGTCTTGTAATAAGTGACAGAGAGGAAAGAGAACTGGTCTTAGAGCTAGGAAGACCTGGGTTCAAGACCTGCCAATGACACAGGCTGTATGACTCTGGCCAAGTCATTTAACCTCTCTGAACTCTAGGCAACTTTCTTAGACTATATGTTGTGGAGACGTAGAGAGGAATCCCCTCACCTGGGACTTCCCTATATCAATGAAATGCCAGGTTCATTATCCTTTATGAGAATAAAAAGTCAACAGAATTGTTGACTGTGGATACAAGTACCTATTAAGCACCTACTAGATACTAGTGCTAGGGATGCAAAAAAAGCAGAAACGCTTACAGTCTAGCTGGGGAAGAGAACACACACAATCATAAACACAAGGTGACTGAGAGGGACGGGTTCAGGAAACACATGGTGTACAACAAAGTGTTGCAGGAGCTGAGTCTTGGGAAAGATCAGGGAATCTGAGGGAGAGAATCAGCATTTATGCAGCTTTTTTTTTTTACAATTTTTTTTCAAATGCTATGCACTTTTTGGAAATGTTATCTTGTTTCTATCTTATTTTTACAAACACTATCTAAAGGGGCAGCTCAGTGGTGCAGTGGATAGAGCGCTGGCCCAGACGTCAGGAGGACGTGAGTTCAAATCCGGCCTCAGACCAAACACTTGACACTTACTAGCTGTGTGACGCTGGGCAAGTCACTTAACCTGATTGCCTCACTTAAAAAAAAAAAATGAAGCTAGAGGCAAGCCCGAGGCACTGTCCATCAGGCCACGCAACCACTCAGGGCCTCCCAAGAGGGGGTGGGCGGTGCCACGAAGTGGCGCTAACGGGCGAGGAACGAAGGCGGGTTCTTTCTGTCGCTTTAGACCAATCCTGGGGCGCGCCCTCGCTTTGCCTGCAGCCGATTGGCGGTTGCCATAGTCTGGGCATTCCGTTGACAAGATGGCGGCGGCGCTGCTGACGGCTTTTCCTTTCTGCCCCTAGCTCGTGCCGCCTGCCGGGGATCGCAGAGCCGGGGCCGGCCGCGGTGGGGCAGCGCGGGGAGGCGAGCCCGGAGCCATGGGCCCGGCCAGGCCCTGCTCGCCACCGGCCCCGCAGCTCCTGCTGCGGCTCCTGTTCCCGCTCTGCTTCCCAAGGGCCCTGTGGGGAGACGTTGGTGGGTAGGGGCGGGGCTTCGAGCGAGGGCGGGGCTTGGGCGTGGGGGCGGGGCCTGCTTCTGACAAGCTCTGTGCTGTGTGACCCTGGGTAGGTTGCTTCACCTCTGAGCCTCTGATGCTTAATCTGCAAAATGGGAACCACGATATCTGATACATCTATTGTTACCCTGTAGGTATGGGAGCAGCGACGGGGCGCCGTAGTGCGCAGAAATCCTGCCTTAGACATTTACTAGCTGTGTGACCGTGAGCAAATCACTTAACCTTTATGCCTCAATTTCCTCATTTGTAAAATGAAAATAATAGGTGCACCTACCTCTCAGGTTTTTGTATGGATGAGATAATATTTGTAAAGCGCGTCGCAAACCTCAAGGTGTTATATAAATGCTAGCTGTTATTATTATTTTTTAGAAGTGATAATATATGTAGAGCATTTTGCAAACCTATGTAACTGCTCGCTATATACTAGCTTTTATTAATGACAATAATTATTCACCTTGAGAGATATCATTTGTAAAGTGCTTTGCAAACCTTAAAGCACTACATACATGCTAGCCATCATTATTATTAAAATGAGATAACATAAAGTTCTAACTTTAGCATAACTTCTAACTTTAGAATTAATGGTAATTATTACTAACCTTGAGAGATGAGATATTATCGGTGTTATTCAGATGTTTTCAATCGTGACCCCATTTGGGGTTTTCTTGGCAAAGATACTGGAGTGATTTGCGATTTCCTTCTCCTGCTCATTTTACAGATGAGGAAATTGAGGCAAACAGGGTGAAGTGACTCGCCCAGGGAAGTGTCTGGGGCTAGATTTGAACTCAGGAAGATGAGTCATCCTGAAGACAGGTCGAGTGCTCTGTGCACTGTGACACCCCCAGGCGGCCCAGATGAGGTGGAATGAAACATCTGTAAAGCGCTTTTAAACCTCATAGCATTATAGAAATGCTAGTTTTAGGATTCAGTGAGATAATGCCCACAAAACCCTTTGTAAAACTTGGTGCCCTATGTTATTGTTACCGTCTCTCGTGAGGCAGTGGGTGGCCTTTGTAGCAGCAACAGCAGCTGCAGCTGCTGAAGTCTTTTCTGTTTTTGGAACAAGAGCGTCTCAGTGCAGATCCCAGGTTGGTCACCTGGGTGACCTTGGGCAGCCAGTCACCACGAACGAGGTGGCCGCTCTGTACCAGGCAGCCTGCATCCGGAGAGTGAGTGGCCCTTGGCAGCCAGAGTGTAGAGGAAAGAATGCCTGCTCAACGTGGGAGGTTTGACCTCTTCTCTGTCTGGGACTCCTTTGGCAAAATCATGTTTTTAAATGCATGGAATAAGATACTTGGGATTGCAAAGGAAAGTAATGTGAGAGTTGGATAGCTCCTAAGGTCCCCTCCAGCTCCACATCTAAAATTCTCTGAAGACCTGTGTTCGATTCCAGGGCAGACATCTCCTGGCTGTGGGACCCTGAGATTATCCTTCTAGCTTGAAGAGACTGGACATGGGAAAGGGAGTTTCCTGTGCCAGTACAATCCCAGGGCCAGACCATTCCCAGCAAGGGGCAGTTTTATTACCAACAGAGCCAGCCCCACCTCTCCCGCCAGCATTGGAGCAAAGGAAAATGGCAGCCATGACTGACAGTGACCGTCCCCCAGGACCTTCCCTCTGAGATTCACTCTGCAGCTTACATGTCAGAGTAGTTTGCCTGCAGTTTTCCCCATTAGACTGTGAGCTCCTTGAGGGCAGGCTCTGTCTTTTGCCTTTCTTTGTATTCCCTCCCTTCCCTTAGTCCAGCGCCTCACACACAGTAGGTGCTTAATAAATACTTGTTATCCTTGTTATTGACCCTGACCCTGCAGCTTCCGTGCACACACTCAGGAGGGGCTTGCTTGATTCTGACGCTCCTTAAAGCTCTACATCTCATCTTCTGGGGCTCCTCGTGGTCCTACTGTGTATGGTATTAATGCCCAACTCTTCTCTTTGCCAGTCTTCCTCCCTCCTTTCATTCGAATGTTTGACACTTCCGTTAGTGCAGCCTTGGTTGGAGAGACAGAGGACGTCAATGTGAGCCTCACCGTATGGGATGGTGAGCTAGGTAAGCAGGCTAAGCAGCAGGTTCTGAAAAACCCGCTGAAAACACAGAGGACTGGAGGCCAAGAGGGGAATGCTCTCTGGTCTCTGACCCTGCGGCTCCCAGAGCTAGCAGTCTGGAGGGTGGGAGAAGGGGAAGGGGGGCTGCTTTCTGCTTCAGAGACAGTTGCAAGGAAAGATTATGCTCTTTGAAAAGGAGAACTTCCTGAAACCTTCTGCGGGCATAAAGGTAGTGAAAAACCCTTGAAAACCTTCTCTGTTCTTACCTCCTTTCGCTTAGGGATTTTGCCCATTCCTGATTGTGGATTGCAGAGTAATGGAACTGGCAATTGGAGTCTGACTGTGACTTCTGATGTGGTATGTTCAACACTAAATCTCTTCATTTTCCATTTGTTGTTCAGTTGTTTTAGTTGTGTCCAACTCTTTGTGGCCCCATTTGGGGTTTTCTTGGCAAAGGTACTGCAGTGGTTTGCCATTTCCTTCTCCAGCTCATTGTCCAGACAAGGAAACTGAGGCAAACAGGGTGAAGTGACTTGCCCAGGGTCACACAGCAAAGAAGTGTCTGAGTCCAGATTTGAGCTCAGGTTTTCTTGACTCCAGGCCCAGTACTGCACAACCCAGCTGCTCTTCACTTTCCATTTAGTGTCATATTGATATTCCTAAAGCATCTGTCAGCCTCTGCTCAAGATGCTCCTGAGGCTCCCTCTTGCCTGTAGGATAGACTCCGGACTCCTCTGTTTGCCATTTAAAGCCCTTCCTCTTCCGGCTCTGGCCTCTTTCCGCGCCGGTGACTTCTCTTTACACATTCTGTGTTCCAGCCAGCCTGGCCTCCTATGATGTGAGTCACCTCCCTCTCCCAGGACCCTCAGCTTCCTTTAAGGCTCAGGCCAATTTCCACCTCTCCATGGGGCCCTTCCTGGTCTGGCCGCCTCCTGCCCATTCCTACTGTCCTCCTCCCAGGTCACTCTGCCTTGACTTTGACTGTGCTTGGCATTCACTTTCTTACCACCCCGCCAGTAGATTGTAGCCTCCTGCTTTGTTGTTAGTTAATAAGTGTAGAATGTTAGAACACTGACCCAGAGAGGGAGGGCACCTTATGACACAGGATGCTCGAATTGGAAAAGACCTCTGAAAAGACCTCTTTCCTCCCTTTGAAAATGGGGCCAATCCTGGTGCTCCCTCCCCTTGCTAGAATTACCTGTATGACCTTGGGCAAGTCACATCACTGCTTGGGGCTTCAGCTTTCTTATCTGTAAAATGGGTGGGTTGAGTTAGATGATCTGTCCCTAGAGTTGCTTCCAGGATAAAGGCCTGTGCTGTCAGTTATAGAATTTTAAGGCTGAAAAAGAGAGTTTGAGATGCTTAGCTCTTCCTGCTTCATTTCTGGCCTAAGGCCCAGACAAATGAAGGTAGTGACTTGACAGCTAGAAAGGTGTGGAGAAGTGGGCTGACTGGTTTGGGTCGGGGTCTGTGAGGTACCTCCTGTTGGGCGCTGTCTCAGGCTGGTTTCCTCCTGAGGATTTCTCTTCTGGGGGCAGCTTGGCCAAGTGTAGAGGATGGTTGGGCAGGGAGTTGGGGAGGTCCTAGGCTCCTGTGGACCATCAGATTGAGGGCTGGAAGGGACCTCTGAGACCAGCGAGTCCCACCCTCCCGTTTTTCAGATGAAGAAATTGAAGCCCAGGGAAGTCACCAGGGGGCAGGACTTGAGTCTTCACTCTGGTGCTTAGTGTCTGGGGGATTTGGAGCCTCTTTCTTCATCTGTAAAATTAAGATGGTTTTGTGTAGGCTAAGATTGCCTGGGAGACCTTGGGCAAGTCACTGGCCAGAGCATGAGGCCAGTCTTGCCCTGGGCAAGTCATTTAGGTCTCTGAGCCTTGAGCAGCTTCCTGGGACTTCGCTATTAGATCCAGGTTGTCATCTGTATTGGTGGAGGGAATTCCCTCAGTGATGAAATGAACATGGCAGTAATATCAGCTGGGGCGTCTAGAGGTTTTCTTGTCCCTTAGTGCGTCAGATGTTTGTGATTAGAAGTGTATTTCCACAGTGCGATGAGAACTAAGGCAAGGATTTTCCCCCCAGATGGGCTCCGAAGTGACCGTAAGATTGAATGGCGATTTACAGCCCTGCGTCTCTGAGACAGACTTCTTCTCTGACTGTCCCTGTGTCGTTGAAACTCTTCTGGTCTCTGCATCTCGAGACTCATCCTGTTTGGCGCACTTACTCATTCAGGTTGAAATCTACCCTAATGCTTCCCTTGCCCAGAATGTATCAGGTGAGTATTGCAATCACGTGCCCAGAGCAGCAGAGAAAGCTTTCTCAGCATTATATTTTGTTGGTCATTTGCTTTGTGAATTAAAAAAAAGTTTACAAGACTCACACAAGATCTCATCAGAAAATAAGCCAATTTTTCATGTGCACCTGAGGACAGAGCCTGGGCTTGGAGCTCATAAATAAGGGCCAGTGGTACCAGTCAGAATGAGTACTGATTTAAGACCCCTTTCTAAGAAGCATTGGGGCGATTTTAGAGACACCATTGTTGTCTTTAATGTCATAGGTGAAGGAGGTAAAAATATGTTAGTCTTGGGAAGCAGCATGGCATTCGTGGCGTCGGGAGGACCAAGGGGCCAATGCTGTCTTCGCCATCATTTCCTCCATGGCCCAGACAGCTGTGTAAGCCTCTGAGCTGTCTCACGTGTATCGATCTGCATTGCTTCTCATCAGGCGCTCTATACGTGGATGAAATCACTGGTCTGGACCAGAAATCTTCATTACTCTGATGTCCTTCCTATTTTGTGACTTCCCAACATGAATGTGCCTGACACATAGTAGACTCTTAGTAAATGCTTATTGATTGATTTATAAATACTTTAATTTGGCTAAGAGGTTCGTTGTAGCCAGTGATGGGTTGGAGCCAGCTTATGCCAGCCAGAAAGCTGATTGTTAAATTGTCCAATGTGCACATTTTTACCTTGGAAATCAGTAAATGCTACAAATCAGTTTGATTTGTTGTTTTACTGATTGATAGACTTAAGAAAATGATGTAGAAAATGTTAATAATGTAGATTAAACTTAAATAGGTTGGGTAAACCCCACTCTGCGCTCTGCCACTGCCCCCTATCCCCACCTCCTCTTCCCCAAGCCGGTTGTGAAATGAGCACAGCCCTGGTTAATAACAGGATCTGGTTTTTTTATTTTTTATTTTGTCTCCCCAGAATTTAGTACAGTGCCTGGTACATAGTAGGTGCTTAATAAATGTTTGTTGTTTGGCTCTGAACTGTGTGGATATCCAGAGCTGATGTAAGGAACCAGACCCTGCTTTCCTCTTTTTATAGGCTCAGGGTGTTCTAAGCACATGGTGCCTGGCAGGTAGTGGGCCCGTAACAAGGGTTTATGGAACTGAATTGAGATACAGAATTCTAAACACCCCTTTGTTTCTAAACGTTTCCAGCTCTCACACGTGTCCTGGTGAGGCTAAGCCCAGCAGGCCACGAAGGCCACGTGCAGCTGCTCCTGCTGTCTCAGGAGACAGTCACCAGTAAGACACAGTAAAACCTCACTCCCAAGGACCCTGTGTGGCTGCAGATGGCTTAGGCTGAAATGAGAGGTGTCCTGGGCCAGATGCCGACCTCCGGGTCTCTCTCCCACCTCTCCCCACCACGTCATTGATATAATCAGCTTCTACTATATCGTGTCATGTATATTACAGACTAAAAGTAGTTGCTGTTTTTATAGTATGTTTTAAATATTGTGGTGTTAAAAGCAGTTCAGGGGAAGCAAGCATTTAGCTCATAGTATCCTACTAGTCAAGAGCTGGCAGAGACCTCCCAGGCCATCGAGTCTTAACTCCCTCATTTCGTAGAGGAGGAAGCTGAGGCCCAACAAGGTAGAATGCCTAGGATCCCATGTACAATAAAGGAATGAAACAGGATTTGAACCCAGGCCCTCAAATGTCAAATGCTCTGCTCCATGGTGCTGACAGTCCCTGCATTTGGGCATTAAGTCCTAGAAGTCTGGACAGAAGTCCTAGAAAACTGGTAAGAACCTTCCAAAACAGAGGCTGCTAAAGCTTAAGAAGCCCCCTGCTTTCTTAGGTTGGGCTGCCCCCTCTGACCTTCCGTCAAATCAGGAGCTGGGGGAGCCCACGCTGGGAAAATCTGCCTCAGTTCCTCCCTAGGGAGGAGAGCAGATGTGGTCGGTCCTACAATTAAGTTAGTCCACAGGCCCCTCATTTTCAGCCTGCTTCCTTCCCCATCATAAAGCTTGTTAGGAAATGAGAAGTTCCTTGAGATATACGTACTTTTGTCTCGACACCAAGCTTGGTGGCGCCAATAGGTGCCAGTGCTTCTGGCTGGGGGAGTAGTTATGTTCTGGTTCTTCCCTGAAAGTGGAACCTTTGGAACTGGGGCCAAGAACACAGCTGAGCCTTGAACAGCGTGCACGTCTGGGTTTTGGACACCAGTGGTCCAAGCTGAGACCGTGTGGCTACATGCCCTAGGCCTCTCGTGTCAGAAAAGTGTGCCCTCTGGGAGGTCATTGTCCACAGGAGGCTTTGACTCTTCCTCCACGTTACAGAGAATGAGATTGTCTGGCATCAGAAAAAATGTGCATTAAACAGTCATGTTGAAAAGCATCTCTTGTGGCTTGGCCCCCTCCAGCTTGGGGATATTGTGCCCTGAGCAGCTGCCCACTTTGTACAAATCTCTAAACCTAGTTTTGTCAACGAGGCCCACACGAGGGTGACTACATAATGCCTGCCGACAGATTCAAAATCTTCACTAAGTGGGACATGGTGTCTGAATTCCTTAGGAAGAAAGAGCTTTCAATTAAAGAGTTCAGAAACTGATCCCTGGGAGTTATGGGAAGTGGGGTAGGAAAAGGATAGTTAATTAGGAGGAAAACCACTTGCTAAGGAGATTGCCTGCTTCTCCCAAAAGGAGAAAAACAGCCTGAATAGTGTGAAGTGCTTGGAATCCTATTGTCTCCTCCCTTCTTTTCTCTTCTCTGTGAAGTTTGGATTCAAAGGGCAGCCCTTTGACTGAATCCAAACTTTACAGAGCAAATCCCCTTAATAAAAGGATTTGTTCTGTAAAACTTGGACTCACATGTGGCCTCGAGGCTGCAGGTTCCCCATCCCTGCCCTAGGGTCTAGGTGCACTCTCCTTAGCACCCAGGGGTTTGACTATTAGTGTGAAGCAGATGGCTCCCAAATCACCAGCCCTCTCCCCTCTCCTGAGGTCCACTCCCGTATTTCTACCTGCGTCTGCAGGACGGCTCCACCTGTTTGTCCCATAGGCATCTTAAACTCAACCCGTCTAGAACAGAACTCATGCTCTTTCCCTTCGAAACCCTCCTTTCTACCTTCCCTATTTCAGTCCAGAGTTCTGCTCTTCTTGCAGTTACCAGATCTGCCAACTTGGAATCATTCTTCACTTCTCATTCTCATCCACACCTCGTATACCATCAGTTACCAAGTCTTGTTGATTGTACCTTTCAAAAACCTCTTGAATCCATCCCCTTCTTTCCACTCACGCCAGAGCCCCACTAGCTCAGGCACCCGTCACTTCTCACCTGGCTTTTGGAGCAGCCTGCTAATTGGTCTGCTTGTCCCCAGGCTGCCCCTTCTCTAATCTGTCCTCTGCACAGCTGCCCAATTGATGTTTCTAAAGCACAGGACTGAGTACATCCCTCCCCCGCCCAAGAAACAAGCAGCTTTCCATTGCCATAGGCTCCTATCCCCCACTTCTTTTCTTCACTTACTCTATTTCAGCTAAACTGTCCAACCCACTATTCCGTGTGTATGACATTGCATTTCTCAGTTCCTCGTGCCTGGAGTGCCCTCTTTCACCTTGGTCTCTTGGAATTCCTAGCTCCCTTTGAGGCTTAGCCCAAATGCTGCCTCCTCCAAGGAACCTTTATGATTCTCCCAGTTATTAGTACACCTTTCCTCCACACCCCAAATCACTTTGTGTTTGTTTGGCATACAGCTTGTGTTTACTTATCTGTGAGTGTGTTGTGTCCCCAAGGAGAATGTAAGCTCCTCAAAGGCAGGGATGGCCTCCATTTTGGTTTGGAACCCCTCGTGCCTGATAGAGTGCCTGGTACATGGTGGGAATTTAATAGGTGCCTGACTGACCTCTAGAAGATCACAACATTTGGTAATTTCTCAGTGGCTCCTGAGGAGGTTGGATTGATCATAAACCAAATTTTAACCCGCTGTCTCATTACTGACCCAAATATTTGTCAGACCATCAACCACTGAATTTGACACAGCTCACATTATCAAGACTTTCTGGGTGGTAGGGATTCAGTGTTGGAATATAGCATGGAATATAGCATTATTAACTATGAACCATAGTAGAATAAATTCTAAATAACCCACCTGAAATTTTACATCTACACTTTTATCTGATTCGGCAGAAAAGTAATTATCTTGAAGGATTAAGATGAACCATTTTTGTTGTAGACGGCCCAGGATTTTTGGTTTGGGGGAATACAAAGGCCTGGGAAGTTTGAAGAAAGAGCATCTAATTTGCTGGAAAAATGATGGCGACACATGTGTTAGAATTTCCTCCCCTGCGAAGTTGAGCCAAATGTTTCTCTTTCAAAAGTGAATTGTGTTTTCCTGGTGGTCAGATGGGCCTTGGTAACCAGTGCTTGTATCACCTCTGCCCCGGGGATCCACGGGATGTTTGTAGCATACTCGAGTGGGTGCCAGACTGCTTGGAGATTCATTCGTAGGCAGTCTTTGGGAACGGTGACTGGTAAGGGCCTTTGGGCCCCTAAGATGTGGCAACCTCTGTTTCTCTGCCTGTCCTTTAAAAGTTTCACTTTTCTGTCTTATGTCTTTTCAGAGAATAACATCGGCTTCGTTAACCAGATGTATCAGCCCTTTGGCCCCTGTCCCTGTGACTTGGTCGCCGGGATGTGTGACGTCCGGTGCTGCTGTGACAAGGTATAGACTCCACTCATCAGGTGTGGGTGCAGAAGTTGGTGCAGCAGCCGGTCTGCCAGGGCCTCGCCTGAGTCCAGGGGCACTATGCCAACGAGCAGCCTTCTGTGATCAAGCAGCCTTGATAAGAACTGCATGTATTATTTCAAACAAAAATCTCTTACATTTTGGAGCTCTCAGGTTAGTTTTACTGAAGGAGAGAAACGGGCTGGGCTGGACGGTTCTAGATCTGCTTCTAGCCCCAGACCCACGAGGAGCCCTGAGAAGGACCTTCTATTCACGTTCTGCCTTGATGGTGATGGCTTCTACTGTGGTCATGGTTTTTATTATGTTTTTCTGAAATCCTTTTGATTGAATTCGATCCAGCAAAGATTTATTAAGCACTTAGTGTGCAAGGAGAGACTTTGTTATAGTGGAAAGAGTTCTGGCCTTGGGCTCAGAAGGCCTGGTTTCTCTGCCACTGACTAGCTGTGTTGCTCTGGGTTAGGCATCCCCCCTCTCTGAGCCTCGGTTTCTAAAATGGGGATAATAACACCTGTCGTCCTTACCTCACCAGGGAGGCCCCAATGAGATAGACCCCATGGGAGCTGATGATAGCACCCAGGAGGTAGTACAGTGGAGAAGAGGAAGAGCAGCCCGAGCTTGGGGGGGAGGAGAAGGTCACTGTGAGTGTCAGTTATTATCGGGGCTGGTCCTCCCCAGAGAATGCAGGTGCCGTGGGGGCAGGGTTCTTTTCATGGTTTCCCCTGCATCTTGCCTGCGCCTCATTGGGACTACACCTGTGATTTAATTGGTAGAGAGCGCTCCCCAGAGAGGAAATTCCCTACTGAAGTGAGTAAAGTACCTTGCAGTCTGAGAGAGTTGTCTGGGCTCTGGGAGACTTGCTTAGGTCACACAGCTAGACTTGAACCTAGGACTTTGGGCTCTAAGGCCAGCTGTCAATTTGCTGTTCCACCCAGCTGAGCACATAATGCCATCAGTCATGTCTGACTTTTTGTGACCCTATTTGGGGTTTTCCTGGCCAAGAAAGTGGACTTGGTTTGCCATTTCCTTCTCCAGCTCATTTTTACAGATGAGGAAACTGAGGTATATAGGGTGCAGTGACTTGCCCAGGGTCACCCAGCTAGGAAGTGTCTGAGGCCAGATTTGAACTCAGGTCTTCCTGACTCCAGGTCCAGCTCTCTGTCCACTGTGTCACTGAACTGCCCAGAGCATAATAGGAGCTTGACAGTTGAATTTCAAGGCCCTGGGCCAGGAGCTAAAAAGAAAGCAGACCCTACTCTCCTTGGCAGGATCTGGAATGGTAAGGAAGGAGATGAATTTTTCATGTGCTTTGTTTCTTTTTAAACTTACCTCCCCCAGGGCTGGGGGGAAGGGTTGAGGGGAAGAAAGGTGATGGAAAGGAGGCCAGGAGGCCAGAGAAGGAGGAGGGTGACCAGGCCCAGTAAGAATGAGCTATGTTTCAGTAAAAAGGGCCACAAGTGACATGGTAAGGCCCATACGTAGCATGCCTGAAAGCTTTCACGGTTTTTGAAGTCATCAGTGAACCAAGGTTGATCCAGTCCAAGCTAGAATTCATTTGAAAAAAGATGAGGCAGTCTAGAGAGGCAGGCTGACTGGTGTCCCCCTAGGCCTGGCCTGGCCTTCTCTTGATTGACACAACTGTGTCTGTTTGTTATTATGGAATTTCACAGCTACAACAGATAGCTTCTCTGTCCTTTGTACTGGCCCATTTTCAGAAGAGCTATTTGTACATCCCTGTTAAGCTTCCACAGTGTGAGGTGTAAGGTCTGGGCACATGGTTTTGTTGTAATGTTCGAAGAAGCCTGTTTTTTATTTCCTTTTCAGAGGTGGGTCTCTTGTTTAAGCAGCCTAGAATAAGAGTCTGGGCTGCCCTCCTGGGGCTGCTGATCCATCCCCTCTCTGAACACTTAAGGAGCTGACTGTGTGGGCCAGGGGTGGGGAACGGGTGGCCTCAAGGCCTTCTAGGTCCTCGGGTGCGGCCTTCTGACTGAGTCCCAGTTTTACAGAACAAATCCTTTTATTAAGGGGGTTTGTTCAGAGGGCCGTGCTTGAGGACGTGGAGGGCCGCTGTGGCTTTGAAGCTGCAGGTTCCCCACTGTGGGCCACAGAACTTTCTTACTAAAATGCTGCTGCAAATACCACTGATAGGTGACATCCTTGGCAAGGGGAATATTTTGGATAAATGACTTTGTTAGGAGGCTGAAGCTTATGTCTTTAAGCCGAGGCACCATGGGTAGAGTACCGAGCTTAGAGCTGGGAAGCCGAGCCTCCTCGTAATATTTACTGGCTGTGTGACCCTGGGAAAATAACTGGAATTCTCTTAACCACCAGCGCGTCAATTCCATCAATCAAAAGTGTTTATTAAGGGCTGACTATGTGCCAAGCACTGGGCCAGGTGCCGCGGCCAGAAGAACAAGAAAGCTTGTCTCGTAAGAGGGGAGAGAACAAGGACTCTGTCTAGGTACAGCGTCTACAAACACACGCCCACACATCTCTACATATGTGCACACGTGATTATATGTGTGCATAAATACACGCGTGTGTAAGTATATGTACACACACACATACACAAGTGATTTCAGTACAAGGCAGGGTGGGAGGGCTGGAGGGAGGGCCTTCCCCAGGATGTATCCAAGTCACAGCCCAGGAGGAGCCTCCTCTTTTTTCACATGCTTCTGAGCTCACTGTTGCAATGTAGCTGCTCTCTCCAGAGTGACCAGTGGTCTCCTCCTTGCCAGATGAAATGGTCTTCTCTCAGTCCTCGTCCTTTTGGGCCGTGGTGGATCAGCTTCTCCTCCTGGATCTTCCCCTCTCTAGGTTTTTGTGACTTCCTTCTCTCCTGGTGACCCCCTCTTCTGTCTACCTGACCACTGCTGCCCTGTCTCCTGCTGGATCTTTACCAGGGCTGTGTACACTAACTATAGGCCTGGGCCTTCTTCTCTTCTACAGCCTCACGTGGAGATCTCCTGTGTTCCCATGGGCTTCTGGGTCATCTCCATGCAGATGATTCCACAGCTCTGGATCTCTCTGCTGAGCCAGTCATGTACCCCTAGCTGCCCTGTTCATTGGGCATCTCAGATTAGATGTTCAGATCTCTCCTTCACTAGCCCAAACCCTCCCTTCTTCCCAACTTTCCTTTATTATCCAAGGCACTACCCCCTTCCAGTTGCCTCGGCGTGGTCGTTGGGGGGTCGTGCCCAGCTTCCATTGGCATGCCCTGCACATATTCCACTCTTCCTGTACATCCCCTCCTCTCTGTTCACACAGGCTGGGTTCAGGTTCTTATCCCCTTTCCCTAGACTCCGGCCTTCTGCCTCACAGCTCCCCATTCTTCACCACCCTCTACTGTCTGGCCACACTGCTCCACTTGTAGTTTCTTACACACAGGCCTCATGGCTGGGCTGCTCTTCCTTCTCCCCTTGGCCTTCTAGCTTCCCTGGACCCCTTCAGGACTCAGCTCAGATCCTCCCTTCTGCAGGAAAAAGCCTCCCTCCCATCCCCCTCCCAGGCCTGCCCTCCCCCCCATGCCATCTCCCTCCCTTCCCCCATGGTGCCTTTCTTCTTGAGATTACTTCTAATTTACCTACATTATGTTTGTGCATCACTAGTTCCATGCTGTATATTTGGTTATGATGAGGTCTAGAGGTTTAGGGGTGCTGGGACCCCGAGATCATGACACATGGGTCCCGTCTAAAAGAATTTGACTCGACTCAAGCCTTCTTTCAGCTAAAGACAAGGTTTATTAAAGATCCGACATACTAGCCAGACTCTTAAGGAATCAGCACCTGTGAGTTATTGGCTAGATTGTAAAAATCTGAGCAGCGGCTAGATTCTAAGAATCTGAGCATCTTAATGGAAACAAGGTGGACCTTGTATACAGAAAAACTATGGGAGAGATCCAGGAGCGGCCAAGTAGCTTGGAATGACTGGAGGAGGGGTCTAAGGAAGATCTGGATGGGAGTGGCCAGTAAACTGGGGTGAACAGACTCCCTGGGACCTGGACCACGTGGCCAAGGAAGAAAGGAGCCTAGCTAGGATTAAGGGTGGGAAGAGGGGGGCATAGGGAGGTAACACAATGGAGGGCTAGCCTAAGTTAAGGGTAACAGAGAATTGGGAGATTGGGCGGAGCCACAATGAAAGGTCAGTGGATGGGATTATGTTCTCAGGCTAATGCCAGAGATTTGGCCTTGTGGGAAAGGCCAAGGTTTTTCCTTTTCGGGGTCTAGATCCCATCCTCATCAATTAGACTAGGAACTCGTTGAGAGCAGAGACTGGCTTTTGCCTTTTTATCCCCAGCTCTTAGCACACTGCTTCGCAGTAGCTGCTTAGTAAATGCTTGTTGTTTGACTGACTAGCAGAGAAAATTGCCACATAAGGCATTCCCCTGGGGTCCCCGGTCAACAAAATCACAAATTATAGATCCTTGAAACATGGAGAGTTAACTTTAAGAAAAAATTAACTCTCGTGATCAGATTATTTCTTTACCTTGGTAGAGAAAGTCTCTGAAACAATTGAATTTTTCTGGATTTCTTGGGGTCATCATAATGAAGATCAGTTAGTCTCCTTGGCTGTAAGACGGTGCTGCGTTTTAGGGTTCCTGCAACATTTGAGGTGCTTTGCCCTTGTGTTCTTTGAGTCAAGGCTGTGTGGCAGGGGCTGTTTCTGTGTCTAATTGACTTGACACGTATCCTTTGATCGCAAGAGTCCCCTCAGTGGCCCTAGGTCTTCGTGGGCCCCTTTACTTTTGCTGGCCCCTATAATGTGTTCAATGTGGATTGTACTCATTTCTGCTGTCTCCTTGTCTCAGCACAGACACCATCTGGCTTGCAGGGCTGATCCTTTCTCCCACTCTGTGGTTTTAGCAGTCATATCTGACCCTGATGAAGGGATTATAAAAACATCCCTTTGTTTTGAAAGACCATGGCGGATGGGAGTAGTGGAGGCCCTGGCATGTGCACTGACTGCTCTTTTGTGTCTTCTTCCCAGGAATGTATGCCCCATTTGATAGAGCTGTTCAAAGAAGACTGTTTTACAGGAGTTTTTGGTGGTAATGTAAATCCACCTTTCAGCCACCTGTGCTCTAACCCAGCAAGAGAAGAGGTGTCGGACTGGTTCCCCTTCTTATGTGTTCAGTCCTCCCTGGACAACACTCCTTTCCTTGGTTATTTCTACCATGGCTTCACGTAAGTAGAGACACGAGAGACCATGAAAGGTTCTTGTGCCTGAATGCCAACGAAGCTACTTTTCTGATTGCTCACAGACTCTGCAGGATTTCTGTGAGGCACAATTCCTTTCTGAAATTCACTGACTTAAAAACGTTTTCTTCTGTGTTTTAGTTTTTCTGAGTTTATCTTGCGCTGTGCATTTAAAAGAATGATGTCAAACTAATGGCATTTGGCTGAACAGCTAGCAGTTAAAAATGTGAACAACAATTCTTTTTCTTTAACTTATAGTTCTCCTAGAGAAGAGCTCAGCTTCAAATTACCTATATACGATGAAGTAGAAGACTGGTCGGATTTTGGCTACCAGCAAGACAGTCCCCTTATGACAGTGGAAAAAGAACTTTTCACCATCCCCCAGGTCAGGACTTCAGTTTCAGAATGTGGCCAGTCAGTCAGTCTCGCTGGTTTAACTCGTTCTGTGTGCAGTGCTGGGCCAGGCCCTGAGGAGCCGACAAACAGAAAACAGTCCCCAGCCAGGAGGAGCTGCCATGTTCTACATTTCTCCTTGTTTTTATTTTGTCACAAACACTCACGTGGGAGGATGTGTGATTTCAGTGATGTCAGCGGGTCCTCTAGCTCAGCCTGGAGGACTTTTGGCCGTGCCCTCCCTTAATTTTCCCCCTAAGAGGTCCTCTAGAGGTCCTGGAAGCCTTCCTTCCTTTCTGCTTAATCTGTCTTCCACAGATGTCCTTTTTCTTTTTTTTCTCCATGTATTTCCTGTTCTCGAGTGAGACTTGTCACGACAGCTACACTTAGAGATGGCATATGGTAGTGAGAGTCCTTGGCCTAGAGTCAGGAGTTTGTTGTTATTGTCCAATTGTGTCCGACTCTTTGTGACTCCATGCATTCATCTGTGGGGTTTTCTTGGCAGAGATATTGGAATGGATTGCCACGTCCTTCTCCAGTGCGTCCCCATTTTACAGATGAGGAACGGAGGCAAATAGGGGTTAAGTGACTTGCCCGGGGTCACCCAGCTTGGAAGTGTCTGAGGTCAGATCTGAACTCAGGTCTTCCTTACTCCAGGCCGGGTGCTGTATCCGCTGCACCACCTAGCTGCCCCTAGGACTCAGGAAGACCTGAGTTCAAATCTGGCCTCAGACACTTCCTAGCTGGGTGACCTTGGGCAAGGCATTTCACCTTATGACAGAGTCACAGTTTCCTCATTTGTAAAATGGAGATATCATAGCATCTACTTCTCAGAGTTGCCATGAGGGTCGAGTGAGTTTATTTTACTTTTTTTGTCATTCAGTCATTCGGTTGTGTCTGACTCTTTTGTGAGTCCAGTTGCCTCATTTACAGATGAGGAAACTGAGGCTTAGAAAAGTCAAATGACTTCTCAAGTGTGACTGCTACTGAGTGTCTGAGGGACGACTTGAGCCCAGATCTTCCTGACCATAAGTCTACGGGCATGATCGGCTCAGCCGTCCTCTGGTAGGCTGGCCTTACACTAAGCTTCTCTTGACATCTCTTCATGTGTCTGAAGGATCAGACCAGCAGTCTCACGACTCCTGCTTGCTCTCAGTTTGGTAGAGGGCTGCTGGACTGAAATCCTGACGCCCTTGCGAGAGCTAGCCCTCTGCCAGCTCCATTACTCTTAGAAACAAAGTCAATTCCTGATGTCTTACTTTAGTAGAATGTTTCTGCCTTCCATGCGATCCACGTTCTTAAACAGCTCAAATGATGTTGGGAGGTTTTTTTACCCAAGCCTATCCTCGAAGTGCTTTCTGATGCCTTTCCTGTGTTAATTTTAAGACTTCTCCTGTGGTAGGAAAGAGCCAGTGAGGATGAATGCAGTCAGCATGTGGGTCTTAGTGAGAAGGCTGGATTGGAGGGGGCAGCGTGGTGTAGTGGGAAGCAGAAGGAAGACCCTGGAGTGAATTCTACCTTGGGCGCTTGTTTTCTGGGTTATCCTGGTCAAGTCACCAAATCTGTCTGTGTCCCCGTTGGCTCATTTTTTAAATGGTGAGAATGGCACCTGCCTTTGTGTAGCCCTGAATGAAAATATGTAGGAGAAGTGCTTTGTAGACCAGACAGAGCATTGGGAATGTTTGCTGTTATTATGTGGAGCGCCATGGGCTTGAAGATGAGGCCTCTTCCTGAGCCAGTTCTTCACCTTCACTGCCCAGGTCTACCGGCCGGCCTTTGGTGAACCTCTGCTAACAAAGGAAGCAGGCCACAGAGAGATGCCCAGGAGGCTGGCGACCATGGTCTTGTGGGGGCAGGGAGAGCAAGCATTAATCTTGTGTCTGTCTTGTTCCTAGATGTCCTTAGTGGGGCAGTGTATTCAAGAGGCCCCTGTGGCCTTCCTTCAGAATTTTGATGTCATCTGTGTTACTGACTTGGCAACACGTCCAGAGCGGGAGAATATTAGTTCAGTGAAGATAAAAAATGGTACCATTGGAGGTAAGTTGTACTTGTTGTCGGGGGAGGAACTGAAAAAGCCCCTGCTCCGTTGTGACCCCGTGATATTAGGAAATATTACCCTTTCAACACTTCGGTCAGAACGTCTTCGTTATCTGTTGGGGAAGCATTTTATTTTTAGAAATACTTAAAAGGGCTTTTGCTCTTTCATAATTTTAATTAATTTAACTTTATTAGCATTTATGTAGGGCTTAAGATTTGCAAAGTGCTTTCCAAATATTATCTTACTTGATTTTAACAACAACTCTCTGAGATAGATGCTGTTATTAGCCCCATTTTACATTTATTTCATTTTATGTTTTGTTTTTTGGTTTTTTTGGCAAGGCAGTTGGGGTTAAGTGACTTGCCCAGCAACACATAGCTAGTCAGTGTTAAGTGTCTGGTCTGAGACTGGATTTGAACTCAGGTCCTCTTGACTCCACAGCTATAGGTGAGGCACAAAGGAGACAGAGGTTAAGTGCCTGAGGCTGGATTTGAACTGCCTGAGACCAGCACACTCAGTGTGAGCTGTTGTCATCATCTTCATCACCTTCCTCCTCCTGGTGCTATATAACTGTAGTAGCTGCCACAGTGACCTCAGAGGGCCGAGAAGAGGGTCATATGAGAGGATTGACCTGGAAGAGAGTTGCCAGTTGCCAAGGGTTCTGCCAGTAGAAATGAATAACAGTGTAATAAGCATAGGATAAAGATGTAAATGTACGGAGATAGATTCTTTTTCACGACCAAGCAGCATGGGCTGTAGTTCTTCCCTGGAAGCTCACTATCTTGTGCCGGTCCTAACTCTGGTGTCTATTTTGTCACGGGTGTGGATGAGTGCTAATCTCCCGGAATGCCCATGTGCTCGTGTCTGATGGGTTCAGGTGGGCAGAGAGGAGAGGGTGGCGTGGAGAGCCGCCTCAGGTGCCCTAGTTAGTAAAACAGAGACAGGCTTTCTCTTGGAAGAGAGAAAACATGATTGTGCAATGCAGAAAGTGACTGTTTTTGTCTTCCTAGGCTTTGTCGTACCCCAAGTGGTCTATAAGGAGTCAACTGCCTTAGACAAGTTCATCCGTGGCACAGGTACCTTATTGTGATGCTTTCTGTACGCTCATAGAAACACAATGGTTCCATCCACCCGAAAGTTCTGCCAGAAGATGAAAAGAATGGATGGGAGACTTTTGGAAACGTCTCTTTTTCCAGATAGAATATAAACTCCTTGAGGGCAGGAACATTTTCATGTTGTCCGTCTCCTCAGCACCTAACCCAGTGCCTGGCACATAGTAGGTATTTAATAAATGCTCGTTGATGCATTGATTGATAAAAATATAACTTTTTAGAACTTCATTGAATATGGTGTTTGGTGAAAAGCTATAAACTCTTGCCCCATGAAGGAGATGTGGGAATATGAGGGTAGAATGTGGCCTACACCTTCTGGTGTAAGTTTGGCTTAACTAGTTTTCTCTATCATAAGGAAAGGTTTGCTAGGAAGGCTTTCCTGGGGAGTGACTTGTGGAAAAAACAGAAGGTGTCAGTTATACGTGAAATAAATAGACGGATGCAGATTTAGGGTTAGAGGGCCTGGGTACAAATACTAGCAGTGATTTGCTGTTTGGATAACTTTTGGCCAATCCTGTCCCTGTTCCAATCCCTCCCCTGTTCCCTCATCTGTAAAATGAGGGGCTGCACCTGAGACCTCCAGGGGCCCTCCGGCTCCATGATGTGTGTGGCTCGGACCTCCACGGGCCTTGTTTCCATATCTGTAACAGGATGACTGTGGAGGGCCCTTCAACTTTCCCTCTCTGCTCCTCTGAAATCACCCCCCACATTCTTCAGAGAAGATCACCATCCCTTAGGGCTGGCTGCAGTTCTTTTCACTGACCCTTTTTGCTTTTTATTTTCACTATTTAAAATAGTGACTTAACGTGGTGACAGCTAAGTCACCTAGACTTTCAGTGGCATTACTGGATTTGAAGAGAGAGGCTCTTTCTGTTTCTCTTGGATCTGAGTGTGCTCAGAGGAGAGTGCAGCCCAGAGGACTGACTGTGGGTTTGTTCACAGACGTACTTCTTGCTCCTGGGCCATCATTCAAATATGTGAACTTGGAAGAGCACTATACTTTCAGGTGGAATGAGAAAACAATCACTGAATTCAATGTCAAAGTCATCCGGGCAAAAATTCATGCAGACCAGCAAGGTAATCGTGGAGAGGCAGAGAATTTGGGTTTTTATTTGGAGTGTTTTTTCCCTTGTCTTTGGGACACCTCTGATTAAAACAGGCCGGACTGTTTCCTACATGTACTTATGACTTCATCCAAGATAGAGAGGTATGAACATCTGTTTTGCATATTTCAAATATAATTACAAGTGGTTGACCTTGGTCCTAAAGAAGAGAGGAGAAAGTCTGTTATTTCTCAGCCTTCTTTGTGGAGGTGGAGGCTTTGGGTGTGGAATGTCCCGTATATTCCTAGATTCGGTTTCTGTGTTGGTTGGGTTTTTTTTGTTTTGTTTTTGGGGATGAGGCATTTAGGGTTAAGTGACTTGCCCAGAGTCGCCCAGCTAGTGAGTGTTATGTGTGTGAGGCCGGATTTGCACTCGGGTCCTCCTGGCTCCAGGGCTGGTGCTCTGTCCGTTGCGCCACCTCGCTGCCCCATCTGTGTTGGTTAGTTTTGCGGATTGCTTTTTCTCCCCTCTTTTCTTTTTTATTCTTTGTTCCAGGGATACCTCTGGGGAGGGTCAGGATGAATTTGGGGGAAGGGGAAAGATATATTTGGAAATTAAGAAAAGCAGAAATCAACAAAAATGTTTAAGATAAAATGCATTTCCAAGAAGTCTGAGAAATGGGACAGATCCGTTGTTTCCCATGAGGGAATTAACAGTACTTGTTATATCTGTTGTTGTTGCTGTTTTATTTCTAGGATTATTGACACAGAGATTTAAAGTAACATTTTTAAGCTTTAATGCTAAAGACAGCCCAGAACGATCTGGAAACCCAGGTAGGGTGGTTATACTTGAATTCCTCTGGTAAAAAAAATCAAGAATTGATGTTTTAAAAAAATTTCTATCCCTCTCCCCCTCAAGCCTGCAGATCAGCCAGCCCTTTCATTTCTATGTAGTATGGAAATCCAGAAGTTAAATATGACTGCTCTGTAAAGTTGGCCTGGGAGGGGCGGGTTGGCAGTGCGTAGCGGCTACGTTCTGGCTCAGTGACCCTGGGTAAGTCACATGAGGGCTCAGAGCCCCAGGGGATTCTCCTGTGGTAGAGGGGGCAGAGAAAGTGCAATCTGCCCAGGGAGATGAATGCGTTCCTGGGGACTTACAACACTACAGAAGCCACAGGTTGCTCCAATACATATGACAGATATAGTTAGCATTTTGTTTTGTGCTTTTATATTTAAATTTTTAAAAAAATTCTCCATTGAGACAATGTATACTTTATATAGCATGTCTATGATATGTCTGTCTATTCTATCTACATTATTGGAGTGCTATCAATGCATTCAAGTCTTTCTTCTTTATTTAATGATCGATGTTTGAACAGAAAGTGTGGTTCTTGCCTGTTAGGAAACATAAGCTTTTCAAGAAGTGGAACAAGCTGTAGATGGATATTTTTTACGTGCTAGTGAAATGATACGCAATCTGTTGCTTGACTATTTTCAAATCCACGTCCACAGTCCTCACAATGGCGGCTTTTTTTCAGAGCTGGGAGTGGGGTTTGATGTTCACTCTGAAAGCCGTGGGAAGACCATTGGACTTATAGTCAGGGGGTCCCTTGGTTCTGCCACGTGTCACCTGTGTGACCTTGAGCAAGTCACCTGTCCGTTCTGGGTCTCAAGTTCCTGTCTATTGAAATGGAGGGGTTAGGCTTGATGGTCTCTCATGCCCTTTCCAGCCCTAACCTTTCACTCGATCTACGGCCCTCTATCCAGTTCACTAAGAGGTTTATTTTGCATTGCAGAGAATAATATTCCCAAACTGGGGCAGGTGCCGCCAGGCTGGAAAGCCTGAAAGTGGGAGCTGGGGAGGGATTGTGTCTCTGATCCAAGGATTGACAGCCCTGAGCAGGTGACGATGACAGTGTGTGAATTCTGCGACCACATTCATGAGTGTCGGGCTGCGGAGGGCAGGGTGCTGCATACACCAAGATCACAGACTCTCTCCTTATACAAGCCACACGTGGAGAGCACTGTAGAGGGGAAAAGGTGCTGACCTTAGTCAGGAAGACCCGGGTTCAGATCCCTCCTCAGACTAGGACCCTTCCTCGTCGTGGGGCCCTGGGCAGCGCACTTCATCTCTCTCGGTCTCAGTTTTCACCAGACTCAATGGCTTCTAAGATCCCTCCAGCTCTAAATCTGTGCTCCTGTGAATCGACCAAGCCGTGGAGGGCTTGTGTTTTGCAGCGGGGGCGCGAGTCCCAGCCCAGATGAAATGAGAGATTCTTGAATAATAATCACATCTCCAGTGTACTTCACAAACACTATCTCACTGGGTCCTCGCAACAACCCTGGCAGGAAAGTGTGGTTATGATCGCCATTTTACAATTGAGGAAACTGAGGCAGGCAGAGGTGACGTGACTTGTGCAAGGTCACACAGCTAGTAAGGGTTGGAGGCTGGATTTGAACTCAGGTCGTCCTGACTCCAGATCCAGTGGTCTCTCTACCTGGTCTGTCACATGGGTACCTCTGATGCAGGCTGTCCCCTTCGAAGCCTTAGGAGAGAAACCCCTGAGTTGCTGAGGTTGAAAAAGCTCCTCACTGGTTGGCCAGCCTGCTGGCGATGAGCGTCACTGCTTGTCCGTCCAGCAGGTATCCGGCCCACTCGCCAGATGCCTGTCTCGCTGCTCTGTTCTTCTCATGCTTCTGACCCTTGAACATCCTTGGTCGGCCCTTCTTCCCTTTCGGTTTCGCACGCTCCCTTTGCGTTCTTGCTTGAGGCAGCGCTCTGTGTCAGGGAGTTGCGAGGACGGCTTGGTCGAGATGCCCCCGGAAGTCCCTTCTAACTCCAGAATAACCTTATTAGAAGAAAAGCGCGTTAAGCCTCCTCTGTTGTTTGTGTGCCTGTCTAGGTTACTTTCCTGGCAAGCCTGTGAGAGCCCTCAATCTCAGAAGTGTTAATAACATCACCACCTTAAACCTTTGGCGGCCAGGTAAGCGTGACTTCTTTGTTATCGTTGGGTCAGTTGCAGGGTATAGTTAGGGGCAGCCTTGGTCTCTGATGCAGACAGGTCAATAAAACCCATCTGCCTTTGACTTTGGCTTCTGCAGTTTCGTCCTTAGGGAGTTACTGGGGTGGTTGCTCCAGCCAAGCTGGCCTGCTCGGCACTCCCGATTTCATCTCCTACCTCCCTGCTTCTGCACAGACAGCCCCTCATGCCGGGAGTGCTCTCTTTCCTCACCAACACCTTGTAGGACTCCTGTCTCTTCTCAGTGTTCAGCCCAGCTGCCACGTCCTTCATTTCTCTACCTCCCCTCGGCTCAGTGAACTGATTTTGTATACATCCTGAATTTGATTTTCTGTAAATACCAAGCTAGAGAGATGTGAGTGTCTATTTGGATATTTGAAATAAAATTATAAATGGTTGAGCTTGGTCCCAAAGAAGAGAGGAGAAAATCTACGCGCCTGCCTTCTTTGCAGAAGTGGGGGTCTATGCTTGTGGACCATCCCAGGTACTCCCCGATTCCATTTGTGTGGTGGTTAGTGGGTTTATTGGAGGAGAGAATTGGTCAATGAATAAATCAACTCTTAAGTATTTATCAAATGCCAGGCACCGTGTTGGTGCTGGGGACGTACAAAGACAAAACCGAGATAGTCCCTGCCCTCAGGGAGCCTGCATTCTAGTGAAAGATACAAATATATAAGCAGGTAGTAAAAGTGGTACATGGGCCTTCCTTTAGAGTAGGACCGGTTTTGGTTTTTGGATTTGTGTCCCCCATGCTTAGCACATGGTAAGTATTGAATAAATGCTTGCTAACTGAGTGACTGATTATCAGTATACATGTGTTCATCCTTCAGTGGAATGCAGAGTCCTTCGGGCAGGGGTTGTTCGAGTTCTCTCTTTGTATGCCCAGCATTGAACACAGTGCTGGGCACGTAGTGGAAGGCACTTAATTGGTGCTTATTGATCGATTGATTATCAAGATTTGGTTCGGAAGGGGGCAGAAGGAGGCATCCTGGATTCTGACGCCATGTCCGTCGTTGGTGGGTGCCGCCTGTGCTGGGGCCATCCCTCACTGGTAGGAGGGGCCCGGCTCTGTCTGTCCTGGTTACTGCCCTCTGCTGGCAGAGCCCGCATCCTTGGAGAAGGCGCTCCATGGCATCCCAGCTGATATGCCCAAGCACGAGTTCATTGGCTCCATGGGGCCTTCTGAGGCACCGTTTTTAGAAAAATTTGGAACCTTGTTTCTCCTTAAGACAAATGCCAACGAAAGCTTGTGTGAAATAGAATCTCTTTGTCTCACCAGTGCCTTTGTTTTGTAGTTGGCAGGGGTCTGTGCACGGGAGCAGAAACCACCCCGGTTTTATTTGGAGAAGATGCTGTATCTGGATGCCTCTTGGAGCTTGGCATTGAAGAGAACTGTACCCAGCTCAGGTGAGAAGGGAAGTCAGTGCATTTTGGCTGGCTTGCTGAAGAGTCGTTCAGAAGTATTGACATGAAACATCATTCATAACAGAAGACAGGCCGCCACGGTAGGGTGGAAACAAGGCTGGATTTGGAGTCTGAGGAGCTCAGTTCTAGTTCAGTCCTAGTTCTCCTTGGGTGCCTTTCTGGGCCTCAGTTTCCTCATCTGTAAAATGAAGAGATTGTGCTAGATCCAAGGTCCCTTCTGGCTCCAGGTTTATAAGCCTCTGTCACAAAACCAAAGTCCGTCTGAAACGTGGCCAAGCTGAAGGCAGTCATGGCTTCCGAGGCAGACACACATTGGTAGAGCAGTTTCTTGGTGCTTCTGGCTTCAGATAAATCAGATCTGTTTGCTGGGAATAAAGCCAGCCATTGTAACCATCTTCAGACAAAGCCTCCTTTTGGTAATGGTCACGTCTGTGGCGCCGGCCTTCCTGCTGGGCTTGCCGGGGCACTCCCGGGGGCACGGCTGGTGCCCTGCCCAGCAGCATCCAGGGGTCTGTGTAGAGAATCCTAGCCATGTGCCATGTCTAATGGAGACTGTCCGTGTGCCTTTTATCTGTGAGCACCTTTTCCAGAGGCTGGCGCTGAGGCTACAGGGAGTTGCCCAAAGAAGAGGGTGGGGAAAGAGAAGATTGGTTTTGAATGGAGGAGAGCTGGGGCAAAGGCGGCTGTGTGCTGTGTCAGTCTAGAGTCCAAGGCACGTCAGGGTGAATGATGCAGACTCACTACGCCTGGGTGTACTGAAGGGAGGGAGGAGCACATTAAGAGGTCTCTGTCACCACTTGGGGCAGCTACGTGGCGCCGTAGTGCACAGAGAGCCAGGTCTGGAGTCAGGAGGACCTGAGTTCAAACATGGTTTCAGACACTTTGAAGCTGTGTGACCCTGGGCAAATCATTTCGCCCTGTTTGCCTCGGTTTCCTCATCTGTAAAATGGTCTGGAGAAGGAAATGGCAAAGCACTCTGGTATCTTTGCCAAGAAAACCCCAAATGGAGTCACTAAAAGTGGGAAATGACACCACTACCACCAGCAGCAGCAGCACCACCAGCACCCCCCACCCCCCCACCAGCAGCAGCACCACCACCACCAGCACCCCCCATCCCCACCCTCCCCACCCCCACCCTCTCCACCTCCCACCCCCCTCCCCCGCTCCCCCCACTCCCACCCCCACCGCTACCACCCCCACCAGCACCACCACAACTTACATTTGGAGCTCAAAGTGACAGCTGGAATGGCCCATCTCTTCCTGCTGGCTTCTTCTGGTTCGTTTACTGACGACATGTCTTTTGCTTAGATGCCAGGAAGCGTAACGCCTTCAAAAGATGTATTGTCCAACACTGTGCATCCTCTTTCTCCCCAGATCTGCCCCTCTTCCCAGCTTCTCCATTTCTGTTGGTAGCCTCAGTGTCCTCCTTCGTAACATGTAAAATGTGAGATCTCTGTTTTCGAGCATTCTATATTCAGAGGTCTTTTTCAGTTCTAGCATCCCGTGTCATAAGGTGCCTTCCCTCTCTGGGTCAGTGTTCCAACAGTCTGCATTGGCAGTCACTCCACCTTTACCTTTGACTCCTCCCTCACCCTCACTCTCCACATCCAAGCGTGTTCTACTACAAGTGTCTATCCCCTCCCCTCCCCAGCAGACCATCCCTTGGAATAAAAACAAAAGTGAAAGAACTTTCACAAGCAGTTTCACAAAACTGAATCAGCTGAATCCGATGGTGCCTGGTGTCCTTCACAGAAAAGGTGCTCGGGTGCGTTTCCTCATCTCTGCTTTGGGGCCTAACTTGACCAGCTCAAGAATATTTTTCTTCCCCATTTCTTCCTTTCTACTCACAATGCTGCCACCACGTTTTCCTCTGTATATAATCTCTCCCTTGGACTATTTCCAAGAGTTAGTAATAGCCTTTTAAAAATTAGTCTCCTGTCTTCCAGGCTTTCTGCTTTCTGATTAATCCATTCTTCATTCACCCTGATGCCCACGTTATCTTCTGGATGTCTGAGTCTAGTCATGCTACTTTTTAGCGCAAGCGCCGTCAGTAACTCAATGTTGTCTCTGTGATAAAATGCCAACTCCTCAGACTGGCATTGAAGACACTCCACGGTCTGACTTCTAATTACTCCTCTCACTCCATTTCATGACCCCGTGCCAAAGCCAAACTGGATTAGCCACCATCCCACCAGTCCTAGCTCCCGCAGCAGCCTGCTCACGCTGCCCTCCACTTTCTCGGCCTACCTTTATCTTTGCCCAGCTCCAGGGCCCCTGGCTTTGGGATGTCTGCCCTGAACACTCTCAGCCAGGTCCCAGCTGAAAGTGAACCCTCCCTCCATAAATCTTTCATTGACTTTTCCTTTCTTCTTAATGATATAAAATATCAGAACTTATATGAATAAAAGTATATATTTTATCAATGTTACAATCACATTCTAACTTGTATTGCAGTTCTTTGTATAGCCTCATTTCCTTTTCTAGAGTATAAAATAAGGAAGGGCAGAGACACTGTTGGTAGCTCTGGGGCCTAGTGGGAGCCTCCACACAACTGGTACGCAGAGAGGCAGCTTGGTATAGTGGAAAGAGGAAGATGCCTGGGATCACCAAGCCCTGAGTTTGAATTCTGCCTGAAGAGGCTTACTTGCTGTGTGACTCCTACCTCAGTTTTCTTCTGTAAAGTGGAGAAAATAATACCTACTTCACCAGGTTGTTTTAAAGAAAGTACTTTACAAAGCACTTGAGAAATGTGAGTTATTTTCATGAATACATATTTTCTCCAGGTCTGTCAGTAGGGAAACCCAGCCAGCTCGTAATGCCATCATCATCCCCATAATCATTATCATAATAACTGACATGGATATGGTGCTTTCAGTTTTGCAAATCACTTTACATACATTGTTTCATTCGAACCTCAAAATAATCTTGTGAGATAAAGTGCTTCAGGTGTTACTATATCCTTTTGACACACAGACGTGAGGCTAGCAAGTATTAGAGGCAGAATCTGAATCAGGGTCTTCCAAGCTTCAGAAGTTCAGCACTCTATCCACTGTACCAGAGTTTCCCAACTTAGTTATGAAAGCTTGTGAAGGAACTTCAGAAAAAATTTGGTAAATAACATTACATTATTGAAATTAATTAGTCTGTTTTACTCCTTATGTGCATATATACAAGGTGAACTCTAAAATCCGTTTCCATTCAGATTGACTAAGGGTATGTGGAAAGCTTACTGAAAACCACAGGGCATGTGAACTGGTGAAGTTTGGGACTTCCTGGGGAACCACCCAAGTTGCTGCTCCCCAAGAAAAATACTTAAGATACTTATGCAAGTAGTGATTAAATCCAGTACTTAAACTGCTCAAATAAGACTGGAGTCTAGGGTCCCTTGGCTCCGAGATAATAAATGCCTTAATCTCTCTTGCAGGGCAGAGGTTACTAGCAGACTTAATTCATTAGTACAAGCTACTCATGTGGCCAAGAGAGGCAACTCAGATTATCAGAACCGTCTTGATGGCTGGCTGGAAATAATATGTAAGTGAAAGCCCTCCTGGCGGTTTCTAGCATAAGACACTCCATCTGCAGACTGTACCTTCTTTCTGGCTGTCCCCTGTACCTGGAATGTTCTCCCTCTCATCTCCGCCTCCTGGTTTCCCTGGCCTCCTTCAGGTCTCAGCTAAAATCCCACCTTCTGCAAGAAGCCCGCCCCTGTCCCCCCGGTGCCTCCCCCTGCGAATTGTCTCCAGTGCATCCTGTCTGTGATGCTTTGCTGCTGGCATGTTGTTTCTCTCCCTGAAAGCAGCGACTAGCTTTTACCTCTTTTTGTGTCCTTGGCACTTAGCATAGTGCCTGGCACACAGCAGGTGTGTAAGAAGTACACGTCAGACTATGAAATAGCATAAATGCGTGAACTGCCCTCGGTGGCTTTTGAATCATGCCTCCTTTATACTTTGTGTAGCCAGTTGGTTGAGGTGGACAAGATGGCCACAAGCCAAGACGAAAGTGAAAGAGAGTTGGTGAAAGATTTTGTTCCTGGATGATTGCGTACTCAGGGCAGCCTCTGAGGCCGAGATGCAACAGAGTATGGATGGATTCTTTTGTTTTTGGTGAGGCAGTCGGAGTTAAGTGGCTTGCCCAGAGTCACACAGCTAGTGAGGGTTATGTGTCTGAGCCCGGATTTGAACTCAGGTCCTCCTGACTCGAGGGGCAATGCTCTATCCACTGTGCCACCTATGCCCCTATGGATGGATTCTTGTGCTAATTTTGGCCTAATAATTGACACCAAGAAAACAGAGGTTCTCTACCACCCATACATGGAACCATTGGTTACAGCAAATGGAGAAGTTCTGAGTGCTATACATAAGTTCACTTACTTTCCAAGGTTGTGCACATAGATGATAAGGTTGATGCACACATTGCCAGAGCTAGTTGAATACTTGGGAAGCTCTGAAGGAAAGTATGGGAGAGAAGAGGTATTAGACTGCCTACCAAACTGAAGGTGTACAGAGCTGCTGTGCTGACCTCATTGTTGTATGTCTATGAAACCTGGACAGCCTACCAGAGCCATGCCAGGAAACTGAGTTCCTTCCATTTGAATTGTCTGGAGATCACCTGGCAAGATGAGGTACCAGACACGGAGGTCCTTTCTTGAGCTGAGCTGCCAACCATTCAAACTCTATGCAGAGAGTGCAGCTCTTATGGGCTGGCCATGTAGCCCAAATGCCAAATGCACATTTGCCTAAAAGACCGTTTTATAGAGAACTTGCACAAGGCAAGTAGTCATATGGAGGTCAGAAGAAGCAATACAAGGACACTCTCAAGGTCTGTCTGAAGAGTTTTAGTATTGATTGTGTGACATGGGAGACTCTGTTAAAGGACTGTTCAGCGTGGTTTGCCCTCATCCAAGAAGTGCCATGCTTTATGGGCAAAGCAGAATTGCAGCAGCTCAAAAGAAATGTGAGATGTGCAAATCTACTCCAAATGTCCCTGTGCCCGTCCCTGTGACCTGAGCCTTCTGAGCTCATGTTGGTCTGATCAGCCACAGGTGGACACATTGTACAGTGACCTTGACATAGTAATATTCCACTCTTGGGTCACAGATCTAGGGCAGAGTGAGAAGGGAAGTGAGAAGGGAACCTGCTTTTAGGAGTGATCCCAGTAGGGAGGCCCTGGGTGATGTACAGAGAAAAGAGGAAGTTGAAAAGCCACCAGCAGCAGGGCTGCAGCTCAGCCCCAAAGCTCAGAGTTTCCAGCATCTAGTCAAGCATATAGAAGAATAGCCAAGGCAGGAATCCTACACCAAAGGGAAGCCTAGAATTTTACTGCTCAGAGCCAGCAGAGCTTTCCAGGTGGCTAAGAGGGATGGAGTCCAGCAGTGTCCACTACTACTCAGATCCAAACGCAGGTCAGAAGCTTGCAGAGCTCAGTCCACAGGGTAGCAATCAGATTTTGTTTTGGGCCACCCACTTGGAGAATACTGAAAGCTTGCAGCTCTCTAGCCTGAGATATCCCTGAGATCCTAGAATAACACAGTACTCAGTACCTCAAGAAAACAGCAACAGAACTACTCCAGACCTTCCCTCCAGAAGTGCACAGAACCCAGCCCTAACATCAAGTCTGCAGTCAGGAAGTAGGCTGGAAGAATGAGCAGACAAGAAAAGAACTCCACCATAATGAGCTATTATGGTGGCACAGATGGTCAAGAAATAAATGCAGAAGAGAATGACTCCAAAACATCTATAAGCAGAACCTCAGAAAAAACACAGGTTAGTCATAAACTTGACTAGAATTCCTAGAAGAGATGAAGCAAGAGTTTTTAAAAAAAAAGATGGAATGAGAGCACTTGAGGGAAAAAATGGAAAAGAAATGAGAGTTTATGGAAGAAAGAATTAGAAAGGGAATTTATGGCTCAACACACAAGATTTAGCAGCTACCTTCCTAAAGGAGCAGAGATCTTGGAATATGTTATTCCAGAAGGTCAGAAGGTCAAGGATCTGGGCTTACAACCAAGAACAACTTTCTGATCAAAACTGAGTATAATCCTACAGGGCAACCCCCCCCCCCAAATCCAAAAGGATCTTTAATGAAGTAGAGGACTTCTAAGCATTCCAGACGAAAAGACCAGAGCTGCAGAAACTTTAAACTGCAAACATAGGAGTGAAAAGAAGCATAGAAAGGTAAACACAAATGAATAATGACAAATGACTAAACAAACTGCTTACATTCAGATTTGGGGAAATGATACATGTGTCCTCTCTGGTCCCTGTTATCATCAGGGTTCATAGAGGGAGTTCTTTTTGACATGGCCAGGGAATGGTTCTGTTATATGTTGATCTTAGGAATGGGGCGGGGAAGAGGAGCACAAGGGGACATGGGAGGTGAGGAAGGAAAGGAAGGTTGAGAAAATTATCTCACATAATGAGGGTGCACAATAGACGTCTGTACAAATGAGGATGGGGTGAGAGGGAGCAGCTGATAGCTTGAACCTCTCTCTTCTGCACTGGTCAAAGAAGGAAGAGTATACACATAGAGAGCTAGGTACAATTTCACTTAATAGTAATATAGGAAGGAAAGGGAAAAGAGGGAAGGGGAATTAGAGGGAGAGTAGATTAAGAGAGTGATTCATCTAGTCCTAAGCAAAATTAATTGTAAGGATGTACAAAAATATTTATAGCTCTTTTTGAGGTGGCAAAGAATGGGAACCTGAGGGGGGTGCCCACAAATTGGGGAATGATTGAATAAGTTGTGGTTTATAAATATAATGGAATACTATTATGCGAGGCAGCTGGTGGCACAGTGGAGAGTGCTCAGCCGGAGTCAGGAAATCCTGAGTTCAAATCTAGCCTCAGACACATACTAGCTCTGTGACCCTGGGCAAGTCACTTCACCTCTGATTGCTTCAGTTTCCTCAACCATAAAATGGGCATAATAATAGCACCTACATTCCAGGTTGTTGTGAGAATAAAATGAGATAATATTTGTAAAAAAGTACTTAGCATAGTGCCCGGCACATGGTAGGCATTATATAAATGCTTAATGCTTTCCCCTTCCTTCTGAATGTAGTGACCAATTAGGATTCCAGAGGACTGGTGATGAAATGTAGTACCTTTCTGATAGAAAAGTGAAGGACTCAGAATGAGACAAATTTCTTTTTGGATATGCCAATGTGGAAATTTGTTTTGATTGACTATGCACGTTTGTAGTGGGTTTTGTTTTTCTTGTATTCTCAGCGGAGGGACATGGGGAGTAGTTGGGATGGGATGATGAGAAAGTAGACCTTGGCTGGTTAAAACAAAATATTTTTAAAAAATAGCTCATAGCTCACAGGGTTGTTGAGAGGATCACATGTAATAATGCACATTAAATACTTTTCAAACCTTTAAAGAAAAAAAAAGAAAAGACAAACGTGACCCTATGGTTTTCCGCGGTTTTCTAGGAGGTGTGTATCAGAGACTGTTGGCAGCCTTGGGGATGGTTAGTTACTGTTATCTTTTTTTTTAATGGATTAGTCTTGGTTTTAGCCAGTCTTTTTCGAGATTCTGAATTTTTAATATTATCAGGTTCAAGCTGCATTGTAGGGAGAATGTTTTGCATCATTTCCCCACAAAGGCATAACTTGTCATTGTTCTTACAGGGAGAGATGAACCTTCTCCTGGGGACGGTCTCCATCTCGGAGACATAAAAGGCATCTGCCCGGATGTGCCGGCCACAATGACTGTTCACTTCCTTATTTCTAACGGCGGTAATTTGGAAGGGATTCCCCAGGACATGATCCTTGGCACAGAGGTCAGGTGAGCTATTGGTGTGGTGTTAATGGAGCAGGAGAAGCCTCAGGTCCTCTCACAGTGACAGTTGCAAAGGCTGCCCCTTATGAAGACAAAGACTTAGCAGTGTGATGGATGGACCTCTTTATTGCAATGATGGGTCATCCTGAGTGGACCCAGTCCATTTGGTTTGTATTTAACTCCAGGTTGGTGCAGGTGCGTGATCCACATGGGATTCCTAGATCCAGATGAACTTAATGCTCCTTCTGACCAAGGCCCAGCTTGGTTTGAGATAGACGAGTTAAGAAACTGAATGACAGGGCCCCCAGCCATCGCCCCAGTATTGGTTTGCCTGTTGTGAAAGTTTACCTGCTGTTCTCCCCAGCAGTGGATTATAGCCTCATGCCTGGAATCTCTTTTTTCAGCTTTTCTTCTGTCACCTGGCAATTTCAGTGCGGGATGAGCTGTGAAGATAAGCCTAGTCTTTTTCCTATCAGTGTCTCAGTCCAGTTTATTAAAATACCTCCTCAACCACCCCAGCTACCACAAGGTAACTGCCACTTTAGTGTTTGAAAATATTAGTGAGATCATACACACTCGTCAAAAGAAGAGAGATCTGGTGGTATAAGCAGGGTTACTTGAACTTCTTCCCCTTGAGATGTCTCTTTGAGTTTGGGCACCGTTTCATTGGTGTTGCGTGGCCCGAGGGCATGTGTACGGCATGTGCACATGCTTTGTGTGCAGAGCCACGGCCGCCGTGGAGCTGCGTGATGCCACACTGGCAAGGGCGCCACGAACGCTTTAGATTCATCACCTGTTTGATTTTTAATTAATTTTTGGCAGTTATCCGTGCAGAAACCTTTTACTGTTGCCAAATTTTCCGCGACCCTGTGAGGGGTTGCAACCCACAGTTTAGGAGGTGCTGGATAGTGGATGGATGGTGGCATCAGAGTCACCAAAATCCAGATGCCAGTCCTTCCTGCTTCTGACACTTCTGGCTCTGAGACCTCGCTTTTGACCTCATTTTCCTCCTGTGCCTACAGGAAAGGGGCGTGGGGGCGGCGCTGGACTAGGAACTCTGGGCCTGCTGTCTTATCAGCTCCCTCTAGTTCTGGGGTCCTCTGACCTTTTGGTGTCCTTTCCTCTGGTGGTGGCTGACTCTGTCTCGGCATTGTCTTGGCTTTGCCACTTACCAATGTGTCTTGTAGCTTCCAGATCAGCCTCGCTAGCCATGACTGCACCAACAATGAAGTCTGCTGGCCAGAGCTCATTTTCCCCCTGACCAGGAGTTATCAAGGTAGGGGGGAGCACTAAGCCACCATGTGGTCTTATCTTTCTGTCTTTAACTAGCTGAATGATTCCATGTGGGGGAGGGAAGTCATCAACAATTCTCGGGGTATTCAGAAGACCACTGTGGTTTGGGATCCACAGGGCACTTTTTTTAGGGGCTGGCAAAGGCAGATATTTGGTTAAAATAAAAAGATGAGGATTTCATTTGAATTTGCGTTTGAAGTTTTCTCATTTAACTCTAGGCAGTCGCTGATCAGGTTGCCTCCTCTCTGCCCCTGGCCCACCCTCCTGGCTCGGGGTCTCAGCCCCTCTCCTTGGCCGTTTCCACGTCTCAAGTCTCTGCTCTTAGGAATCCGTCCTCTAGTCACTCACTTGCTCAAGACACCCTTGTGGCTCCTTATTACTTCTAGATTAAAATGCCAACTCCTCCATTTGGCTTTTGAATCCCTCTGCAATCTAGCTCCAGTTTACTCTGCCATGCGTCCTACACAATATTCATTCATCCCTTAAAGTTGCCAGGCAGACGCTCCATCCCGTCTGTGTGCCTTTACCCAGGCTGCTCTCCCCCTTCACCTTTAAGACTGGGCTCAGGTGTCCTTTTGATTGGACAGCGATCCACCCCCCCCCAAAAAGCCCCCTACTTTATATTGTGCATATGACATACGTGATATTCTGCATCAAACATATTCCCAGATATGTATACATCATATACACACACACACACACACAATGTAATTTCTGTGGGCAGGTCACTTTCCCCCATAGAATGTCAGCTCCATGTTGTACTCAGAGCCTCCCCTGCCGCCTGGCCGTCCCAGGTACTAAGTGCCCAGACCACAAGGGCTTGGTTGTGTGTTTGTTTACTCCTTTGCCTTATTTATCTAGAGTTAACTGAGTGTGGCTTGCCCAGGGTCACACAGCTAGTGAGTGTCTGAGTCTGCATTTGAACTCGGGGAGAGGAGGCTTCCTTACTCCAAGACCTCAGATTTCAGGGCTAACAAAAATCTTGCTGTAGCACTCACCCAGAATGAAAAGGGTTAATTAGCACAATGATCTCTGTAAACACAATGGAAACTGGCTTCTGTTTGTGCCTTTGGTCTTCTCGTGCTTGTGTTAACTCGTGTCCTGCTGCCCAGACAAAGACCTCCCTTACCTGGAGACAGTGAGGGAGGCACGGGGCAGCTGAGCTCCACTCCTCGGGGGAACGCCGGATGGCAAGGGCTTGGCTGAATGTCTGCTCCTTTGCCTTGTCACCTTCGGCTTTGTCCTTGAGGGTTTCTTTTCTTATTCCTCATTACCCAATGCTGCTGCTGCTTCTTTACACTTCAGCTGCCTGTCTGGAGCCCCAGGATGTGGCTCAAGTGTGGCTAATGTTTGTTTTCTTCCAGGAGAGTCTTACGATTCCTCTGTTGCTAAAAGCTTGGTGCTGGCCTTCATCTTCACAGTGATGGTCTTGTTCAACAGCATCTGGATGAAAATCATCAGGGTGTGGGATTTCATCTCCGTCTGACTTCTGGGAGTCTTCAGAGGCAGCAGCAACACTGTGGTCAGGACCTGTGGCCATCATGGAAGACTCTGCTTAGTGACACTTCTATTTATTTCTATAAACAGGTGGTATTCAGTGATCAGTCAGTTTGCTTCTCAAGGTCACTTGCTCCAAAGGCTGGCCACTAGCCGGTTAGTTGATTTTATTTTCAGCTGTGGCAGCTCCTGGAGACTGTCTTCTAAGAGGGGCCCATCTTGGAGAGGGGGCTTGATCTGCCCCAGTGGTGGTGATACTCCCCGCAGCATAATCACAGATCCTGGAAGGGCCAAAGTCAGTAGAGCGGTCATTGATGGAAACCTTGGCATCTTCAAAGTGGCTTATCCAAGGCCACACAGTTGGTCATTAGCAGAGACTAGAACCCCTAAAATAAAGTGTAAAAAAGCATCAGTTTTTAAAGAGTTAAATATGTATTCATAAACTGTAAACTTAGGCTTATGACCAATCTCCTTAAAGGACCTCTTTTTTTTTCAGTCAATAAGAATGATTTTTTTTCAAAAATACACGTAGATTTATATCACTGTACTAGATGACCTTTGGTTTAAATAGATTTTGCATACTATGAATAAAATTTTTTCTTTTAAGTAGTTTTTTTCTCCTTATTTGATATCCTGTTTGTCCTGCAAAAATAGTTGACATTTATTCAGTGTTTTAAGGTTTGCCAGATGCTTTCTTTTTATTGATCCTATCAGGCAGGCAGTACACATGTTATTTCATTCTATTTTTTATGACGTTATATTATTTTATGATATCATATATCATATATTATAGGCTTGAGCTGTCGCCTTTCCTGTTTCCACAACATCTTTCTTCCTTGACAGCTTCTCTTTACTTACGCAGACTCCTCAGTTCAGGCCCTCCTCACCCCTCATCTGGAATATTGCAGTAGCCTCCACCCACCCACCCATGCTACTGCCCAAGTCCTGTTCTCAGGACCTCACAGGCCTCACCAAGTCACTGCCTTAACAAGCTCTGGGAGCTCCCTCTGGCCCCAACACCATTTAGCCTTTAAAGGCCTTCCCACCTGGCCCCCGCCATGGCTCTCCTCCTTTCCCTCTACCCATCTAGCTACACTGGCTTTCTTTCTGCTCCATCTCCCCCTGCCCTCTGCCCTGGCTTCCCCCGAGCCTCCTTTCTGCCCCGTGGCATCCCCTTCCTCCTCAGATCCCCATCCTCTCCCTGCTCTGCTGCCCTCTCTCCCTAGACACCTGGTTCTCTACCTGCTAGTTATTTATGCTCGTCCTCTCTGTTTATCCTCTCTATACGCACCTTGTCTCTCCCCTTCAGGGGGTAGCTCTTTGGTGGTAATGATTATCTCATTCCTTGTCCTGGTGTCCGTAGCCTCTAGCCCTGTGCCTGGCACATGGTAAGGGCTTAATAAATGTTTATTGCTTGAAGTGATCATCTCTGTAGGGCCATGTGCCTCCTGCCGTAAAGTAAAAGGTATATACAGAACAAGGGCCTGCCACTAGACTGAGCTCACAGAGCAGGAAAGCCAGCCTTGCTAAGTAGCATGACCCCCTGAGGGAGAGGCCAGAAGCAGCATGGACCAGGCAGGTCAAAGTACCGCCAGGACTGCCATCTCCCTTCAGATTCTGGTGGAGACAGCGCAGGATGCTGAATCCAAGAGTCTTGGGAAGACCAGTGCTTCCAGCCCAGTGCTCACGGTCATCATCCCAGGAAGCACATAGTAGGTACTTACAGTAGGTGCATAGTAGGTGCTATGGAGATGCAGATTCACAAATACTGGATGTCTTCTCTCCCCTCCTCCCTCCCTATCTTTCTCTCTACCCTTCTTTCTTCCTTGCTCCCTCCCTCCCTTCTTTCCTTCCTTCCTTTCTTCTTTCTTTCCTTCCCTCCTTCCCTCCCTCCTAACAGGGACAGGTTTTGCTTTTCTTTGTACCTTTCTTTGTATTCCCTAATGCTTACTTAGCACAGTGGCTGACATATATAAGGCACTTAATAAATGCTTGTTGACTAGACCAAAGGAATTTCCAGTGTCCATTCTAATCACGAGAAATTTATAGGAGATTAACTTTAAAAATCATTGCTTTTGAGTTTGTCATTTCCAGCAACATTAACTCAGTTTATCTTAAAAGAGATTGTAGGGCTAGGGTGGTGCCTCTCTGGGTCCTTTTGTGGCCTGGTTGAATTAGGTCAGGGCATGGTAGGCCGTGGAGGTGAGGGTATGTGTGTCAGCGCATTCTAGTGCTAAACATGAACTTAGTAGAGGGCGCATTTAAAAATCACTGCCTACATCTCATTTATCAGTTTGGACAATGGAGAGTGGAATTTATTGTAGTACATGAAATGAGCAAAAGAAACCACTTGTCATAGAAAGTCTTTGTTGGACAATGGCATCAAAGAGTGGAGATTTCTTTTGCATTCTGCACAGAGGCCTGATGAGAATAAGGCTTATCAACTGCCTAGTTCTACTTGGGTGGTCTATGTTGTTATCTGTATCTGCAGAGGTAACCAATATTTGTGTTATTGCTGGCAAAATCATAGGACCATAACATTTAAAACTCTAAGGCACCATAGAGACTGTAGATTCCAGCCCTATCATTCCCACCCCACCCCCTTTTAAAAAAAATTAACATCACTTTCACTGTCAAATATATTTCTTCTTCCCTTACTCATAGATTTCTTGTAACAAAATAATAATAATAATAATAAAGCAAAATTAACACAGCTGGATCTAACAGTGTATGCAAGTGTTCTGCGATCCAGGCAGGGGTGGGGAACCTGCTTTACCCACAGCCCTGGGCAAAGAATGGAAAGCACATTGAGATCAATATTACCTGCCTTGGGAAGGACAGATCAATCAGTGGACACTCCTCTCCGACCGCCGCTTCCCCATATGTGTTGTCTTCTGTTCAAATGTGAGATCATTAAGGGCAGGGACTATCCTACCTGCTAGTGTTTGCATCTCTACTGCTTGGCACAGTGCCTGGAACATAGCAAGTGCTTAATAAATACCTTTTTCATTCATTCATTCATTCATTCATTCATTCATTCATTCATTCATTCATTCATTCGGTCTCTCCTGGACCAATCTTGTTTATTATGATTACACAATTAAGTTTCTTTTTTTTGTGCTTTCTTTTTACGTTGTTGTGATCTTCCCCCTTACCTCATTCTGCCAAATTCCAACTCTTAATTAACTGAATTAATTTTCATCATTTCTAAGCACATAGTAATATTTTATTACATTCTTATATGAAAATTTATTTAGCTTTTCTACTTTATTTCAGTTCTTTGCTATCCCCTAAACCATTGTTATGAAGATTTTGGTGTATGTGGGATCTGGTTTTTCTCATCTGACCTCCTTGGGGGTATTTGCATAGTATAAGAACCTCTGGGTCAGTTCTAACATTTTTAGTTACTTTCTTCCCAAAATTCTAAATTTCTTCCTAGAATTGTTTGGACTAATTCACAGCTCCACCAACAGTGTATCAGTGCGCCTGTTTTTCTAAAGCTCCTCCAACAATGAACAGTCCCACCTTTTGAACGCAATTTGCTGCAACCCTTTACATTTCCTACAAATAAGCAACCCAGAGAAGGGAAGTTACTTGGCCAAGGCAGAAGATAGAAATAGCAGAAGCGAGGATTCAAATTCAGTTCTCCAGACCCCAGAATTAGTACACTTTATGGCACTTCATCCCACCCTATCCCAGCACACACCAATCTTTCACATTAACTAAGGGTTGTTAAAGGATCTCGGTATTAGAATGTGTTTAATTTGTTACGAACTTTAGTTCACTTAGTTTTCCTACTTTCCAAAGAAAAACATGTCCCCAGGCGGCGCACAACAGCTCTGGAATCTACAACTTGGCTTCGTACCATTAGACTCAAACTTTGTTGCTTTTCATCGCTTAGTGGACTAAGTAAGGAATACCCCCATCTACCAATTTGGAAGGTACTTCACTAAAACAGTGTGGCCCGTACGGGGATCGAACCCGCGACCTTGGCGTTATTAGCACCACGCTCTAACCAACTGAGCTAACCGGCCCTGAGGGAGTTCGCTCGCCAAAGTCCTTTAGAGCTGTCGATCCTCGGTAATCCGCGGGCGGGGACGAGCCCGCAGCCCATTGGGCACCGCGTGCTCGGGGGCTGGGCTGGGCTGGGGGCCCGGGCTGGGCAGGATCCAGCCTGGCTCGCAGAGCCCGCCCCCTGGGGGGAGGGGGCCGCCCTCCCCGCCCCGCGGCTCTCCCGGATCCGCGTTCCTCTCTTGTGATCGCTTAGGTGTTTGTTAAGAAAACAACTTTAAAAGTTTATTCCAAACTTCGGCAGCAGAAGGTATGCTCTCCGAGGGCATGGCGCCAGTGCCTTCCTGCTTTTGCAAACGAGCCTTGTACACCGTAGGCGCTTAATACACGCCTATGCCGTTGAATCAGTGTATTACTGCCTGTAGCACCCCCTCGGTAGAAGGTAAGCTTCTGGAGGGCAGGAGCGCTTTTTTTGGGGGGGGGCTTGTGTCCCCACTACCCAGTATACAGTGGTCGCTTAATAAAGGCTCGATGAATGAATGTTGTATCTCCCTCCCCCCGCCCCCCGTGATGTAAGTGCCTTTTGAAGGGAGGGGCTTTAAAAACAAATGCATTCTCTGCCCGAGACTTAGGGCTTGGCATAAAGTAGGCGCTTATTAAGTGCAGGTTGTCGGAAGGCCCGGACTCCTTTTGGCTCTTTGCCCCGCGGGTGCCCCTCTCACCGCGGGGTGCGGGTGGCACCGGGTCAATCACCTCGTGATCCTCTTGGGTTGCGTCATCCCCACCGTGGAATGTAAGCACCCTGAGGGCAGGCACTGTTTCATTTTCGTCTGTGTCCTCGTGTCTCGTCTCCCTCTGCGGCCCATCAAACATTTATTAGGCACCGAATTAATAAGTCTAATTGATATTGTTCTAGAAAGGAGTTGGGGAACAACCTGCGGCTCCCCTCCCCCATAACTTAGGGGAAGCTCCCCGAGGGCAGGACAGTTTGCCTCTGCCTCCCCCCGCACAGTAGGCGCTTAGTAGCTGACGGGCCGGACCGGACAACTCTCGAGCAGTTTCTGTTTCGGACTGTGCCGGGGCTCGTGCCCTTGAACTTGAGCGCCGCGGGAGCCTCGAACCGCCCTCTGTGTTTATGGGACCACAGGACCCGCGTCCCGCAGGGGGAGAGGCAAGGGAGGAGGAGGGGGAGGGGCCCTCTTCTCCCGCCCGTTCTTCCCCAGGGTTGGCTGCCTCTGGGCCCTCCTCCAACCAGCCCCTCCCCGCCGCAGGGAAGGGGGCGGGCACGCCAACTCCGGGCATGACGTCAGCCGGCCCGGCCCCGAGGGGACCCGGAAGCGGAACCGGCGGTAGCCGCGGGAGGCGGGGCTAGGCTGCCGATAGAGGAGGCGGAGGAGGCGGAGGAGGCGGCGGGGGCTGAGGGCCTGACGGACGAGCGGCGGGCCGGGCGCGGAGAGCGAGCCGCGGGCCCATGGTGCGAGGCCGCCGCGGGAGGAGCGCCGGGCTGAGAGCGAGCGCCGCCGGGCCGGCCGGGCCGGGCCATGGGCTCCCTGTTCCGCAGCGAGGCCATGTGCTTGGCTCAGCTCTTCCTGCAGTCC